GAAGAATCCTATTATAAAGTGTTTGTAACATTCCTTCTTTATGTAACATGGTATCTGGCTTCTGTGTTCTCACCAGTCCGGGTGATTTCCTCTTCCACAGACACTATACTTCAGTGAGTGTCCCTGCACCCACAGGTTAGTGTCAGTTTTAAAATGTGGTGCTACCTCAAGGCTGGTGTAGCAATTATAAAACTACTCCAAGCAATCCCTCTTAGCTGTGTAGTAAGTTGCTGGTGTAGTTCATTTCCTTCAGAAAATTTCCCCAGATGTTATTATTTACACCAAATGGGTCTCTCAACAGCTGGAGACAACTACTGAGGAAAAGGCTACTTTTCTCTGGGACAAAGGTGGATGCATGCTCACTTTGAATTCAAAGACCTCTGTCTTCCCGGTGAGATACACCTGGTGTCCTCACCCTGTCTACTGCCCACTGCAAGGATGGATGTTTGTAGAGAGGAGGAAATAAGCAAGTGCTGGAGAGATATGCTTGGGACAATGGATAAAACTGCTTAGTGACTGGACCCTCCCTCCTCTCACCAAGGCTGACAAATTGTCTGCATATGGCTGTGTACGACCAAGGCTGAATGGCAGAGTTGAGGCAGGAAAGCGCCTCAAGTCCTCAGCTCAATAGTAAAGCGACTTGACATCTTTGTACTGAGAGCCCTCAAATCCTTAAATGATAGAAGGTTTAATTATCTTGAAACATTTTAACATGTTTTATGTTTGTTTGCTTTTTCCAATCTCATTCACCCATCCACCAACTCCATCAAATAAATTGATAGGGGTTATTATATACTTTAAAAAATGGCATTGTGGGCTGGGGAGTTGGCTCAGTGGTTAAGAGCACTGCCTGCTCTTCCAGAGGGCCAGGGTTCAATCCCCAGCACCCACATGGCAGCTCACAACTGTCTGTAACTCTAGTTCCAGTGGATCTGACACCTTTATACAGACATACATGCAGGCAAAAACACCAATGCACATGAAATAAAAGTCAATTTTTTTTTTTTGAGCTGAGGATCGAACCCAGGGCCTTGTGCTTGCTAGGCAAGCAGGGCTGGGATTTAGCTCAGTGGTAGAGCACTTGCCTAGCAAGCACAAGGCCCTGGGTTCGATCCTCAGCTCAAAAAAAAAAAAAAGTCAATTTTAAAAAGTGACACTGTGTCTGAGGGACAGTGAAGTCAAATGGCTGTTCAGAGTCAGGACACTGACCAAGTCCTCTGACTCCAGGACATTCCCATATTCCCTCCTGATTCTGCCCAATTTACCGAGTCCAAGTTCAGCTTGCCACTGCACAACCTCAAACAAAGAAAAGGCAGTAGGAGTTGGTGCACTGGCGCAGGTTTGGAATCCCTGCCCTCGGGAAGGCAAGGCAGACAGACAGGAGTTCTAGGCTAGACTGGGCTTCTGTATGGTAAACAATACTCTACTCCCAACTCCTAAATTTAAATCTGGACAGAAACATAATTACCAGTTTAACCAACACCTGTGAAAATTTACTTTTGTGTTTTATTATAAACACCTACATATTCAAAACATCTCAACTTCCAAAAATGTGATTTCTTTTTTAGTTTTAAGAATTACAAATGTTGCCTTGGAATATACCAGTCACTTGTCATTACTATTTCCTGAATTGCTTTCTAGTCAATCAGGACTGATACAGATGAGTTTATTGTTGTCAATGTTTTCTTTCAGTTTTTGGTTTTTTGAAACAGGGTTCTGGCTGTCTTGAAACTCAATCTGTAGACCAAGCTGATCTCAAACTCACATAGATCCTCCTGTCTCTACCTCCCAAGTGCACCACCACCCACTGGCTATTTTCAAACTCTTTAAAAAGAATTTTTTTTAGGTTTACTTATTTTTCCTTTAAATGTGTTTGAATGTTTTACCTGCATGCATGTATGTACATCATGTGCATGCCTGCTGGATCCCCTGGAACTAGGGTTACAGATGGTTCAGGTGCTGAGAATCAAACCTGGATCTCTGCAAGAGCAACAAGTGTTCTGCTGCGCCATCTCTACAGCCCTCAAACCCTTCTGAGAAGAGAAGAAATGCATTTATTTTATAAAGTCCAGACATGTATTTGTCATTGAAACAAAAGGCTCACAAAATAAGCAACCTACCTTCAGGTGATTTACTTGAATATTTATGCTTGTATAATTTTCTACTTTACTTAAAAAAAAAACACTAATATGGCTCAGCACATTGATTTCACAGATGGGTTATGACCCAGAGTTTGAAAAGGACTGCATTAAGATGAGAATACACACATTCTGCCCTCGAGGCATTCATATATTTGCCGTCAGTCTCATATATACACAGTCCCTAGACAACCCGAAGACTTGGAAAGGCCTTAGTGTCAATTACTTCAATAACCTACTATGTAGCAGATTCCACAGCATCCCTGACAGGGTGACACACCCTAAAGCCTTTGCTTTCCAGAGGTAGGGAGCAAAGCTCAGTGACAGAATACAGCTTAGCACAAATGAAGTCCTTGCTTCCCTATGACTGCCAAACAGGACTGGAAGTTACCTTTCATTCGGTACCTACCATATTTAGAGTCCCATACAATAGTGAAGAAATTAATCAAGTACCTAAATATACACACAATTTTTTCCCGGAGAGACAATCCTAGGACCCAGCTTTTGTAGGAGGAAGGAAGAAGAGAGAGAGCCGGGAGACAAGAGGTCTCAAAAGGTCCCCTCAGTGACCTCAAGGAATGTCAGTGAATGAGATTATACGCAGACTTCAGGATTGGGGAGACCCAGGAAACTATACTCACAGTAAAGGCTGGAAGGCTAGAAGCCAGGAAACGCTCCCTAAGGAGGTTCAAAAAGACAGAGAAACTCCATACAATCGGACTGGCAGAGAAGACAGGAGGTCTTCAGAAGAAACAAGCCTAGCACATTCAATGACAGTAACAAAGGGTCACAGAGATGGCAAGTGATAAAACCTTTCCATAAATATGTACAGTGTACAATATGTAGCACATAATTTATGAGTTAACTAAAAATAAAATAAAAACAAGACGCTTTTAAGAAGAGAGCTAGCCAAAAAGAAAGACTGAGATAAGACCAGATCCGCCTATGGAAATTAAGACAATTATAGATCTTTATACCCTGTGGGTAACAGGACATTACTAAAGATTTCTGAATGTAGAGAATAGTATTTCAAAAACTATTAATGGGCAAGTGGTACTGAAACCTGTCTCTAAAAAGACCTGGAGTTCAGACAACAGGTTCCCATCCTCTGTTTTACTATAAATAAAAATGTGTACATGTATATGGACTTTAGAAATTCAAATTTTTTTAGGAGCAGCCTTGGTTACCCCTAAGGCAGAAAAGCTGAGGTATACACACTGAGCTTGGTTGGCAATGAAATCCTCTTTCTTGTTCCTTTCATCCTTCTCCTTTTGTTATTGAGCGTGAGCCTGGCCTGTAGTTAAACGGCTCTTTTCTTTATAAAAGCTATAGACTTTACTCAAAGTAAGCTGCAGACCTGATCCATCCTCAAGGCTGCTGGGGACCTACCAGATGACTATAAACTATTTTGCAAAGAGTAAATTCTGCCTAAACAATAACAACCTTTATGATAATGAGATTGCTAAAGGAGCTACACAGGGATCTGTGGAGGCATTAACTATCTAGTAATTCTGGCTCTGCTGGATATACTGTCTGTGCCCTGTAACCTCAGCTAGAACCAAGGTCTGTCTCAGGTGAATACAAGCACGGTATGTGAGTCACCTTGCAATTACAGCTGACACCTGAAAGCATAGTTAAAGCATGAGAAACTCCGCCCTGGTCTTTCTGTCTCTCTTCCCCGTCTCAGGATGAACAGAGATCAAGATTCTTGACAAATCATAGGATAATTTTTATTGCACTTCTAAATTGAAAAGGACTGCCTCCAAAGGCCTCAAAATTACTGAGCTGTGAGTATTGTAAATTTTAGGGACATAAGATGTATTGCTTGAGGCTGGTTTTTATTTTTCCTCCCAAAGGGAAGTCACCAAGGACTTCCTAAACTTCAGAGAAAACATCTGTACATACCAGATCTACAGGCTACCAACCATATACATGTAACTGATGAGGGGGTCCTGTGGACCATTCACCACTGAGTAACATTCAGCCCAGTTCTCTGCTGCTGTATTTCTCCATCCAAGAAAGCCGCGAACCGCACTGGGACAGTGAAACCCCGGTCACTTGAAAATGTCAAGCCAGGCTCGGCATCGATGCCTGACTCCCCCCTGTCTGAGAGGGAGCAGGAACCAAGACCAAGGCATCTGAGCGAACACTTAAAAGAAAAACAAAAACAGTAAAACTCCACAGCCAAGTGCCTCCGTTCCTCTGCACACCAGACTTCTTGCCCCAACCAGACAAGCAGACTTCGCCTTCTCAGGGTGGAGCACGGTCTCCTCTGCTGTCACCTCCCCTGTCCTTTGGTGACACGGATACGACAACTGTGGGTAGTGCTTGGCTGTGGAAGTTCAAGTGTTTCCACCCTAAAGTGAGGCAGTGGTTCATCCCGGGGGCAGAGAGCCTAAAGCCAGCGGACGGGGGCCTAGCACACCCTTGTGCCTGAAGTTGCAGCTGCAAAACCAGGCCGCCGGCCGGCCACACCCTGGCCCGTGCCGGTGCGTCCGCGGGCCCCTCCACGCCAGCTGGTCGCTGCTGTCTGGGTCGCTCGGGGTGCACAGCGAGGACACGAACTCTACCTCCCACCCCGCAGGGCCTCGGGGGGGTCGGCTGCGAACTTCCTGCGGGGCCGAGCTCGCACGCCAGGCCCCGGGCCCCGGGGCGGCCCTGGCACAGCCGGGCCAGGTCGTGCTGGGTCACACCCCACCCGGGGCCGGACCCCCGGCATGCCCTCGCCTGCACCCCACGGCCTTACCCCGGCTGCCGGACACACACGTGCTGGGTGACAGCCCCCTATAGGTTCCATACCTGCTGCCGGAAGTGAGCGAGGAGGGCAGTATAGGCATTTCCTGTGACGCCAGCGCCCGGACTCCATTAGGCAGCAGCTGGGGGAAGAATCAACACACCAGGGAGCGGAGCGGTGCGGACCGAGCACCGAGGCGGCTGCTGCCTCCGCCGCCGCCTCCTCCGCCGCCGCTGCCGGGGCTCCAGCTTCGAGCCCGCGCCCCCCCCCAGTGCCCGCGAGCCCCCGGGCCGCGCCGCGAGCGCCTCCGGAGGGGGGGGAAGGGCCCGGTCCTCCTTCTCCCCCTCCTCCCGCCCCACCGACCCCCGCCGCGCCCCGCCGGCCTCCCACCACGGCCTCTCTCGGCGAGGAAACTCTGGCCTCCGCTTCCTCCTCCTCCGACTCGGACGCCGGCGGAGCCTCCCCGCCCCCGCGGAAGAAGCCCCGAGCCTCGGCGGCGGAGGGAGCAGGAGAGCCCGGGGCCTCGGCCGGCCGAGCAGGCCTCCCCCCCCCGCCCTCGCCCTCGCCGGCCGCCGCCGCCTCCTCCGTGGTGGTGGTGGTGGGACTGCCTCCGGCCGCCCCCGCCGCCCCCCAGCGGAGCAGCGGCCACAGCCTGGTCAGCGGCGGCAGCATGCAGGCCAACGGGGCGGGAGGAGGCGGCGGCGGCGGCGGCGGGGGCGGCGGGGGCCAGGGCCAGACCCCGGAGCTCGCCTGCCTGTCGGCGCAGAACGGGGAGTCGTCCCCCTCGGCGGCGTCCGCGGGGGACCTGGCCCACGCCAACGGGCTCCTGCCTGCCGCCCCCTCCGCCGCTGGCAACAATAGCAACAGCCTGAGTGTCAATAACGGGGTTCCCGGCGGGGCCGCCGCGGCCTCCGCCACCGCCGCCGCCGCCCTGGCCACCCCCGAGCTGGGCAGCAGCCTCAAGAAGAAGAAGCGGCTCTCGCAGTCCGATGAGGATGTCATTAGGCTCATAGGACAGCACCTCAATGGCCTGGGGCTCAAGTAAGTGTCCGTCCTCCAACTGGGGAGGGCCAGGCCGGGGCCGAGCCGCCGGGAGGGTTGTGGGGGACCCCGGGGCCCGGTGCGCAGGAGGCCGCGGACAGACAGCCCCGGGAGGAGCGGAAGGGAGCTCGAGGGAAACGAGTCGGCCTGATGTCGTGAAACCAGCCGAACCGTCTGGGCTGGGGAGGGGTGGTGGGAGCCCAGAGTGACCCCTCCCCACGCACCTCCAGCGCTGGATTGTCAGTCCGAGAAGGCGGACACCGAGGGTGTTTATGCTGGGGGAGGGGTGGGTCGGAGCGGTGGAAATAATGAACCTTGGAGGATTTGTTTTTCAAGTGTGTCTCAGAGGCATCTTTGTGGGACACCTCCCCACCCCCACCCCTGACCGACAACAGCCCAGGCAAACTACCAATCAGGAAGGACAGTCGGCCTACAAGTGTTTATGGGAACTCAGGGGCTGGGGTGATTTGGAAAGAGGCTGTCGAGTAAAGCTGATGGGAATAATGGAGAAAGACACGGAGTTGAAGTCATGCAGAGGCTGTGTGTGTACTAAAGGCCTGGCACTAGTGAAATCCCACTTCAAAACCAAGAAGGTTGCCTCTGAAAAAGTGATACCTGGTCTGGTGAATCATTTGTTTTCAAATACAGGTTCAGTGGCCTTAAACTTAGGGTGAGGGTAGACAGAGGGTTTAACCAAAACTCACTGTTTTGTACACACAAAAGAAAAACTAAGGGAGTTGAAGTAGGGTTGGTGGGAGTGTCCTGGAGCTGAATGAAGGTGCCAGAGCCAGAAGGAGCTGATGGGAGTAAACATGACAGTTTCCTAGCTTCAAAGCTAAAATTAAAATAAACTGTTAGGCTGAAGTGTCGGGGGTTTTTGTTGTTGTTGTTGTTGTTGTTGTTGTTGTTGGTGGTGGTGGTGGTGGTGGTGGTGGTGGTGGTGGTGGTGGTGTGTGTGAGTGTGTGAGTGCGCGGCGCACTCATGTACTTGTTGGGAAATGGGGAGAACAGCACTTACTCAGAGTGACAGAAGTATTTTGATTCTCAAGCTGAGCATTGCACTGTTGAGCTGGAAAATGAGGAGCATTAAAGAAATACTAAGTAAAGCCACCAGCACAAATAGATGACTGCTGAATGAAGGCTTAGATAACAAAGTCTCTGGTAAATGAAACCACATTTGATGAGTTAAGCTCCCAAAGAAAACTCTAGAAAGATTTCACTTTATTCCCTAAAGGAAAGGGTAAGCGTGAAAATAAATTTTGTGAATGCTAACAGAACATATTACTGAGGGAAGCGGCAAGCTGACAGCAGCAGGCGGAAATAACTCGTGACTGTTTGGAATCTACACCATAGTAAATTGGCTATTTTTAGTATGAAGAGAAAGGAAATGGTTTTTGATGCTGGATTTGTTTTAATTTTAAAGATTGACCTAGCAGAATTTCCATACAAGCAGAATATCTGGAAGGAAAGCTCTACCTAACACAGGCCATCTGTCATCTTGTAGTTTATCTTTCGAAATGCTGTGCCATTGATAGTTTCTAGATCCCAGTTTTTGTTTGACCAGTTGGTTAGAGCACATTTTTAGAAATTGTATATACTCCTTTAAACTACTGAAACATTAAATGGCAGAAGTAGGAAGAACTGAATTATGGTTTCAAGAAAGATTTTTAACTTTAAATGTAGGTGGCATTTTAAATCGTTTATTTAACCAAGTGCTCTAAAGGCTTTTTTTTTCTTCATGAAGTTGTAGACGCTAGTTTATTAGGAAGAGTCCATCCCTAAAGTTGGTCAGGTCTTTTTTACATTGTGTCTCTCCTGCAGCCAGACTGTTGACCTCCTCATGCAAGAGTCAGGATGTCGTTTAGAACATCCTTCTGCTACCAAATTCCGAAATCATGTCATGGAAGGAGACTGGGATAAGGTAAAGTAGGGCATACAGAGCTGTATGACTGCTACTAAAATTATGTATGTGGTGGACATTTTGTGACATTTTTGCTTTTCTTTTATACCAATTTTTGCAGGCAGAAAATGACCTGAATGAACTAAAGCCTTTAGTGCATTCTCCTCATGCTATTGTGGTAAGAGGCGCACTTGAAATCTCTCAAACGTTGTTGGGAATAATTGTGGTAAATACACTTTTGTTCTTAGTTTCACATTTATGCTTATTTTAGGTTATTGATAACTATAGCATCTGATCTTAAGAGGCTTGAAAGTAAATTTTATGTAATTTATAAATAAGAATGAGTTGTTTATGGTTATAATCTATGAACTTCAAGTTTTTTATGTCATACTTAGTAAATGTGTCATTTGAAACTGTAATTTAAACTCTATAAAAATGTAAACATCTTCCTGCTTTTAGTGCTGTTAATAGGAGCCTTGTATTGTTAGGGTCAAGGATAAATTATACTTTTATATTATTCAAAATACTGAATGTGTTTGTTGAAGATAAAATATGTTTGGGTATGTGTATACTGTATAGCCTGAAGAAGCTGGTACATTAGTTTTTGATCGTTGGAATTACATAGTCAAACCAAATTATAACTGTTGGTGTGCCTACCATTTTCTTTCATTCAAGTTATATGAATTGATAAGTGTCAAAGTTTGTATAATATGTGTCACTTTGAGGGGTTTAGGTGCAGATTTGACCATTGGACCCTGCTTACGATCTTCATTTTCTTGTCAAAATCTGTTTAGTAGTTCACCCTGTTAACCTCCTTCATTAACCTTGATGGGGTTTGTTTTGTTTTGTTTTTTATGCGAATGGGTTTTAATTCTTTAGGAAGTGATACATTGTTTTGTTTTGTTTTGAGCACTAGTGATTGGAAAGCATGAAGAATTGGCTGCTGGCTTATAGACTTCAGCTGATTCACTTATTGTCGAAGGCAGTTTCCTGTCATTGGGGGAGGGAAAGAAGGAGTCTAGGAAGTGGAGTAGGGAAGCCAGCTGTTTGTTAAATATTAGTAAGTGACCATTAGCATTTCGGTTGTTTTGTTTTTTTTTAAATTGAGTCAAACATTAACCTTTTTTACCTTTGTCTATAAACTTAATAGAGCCATGTTTTTTTTTTTCTTTTAAAAAACCTTATTACAAAATCGTTTAAAAATTCTGTACAAAAATATAATCTTAGAAAGTAGGCTTCAGGAAATTAAAGGTCGAAAGAAGTATGACAAACATGTAGTTAAATTCATGGTTCTGTTCTTTCCATAAATACCCAAAGTATTAAAAAATTTAAATGAGTACAAAGTCAAATGATTTAACTTAAGAAACAAACAATTCCATAGAATAATTTAAAAATAAAAATGAGCTAAAGTAAGCATCCATATTTGAAGGGATTAAATTTTTTTTTCAGGAAATAGAAAGTGTCCTCAATTGGTATGTCTGGGGTTTAAAACCTAAGTATATTTTAATTGAGCAGTTACTCACAAATTTTTGGCTCAGTCTGAATGAGCTAAAAGAGAATAAAATGACCTAAATGAGAATTGGGGTTTATTGGTGGCTATGAAGAATTTTTTTTGTGGAGTATTCTGATGTAATTTTTTTGGAGTGTGTTTTCATTTTTTTAAGTTTATCCAAATTATATGTATACTCTAATAGCCAAAAATTTAATGGATTCACTTCTTTTAAAAATTTATTCGTAATAATTTCGAGACTTCTGCTTGGACTTAGATTATGACTCATTAGAAACTTCAATAGAAGCAACATATAAATTGAAGAAAGATAGTTATAGATAATAAGGAGGAATCCTTTCTTTTTACAGCCTGTTGAGTCTATAGAACATTCTAGGATCTAATAAAAGATGAAGATTAGATCTCTGGCTGAGCCTCACACCATCAAACTGTTTAGGTATTTATACAAAGAAAGGGGTTCCGCTTCTGTCTCCATGAGCATTGATGAATCAGTGGCTTTAAAAGATTGAGTTCAGCAGTGTTTGAAGCCACTCCTCACCTTTCTGATATCAGTTGTTCCTTCCCAACTTCATTGCTAGAAGTTGAAATTTGTAATAATGTCTTAGAAGACAACTGTATGGGTTTTTAACATAATTACTTCCTTTCCACCCAGACACTTGATGACAGTACAGTCTCAAACTGCACATTATTTCCATTGGCGGGAATGAAAGCCAGCGCCTTCTCTGGCTTAGCTAGTGCTCTGCCACTGAGCTGCATCGCTATCCTTGAGACTGGACTTTATTTTTAAAATCTGAATGTTATTATTGATCTAGTTTACTTCCCTCACTTTCTCCCTGTCTCCCACGCTTTAAAATGGTTTCCAGTCTAATGATACTCAGAATAGCAGATGTGAGCTTTTTGGATGCTGAAGTCATGAATCAACATTTTCCAGTTTGAGTTGATAATGCCATGTCTGAGAATCTGGATGGGCATTTGAGACCAAGAACAGAAAATTGTTATATGATTACAAAGTCTCATTGTTTTGTTTTTTAATGTAATAGAAATAATTTTAACAAAAAGGGCAAATATGAACTTGACATACAAAAATTAACTCATAAAGTCAAATAAAAACTTTGAGATCCTTAGATTAAATATAACATATTTCTCCTTTCCTTGGAATCAGGATTTAATTGGCAAAATTTGCTTATATTATTTTAGAGTTAAAGCCATCACAAAATTAGGAGACTGCCCTCAATAACTAGACTCCATGGATACTATTATTTCTGAGTTTTTCTTCAATGTTAAAATTCAGTCTGATAATGTGGGGAAAAGCACAGTGATTCAGATATTGGGTAAGATGGGGGAGGTGTCCAAGAAGAAATTTCAGTTTCAGGTTTTTATTAGATTTTAAAAGAGAAGGAAATACTGCTGGGCGAGAGTCATCAGAGAGCTGGAGTGTCTGATAGAGGTCTAAGTGGAAAAACTCAGGAGGGGATGTTTTCCTCGTCCCTTTTCTTGCCCTCTGCCTCTTTCAGAGAAGAGAGAAAAGAAGATCCTTGTCTAAGCAAGCCTCAGTATTGCCTAATTTTTAACTTTCTCAAGAATGAACATCATTTGTGCATTAAAAGGTCTTTATTTTCTTGAGATTATATTAATTTTGAGCTTTAACTTTAGGAAGGTAAACTGCATTTTCCTTGTTACTGTGTGTCAGACACTGAGCTGAGTTTCAGATGGCTGAGCATTCTTCCTCCAACTCCAGCTGCGTTTGTCTAGTAGCAGGTTAGCTGCGGTGCACTAGGCCAAGCTTTGACACCCATTTGAGGGTGTTCCTTGTCGTCCTCATTCGGATGAAATGACTCATAAAAATGTCCTTGTATTGATTTTACAGCATCCCCGTGTATACAGGAGTATGTGTTTGTGTTGGCTTTGCTGAAAGCTCTAGTCTGCTTCCTTTTTTATCCTGCCTCAACTTTACCCATAGAACACAATAACATGTTCTTGCCAGGGTCTTGGTGAGAGAGTAAGGGAGAAATAGCATTGGGCACTGTCCCTCTGCACACAGGGTCTAGGGAGAGAGAGGGGAGAGGGCCTTAACATTAATAGTAAACGAGCAAAGACTTGCCTGGAATTAAAAGGAAAAAAAATGTTTTCCAAATTCCCAATTGCTGAGAAAATTTAGTGAGGAAATGAAATCCATACTGACTAGTTGCGTGAGGCATGGCTTAAGTTTGACTTAAAAATACACTAAATTATGAAACCAACAGAGTGTTGATAACATAGGAGCTTCATTTTGTGAAATTAAACATTTTTATCAGAAGATGGAGACAGTAGCCTAATAACTTCACATATAAGACCCCCCCTCCCTTTTAAGACTTTCAAATTTAATTTTGGGGTTTTGTCACCTGGTGAACTTCAAAGTATTTTTTACTTGACATATAAAAATAAACTTAAGTATACATATACAACAAACATGCTTTTCAAAGCATCTTGCTAATTAGTCTGTTTCTGAAACTGATTACATTAGTCTAACCTTATGTGTAAAATTGGTCAGTGCAATTTTCCTGGCTACAGGAATATGTCTCAGTTTCAAAAGTTTTTTTGTTTTTGTTTTTTTGTCTTACCTAAAGTTTTAAGATTAGATTACCAAACAGAAGTAACAGGTCTCACAACAGATAAGTTTAAATAGTTGTCTGGTTTATAAAAGAGGGTTTAAATAAACTTGTAGTTGACACACAGTAGAATAATAATAATAATAATAGTATAATATAATTATTATATTTAATATTATAATATCTTATAGATACTATCTAATATAAAATCTTACAAAGCAGTTCATTATGCTCTTTAATTCTGTTGTTACATGGCAATTTTGGTGCACCATTTTGTAACAATTCTTTTTAAGTGGACTTAGCTCGTCCACATTCCATGGAACTTCTAAATGTAATGAACATTTTCTGTCATTGTGCTTGCTGAAGCACAAGGAACAAGTTTGAAAGAGTCCTCCAAATAGTGGTCATCAGTTAAGCTTCAGGTTGAGAAGACACTCTAGATAGATAATAGATACTGCTCTTGTCTAGTGGAGAAACTGCTAGGGTTGGGATCATCATTTTCAAGTTTAGAGTAAGATGATAATGTAACATTAAAAATGTTAAGACCAAACATTTCCTGTAGGAATAAATGGGAAAGTGTCTCATAACTGAAAAGTGCTTTATCCTTGTGGGCAAATAATAAATAATATTTATCTGTGCTTAGTTGCTAAACACATTAATGAGCAGATGATTACAACTATACAGACATAGTAGATACTGAACCTTCCTAAAGGCCAGTAAACCCAACCTTCTCATGTGAGGGTCTCTTTACAACTGCAGAGAGACCAGGTGAGCGTGTGCTCCCCCAGTTTGGTCACAGGATCTCCAAACTCTTGCACACCGACCTGCATTGTGCATCTGTTGGAAAGCCAAAATCTGGCACTTTCCTACTTGACCTAGTGACTTTAGTTCTGCCTTCCAGTCACCTTAGTTTTCTGTCACATTGTGGCTTTTTTGTTTTGTTTGGGGTTTTTGTTGTTTTTTGTTTGTTTTTGCAGTACTAGAATCAAATCCAGATCTGTACATACTACACAAGCCCTATACAACTGAGCTATACCCCCACTACATCATGGCTTTCAAATAACTCTTCCATTAAGTGGGATTTTATTTTTTTTTTTTGGCCAGTGTTTTCAAAGCTTGCTGTATAAGACCTCTTTTTGCCCTATTAATATAGTCAGAAATTTTAAAAAGCAAATTTGGAATTCTTGGAATAGTTTTAAATGTTGATACATAAAAATCTAAGGAAATGTAAGAGCAGAATTCATTTGTGTTTTTTTTCTTATGTTCATAATGCCTCAGTCACTAATGGTCCTGACTGGAGAGTTTTCAAGAGTTTTATTAATATGTAGACTTGAGCAGTCATTTAACCTACTATGACTCGTAAAACAAAATATCTTGAGTCATCTTGAAGCTTTATAAAATTATTTTCAAGAGGCATAGTAGAATGGTCTCTACTGTTCTGTTTAGGCACAAACATTTTCTGAAACTTCCATCAACTTTTTTCCCCTGACTGCTGCTTTCTGTCATGTCAGAGGATGAAGTTTTTGCTGCTGCAGCAGAAGTACCTGGAATACCTGGAGGATGGCAAGGTCCTGGAGGCACTTCAGGTTCTCCGCTGTGAACTGACGCCACTGAAATACAATACAGAGCGCATTCATGTTCTTAGTGGGTAAGGAAGTGGGGTTCTTAGACTCCAGATTCATGAAGGGGCTGTTATTTTTATAGAAGTTTACTGTTGGTCAAAGTTAGAGAAAGTACCTGGATATTGCTAAATTCGTAGTTCTGGATCAATTCACTTATGTGTGCACAAGCTATTTAGCTATCTGTATTAAGATTGGAGATCCGGGCGGTGGTGGCACATTCCTTTAATCCCAGCACTCAGAGTTAGAGGCAGGCGGATCTCTGGAGTTTGAGGCCAACTTGATCTACAGAGCGAACTCCAGAACAGCCAGGAAACCTGTCTAGAAAAAACAGACAAGCAAAAAAACAACAAAAGGCCAGGCGGTGGTGGTGCACACCTTTAATCCCAGCACTTGGGAGCCAGAGCCAGGCGGATCTCTGTGAGTTTGAGGCCAGCCTGGTCTACAGAGCGAGATGCAGGACAGGAACCAAAAAACTACACAGAGAAACCCTGTCTGGAAAATTTAAAAAAAAAAGATTTGAGATACTTAACAGGTGAAAGGGAGAAGAAATCCATATAGCCAATGAGATATTACTTCAAAATCTACTCACACACAAAAAAAAAAAAAAAAAAAAAAAAGAAAAGAAAAAAGAAAGAAGGAAAGAAGAGAAAACTTCATGGCTTTGGGTCACAGCAAGCAGTGAAGGGTATACAAGTGTTCTGCTTACAGAATCATCAGTTGCTTAACTGTTAGCATGCTCTTTATTCTGTTGCCTTGATCTGTATGTCTACCTATTTAGAAACATGGTCTCATTACATATCCTTGGCTAGCCTGGAACTCGCTATGTAGACCAGGATGGCCTAAAATTTGTAAGAAATGTATAACTGGGTGGTGGTGGCACATGCCTTTAATCCCAGTATTCAGGAGGTAGAGAGGCAGGCTTATATTAAAAGAGCCTTGACCCACAGAGCCCTCTCACTGGTTCCCCAAAATTATTTTAGAGACAAAGTATTCCTAATACCCAGTTTTTGTTTTTTTTTTTCTTCTTCTTTTTTTTTTTTTTTTTTGGTTTTTCGAGACAGGGTTTCTCTGTGTAGCTTTGCGCCTTTCCTGGAACTCGCTTTGGAGACCAGGCTGGCCTCGAACTCATAGAGATCCGCCTGGCTCTGCCTCCTGAGTGCTGGGATTAAAGGCGTGCGCCACCACCGCCCGGCCTAATACCCAGTTTTTTTGGAGGCTTGTTAAATATAATTACACTTTCTAAAAAGTTTTTTCATTAACCAAATGCTACATCCATATACTACATAGTAAGAAGGTAGGTACTCTGCTGTTTACTTAGACTCTGTGATCCTTTTTTCATTTGAGGAAGGGAAGGGCATTGACTGGTATCTGAGAGGTGTTGGTGCAGCAGGGAGCAGAGGGAGTGCTTCGTTTTGCCTAATTGTCTTTTATATAAGTGACAAGAAAGGTATATTGGGCAGAGCTCCCAGGAGAGTTACCTGCCAGATCTCACCTCCGAGTTGAATAGGGCTGGTACTTGTTTTGTTTCACCCTGTTCCCTGAGAAAAGCCAGGTTGGAGGTGTGCTCCCTGCAGGAGGCTGTCATACATTCCCCAGAGTTGAGGGACTTCAGCACTTATGCCGCTGTCTATACCTGGTGAGCAGGAAGGCTGGGGCTCCAGGTATATGTAGCCCTGCCTGACTGTGTGCGTGGTTGCTGGGTACTTAACTCAGGTCCTCATGCCAAGCAAGCATTGTTATCCACTAAAACATTTTCTCAGCCCCTAAGTTGTTTTGACTTTGGATTTTAGTACTTACATGGCTAGAGAAGCTGTGCCGTCAGCTCAGTTGTGAAGAACAAGTGTACAGCTAGAATGCCTGGGTTTCTGTGTTTCTGTATCGCCTACCTTCTCTCAGAACTACTTTCTAAGCTTTCTGTGTCTCCAGTTTTTGCTTTATGTAATAGAATAAGAGTGTTTGCTTCATATGGGGTGGTTATGGGCATTCAGTGAAGCATGTGCTGAGGATTTGGAACATAACTTGGCACAAAGTAAGCTACATATATTATAACAGAAGGGAGTAGTCTTATAATTGCAATGATAATATTGTATATTTAGGTAATATTCTATTGCCTTTTAATAATTTTATGAAGGCACCAGATTAGATTCACTGTAAAAAATGTTTTTCTTGATTTGTGTAAGCAAGAACTTGATTGTGAAAATGCAATCAATTGTTTTTCAATTATATTTCAAAGAAAAGGGTTTGAGATTTGTTGCTTACTCTATCGTAGGTATCTAATGTGTAGCCATGCGGAAGACCTACGGGCAAAAGCTGAATGGGAAGGCAAGGGAACAGCTTCCCGCTCCAAACTACTGGACAAGCTTCAGAGTAAGAGTCCTTTTTGATGTGTATTTCCTCTTGGATTGGAAGTAGGTAATATAGAGCAAATAGGAAGCTCATACCTAGATACACTTTCTCTGAGTTTTTGTGGAAGGAGTTCATTAAAGAGCCCTTTACACCAAAGATTCTCAGGCTCGCCAGATGTGACCCGGAGTCAGTGTGGAGGTGCTGGACTCAGCATTCTCCTTACGTTTGTATTCTTTAGTGATGCTCTTAAGATTTTTTTTGGATGAAAAGGTCCATGACTAGAGAAACAAATGAACCCCAGCTTCAAATCATATGCATTTTACAGTTTCCGCTCTTTGTTTAATGGGGACTGGATTTCTTTAGGTAGATTGTTTTATGCTTCTCCTAGCTGTGTTAGATCATTTTCAAGTTGTGTTGGGGGCGTGTGATTGCATTTTTACCATATCTTTATATAAAATACCTCCTTTCTATTCAAATCATGCTGTTATATCATGTTGCAGCGAGAGTGGAAATCTCATACCTGGAAGAAATGTAAAGCATAAGAGGATTGGAATAAGTTTGTACTGATGTCTAGTCTCTGAGTTTCCTCAGTAGCTGTGGCATTAGTAGCCTCAGGGTTTTTGTTAAGTGAAGATTTATCTTATACTGATCATCTACTGATACATAATCATCATTGGGTTCTCTATCATCTTCCTTTTACGTTTGTAGTGTGTAGTTTCTGTATGTGGTGTTAGTCCCCCAGAAACTCCACCTACAGGATACAGCCAGTGTATGCCTTCCTAGTGGGGATAGCACTGGAACCTCTGAAAACCCTCCTGAGACTTGCTCATGTCATTTCCCTAGAGCTTGTCTATGCGAAGGGAACAGTGGTCCTGAGGTGAGAGGGACAGGAGAGGAGGAGTGCAATGTCTTCAATGAAAGTTTACAGTTTGTTGTCATCTTTATTTCTCTTTTTAAAATGTCTTCCATTAAAGCCTATTTACCACCATCAGTGATGCTTCCCCCACGGCGTTTACAGACTCTCCTGCGGCAGGCGGTGGAGCTGCAGAGGGACCGGTGCCTCTACCACAACACCAAACTTGACAGCAACCTAGACTCTGTGTCTCTGCTGATAGATCATGTTTGTAGTAGGTAAGGGGAACGTTTCCTCCGTCTTCAACATGTTAGCATTGTACAGAAGGAATTAGGAACTGTACTGGAACATTTTCTACCGTTTCTTTGTGTAGCTATGTAACAGTTCGTATCTGATATACTGTTTATTCACAGTAAAACCCAGGACTACTGAAATTGAAACTTAGTAGAAAAAACAGAAAATTGGTTTCTACTCTATGGGCCTGTGCTTACATAGTAAGCCACAGTTGGGAGCTGAAACCCAAAAGCCAATTTTTCATTTTCTTATCTGGGGATTTGGTTAGTTATTTTCTATGTCCAGCAGCTGAACTATGTACCGAGTTATTCTCTGCATATAAAAATCATTGAAATACGCCGGGCGTGGTGGCACACGCCTTTAATCCCAGCACTCGGGAGGCAGAGGCAGGTGGATCTCTGTGAGTTCGAGGGCAGCCTGGTCTACAGAGCGAGTTCCAGGAAAGGCTCCAAAGCTACACAGAGAAACCCTGTCTCGAAAAAAACAAAAAACAAAACAAACAAACAAACAAACAAAAAATCATTGAAATACTTTTTGCTTAGTGAAAGTTCTGGTTTTGTAAAAGAACAGCTTCAAAAATCGTTAGAATAATAGGCATTAACTATGTTTATTTTTTACAAAACCATGCAAATAATTGAAGTTGGACAAATTCAAGCTTGTCTTTTGGTATTGGGTGATTTTTAGTAAAAATTTCCCTTCTATTTTAATAATGCTCTCCAAAATTAAACCATAACTTTAAATTTAAAATACCAAGATAGAAATTGTGAACCCTTTCAGACTCCAGGAAAGAAATGATTTGGTTCTGACCAGGCAAACACCAAAAGCAGGCCGCTGTCGTGCACGTGCTCCGTTCCTTCTGCTGTCATTCACTGAAGAATTAATGAAAGTGATGAATTTCAGAAATGAAAGACAGAAGTGTATGTGTTAGTCAATAAGGAGCTTTTGAGTAACCATAAATACTATGCACATAGCTAGATACTGGTTTAAAATAATAATTAAGGATTATTTATTTATTTTTAAAATTTTATTTGTATTTTGTATATGAGTGCTCTGCATGTACACCTGCATGCCAGAAGAGGGCATCAGATCCTATTGTAGATGGTTGTGAGCCACCGTGTGGTTGTTGGGAATTGGACTCAGGACCTCTGGAAGAGCAACCAGTGCTCTTATCTGCCAAGCCATCTTTCCAGCCCCTTGAGGTGTGTTTAAACCAGGTGTTTTACTTTGTTTTTTATTTTGCCAGTGCTAGAAATAGCACATAGGTCCTTCCAAATGCTGTCAGAAATTGTACCACTGAGCTAGGCCCCAGCCCTAGAATCTGCCTGTGTAGTGTTGCGTCGTCACTCACTGCACTTGCAAGAAGAAAGATTTGTCTGAGCTCTTGGCCTGTAAAGCGATGCTCATCTTGAAGTATTGGCTGCTGACTTGGTGTGACTTACTGCTCTGCTAGGATGCGATTAGTGAGCCTTTGTCCTCAGCTCCGTTCGCTCCTTGGCACTGCTCTTTGACTTGTTTGGGAGAATTTTGAGAGCTTTTTGTCTAAATTGGGTGGGTGGGGGGATAATAGATTAAAAGGGCTCTATTGTCAGTCCTTGTTTCATAGTTCCTTTAGGAGGTTGTTAAAATGAAGGCACTTGTAGACCAATGTCTCTTCGTGGCTCATAAACTCATTTCTGTTGGGGACATTGAAAGGTACAGTGCCAGAAGTGTCAGAAAGTAAGAGCCTTTCCTCCCTGTGGAAACAAACACCCATGAGAAAGAGGATTTTTTCCCCTGTATACCTTTAATTCCCGATATCATTATCTGCGGAACTAATATATAACAAAGACATAGTCTACCCTTTCCCATTCTTCACCTCGGGTGGGGTGCTTACACTAGCCATGTAGAAAGCGCTCTGACGTGTTGCTAGAACTGAAAGACTCTTGCTCTTCAAAGGTAATTGTTCCTTCTTAATGATTAAAACAATGCACAAATGGTACACAGACATACTTGCAGGCAGAATACCCATCCAGATAAAAATCAGTTAAACAGCAGCATTGTGCCTCCCGTTTGCCACCTCCCTCCTTCAAAGGTAGCTTCTCAGGTCCTTCCCTGATGTGTGATTCTTGGTCTGTGTCCTTATTTTTCTTCACCAGATTCCTATACTGTCAGTGCTGATGTTGGTGAGGAACAGTCTTTTTGTCTGTTTAAGTTAGCAGCTGCTCTCCAGTTTATCTTGAGCTCTCTATAGTATTATAGTATGATAGCTTTCTCTAACTATTTCAGACTCTAGACTGATGTTCTGACTCCTCCCAGGGCTCCTCTTCTCCATCTGTCCTTTAATTGTATGTTCCAGGTTCCTTCTTTCCTCGTTTCTTCTATAGGTTAGACTTCCACGAATCTAGTGCTTCCTGGAAATAGGCCAGAGCCTCAGTCTTTCTCTCCTGAGCCTTAGACCTGAGTACAGTGTGCCTCTTGCTCTAGTTAAACATAACAGATCCAGATAGATTTTCTCTGCCTCTTACTCAGGCCTGCTAAATCTGGTTTGTTTGTTTTTTTACACTTGAGTTCTGTTTTATTACTTTTTCTTTTTTACATGTATAATATTTGTGCTTGAGTGTATGTGTTTTCACATGTATGTGGGTACACATGTACTTGTGGTACATCTGAGTGGAGGCCCAAGGTTGATACTGGAAATCTTCCTCTGTTGTTCTTCTACTTTATTCTTTCAAGACAGGGTCTCTAGATGAACCTGGAGCTCATCAATCCCAGCAAGTCTCTAGCCAGTTTGCTCCAGGGATCCTGTCTCCACCTTCAGAGGCTGGAATTACAGGCGGGTTACCATGTCCACCTGCCATTTACATGGGGTTCGGGCATCTGAACTTCCCATCTTCTTGCTTGCTTGCAGGAGCTTAAGCTGCTAAGCCCTCCTCCCATCCCTGCATTTCTTATATCAGGGAGGCTCTACCTACCCCAGTTCACCAAGCTGGAAACCAGGAGCTGTCCCCAGCTGTTCATTCTGAGAGTGTAACACCAGGCATTTACTCAGTAAGCTGTCCCTTCATTGCCAGACTGGAAGATAGAGCCTGGATTTAATTCCTTAAGTTGTAGCTGGAGGTCTTAAAAAAAAAAAGTTGATCATTTTTAACCACCTGCTTTAGTTTCTTCTAGAAACTAGATTTTTTGTTGTTGTTGTTGTTGTTGTTGTTGTTTTTGGTTTTTTGGGTTTTTTTCCAAGACAGGGTTTCTCTGTGTAGCTTTGCGCCTTTCCTGGATCTCACTCCATAGACCAGGCTGGCCTTGAACTCACAAAGATCCGCCTGGCTCTGCCTCCCGAGTGCTGGGACTAAAGGTGTGCGCCACCACCGCCCGGCTAGAAACTAGATTTTAGCATTGGAGCTAGAAAGATATTTTCTGAAATTAAATGTAAGCATACTATCCATTCTTTCCTCTCTGGAAAGTAGAGAACTGATTATGAATAACTGAGTTATGAATTTGAAAAACCCATATAAACACTGAAGAGTTTTTATTAGATTGTACACAGTTGTTTATCAGCTAGTGTGCACAGTTTTGGTTAAATGTGACCAGTAAAGGACAATTTTTTTTAAGAGAATTTTCTGGACTTTTTTACACTGATAACCAATGGAAGTATGTTTTCATATGCTGCTTTTATAAATACTACTTTTTAGTACAGGATTTTTATAAAATATTTGTAGACGCAATTTGAAGATTGAGTTTGGTCACAATGCTACATTTACTGTTTTCTTTCACACAGTCCTGGTTTTTAATACCATCTTAAGTTTTAAAATCATTTTAAAGCAAAGACATCAACCATCACTTATGTATCTGAAAAAGGCTGTTAATAAATTTTAACGTAACTGTAGTCTTCATTTTTAATTTTTTTTTAGATTTTATGTGTATGAATGTTGTGCCTTCGTACCCTGTCTGTATGCCTGTTGTCCACAGAGCCCCAAAGAGGGCGCCGTGTGCATGCCTGTTGTCCACAGAGCCCCAAAGAGGGCGCCGTGTGCATGCCTGTTGTCCACAGAGCCCTGAAGAGGGCGCTGTCCTTCCTAGAGCTGGCGTTGGGTGAGCTGCTGAATGGGCTCTTCTTTAAGAGCAGCAAGTGCTCTCCAGCACTGAGCCATCTCGCCAGCCCCACCTTAGTCTTAGTAAAGGATGAAATGATAATTTTAAAGTGACTGATAGCTGTGAATAGACTAAATGGCTTACGCCCTGTAATTTTGAGTCAGTCCTCACTTAAAAGTTATTTGTTAATCTAAATGAATCTTTCTACTGTGATCAGCTTTAGGCATATGAAATTTTTATTGAAATTGTATTAGTCTTTGAAAAATACTATTTAAAGTTGACATTTGGAAAGGTAATTCAGTCAGTTTTAGGTTCAAATTTTAGTTCAGTTACTTTACAGTTTTCTGAAAATCTGGTAAGATACTGGCTTTTGAGTCTTGTTAAAATGAGGTTGCTAAAATGTCTCTTGTCAAATGAGTTTCAAGAATTAGTATTCTGGAGGCTGGAGCAGTGGCTCAGCAGTTAAGAGTAGTTGTTCTTGTTGGAGGGATGGATTGTCAGCTGATCCGCAAGCACTTGGACCCTTTGGGCCATCTCACTGGCTCCCTGTTTTTGTCAGACCAAAGCTTTTAGTAATAGCTTAACTGATTTTATATGCTTGGAGATACTGCATTATTTCTTATTCCTTGTAGAACAGCCAACTAATGCCATTCATTTATAAAGTGGGTAAACATAATTCCTGAATAATAATTATTTATATGAATTGCCTTAATCAGACCAGATAGCCTTCAGAAGGCAGCAAAAAAAGAAGAAAACTTCAGGTTGAAGTACATTTTATATTACAGATTTTCACTAAAGTTGACTTGAACAAAAAGTCATAATGTTTTCATTTTCAGCATATCAAAATAAATTTGATTCTTGAGAATTATAAATACATTCATATTTATACTTGAGAACTCCAAAAGGAGTTCTACCAGTTGTTAAATGCCCTTCTTTTTATTGCTAACAATGCTTTGAAAGAGTAATTATGTGTGGATTTGTTTGTTTTAGGAGACAGTTCCCCTGTTACACTCAGCAGATACTTACGGAGCATTGTAATGAAGTGTGGTTCTGTAAATTCTCTAATGATGGCACTAAGCTAGCAACAGGATCAAAGGACACCACAGTTATCATATGGCAAGTTGATCCGGTATGTATTCCTGGATGTGTCCTTAGATTGCAGAAGGGTCTTTTTTTTTTTTTTTTTTTTCAAGATTGGTTTATTTTATGTGTGGTGTAACATGAATCTTAAAAGGTCTTATTAATTAAAAAAAAACCTGGAGCCAGGTATTGGGTTGAACGCTGAAAGGTCAGAGAAACAGAACAAGCCACAGCCGCCTCACCTCACCAATTCCCCAGCTGATTCTGTTTCCTCAAACGGGAAGCCTCTGAGTCCTCATCCAAATGGATCTCAGCTGAACTGCTGCTAAAAGCCTAAAAGCTTACCCAGCTCTAGTTCTGGTTTTCATGCCTTATATACCTTTCTGCTTCCTGCCATTACTTCCTGGGATTAAAGGCGTGAGTCACCATGCCTGGCTGTTTCCCGTGTGGCTTTTAACTCAACAGAGATCCAGACGGATCTCTGCCTCCCAAGTGATAGGATTAAAGGCGTGTGTGCCACCATTTTCTGGCCTCTATCTAGTGCCTGTTCTGTTCTCTGACCCCAGGTAAGTTTATTAGGGTGCATGATGTATTGGGGAACACAATATCACCACAGTGTGTGTTGCCAGCATATGTGTGTATGCACATTTTGTGTGCGCCTCTCCTGCACAGGACTGAGGAGTGCATCTGATTCAGGGTGATAGATGGTTTGAGCCACAATGTAGGAGCTAGCAGTCAAACCCAGTCCTCTTATTTTTGAATCTTACCTCACTGGTTACCCTTCTGGTTTTTCAGGACAGCATTTCTCTGTGTAGCCCTGCCTGCCCTGGAACTCATTCTGTAGACCAGGCTGACTTTATAAACTCCGAGATCTGCCTACCTCTGCCTCCCGAGTGCTGGGATTAAAGGCGTGCACCACCACTGCCCATCTGCTTACCTATTCTTAGTATACATATGTATAACTAGTTGTCTTCTGCAAATGCCTTTTTGGTCATGTCTGTCACTTGATTTTTATTCATTCATTCATTTATTTATTTTTGAGGCAGGTTCTCACTCCATTTTCCAGGCTGGTCTGGAACTCAAATCTCTCCTGGTCAGCCAGCCTTCCTGAACACTGGGCACGTAGAGATGTATCATCATATCTGACTATGCTGATCACTTTTTTCTATGCTTTTTTCCTCTTTTTTTTTTATATGTTTGTAGCTTAATATTATCCTAGTTGTTCCGTGTTTGTGCTCGAGATTGTGCTAAGTCCTTGTGCATTCTTTAATCCTCTGAATGACTGAGGTGCTCAAATCTCTCGTGTTGAGATGATGATACTGGGCTGGAAGTGTTAAGTGCCAAGTATAATTTGTGGATCTCATGTGCAGTCTGCCTGGTTTTCCCCAGTGATAATATTTGAAAATTAATTGCGTGTGGATTTTAAGTGCTAAATTTTCTCTAATCAGAATTGTTTTTATCACTAGCTAACCTACAGATATGTAGAACTAAGCGTGTTCATTTCTTTTAACCAGTTGAACATTTGTACTAGTCAAAAAGAGCATGACTCCAAATAGATTAAGGAACTACACTTGTTTTAGGAGCCGTTCACCTAAGATCTAAAGTAAGTAAAACTTGGTTTAGAGCTAAAATACGGCTTTGGCCTCTGGATATATATACTGCCCCCGAAGTAGAACAACAGATTAGTCTTAGGAGCCAATATGATGGTTCAGTGGGTGAAGAAGGCATGTGCTTTGCCGACCTGGAGACCTGATTTTGTTTTCTAGGACCTACATAAAGGTGGAAAGTAATGACTCCACAAGGTTATCCTGATGTGTGGGCCGCACGAGATAATTTAAAAATAAAATAATTTAAAGGCACCATAGAAGGAAAAATACAAATTTGAGACAGGTACTTCTTGAATACCTTTCTGTGATATGCTGTAATTGGTGGTAGGAGAACACAGCATTCCTCACTCTAAAGAAGAAGCTCTTGGGAGCTGGAGCGGTGGCTCAGCAGTTAAGATCACTGGGGTTCAGTTGTTAGCACCCACACTCCAGCATCCAGCACCATCATGTAGACACACATGCAGGCAAAACACCAATGCACACAAAATAAAAATAAATAAATAATTTTTTAATAAAGGGGGGAGCTCTTACCTTTTTTGTACCATAATATCTAGTTAGCAATCTGACAAACTTACTGATCTTCTTAAAATAATACTGTTAAATACACAAGCCAAAATACATAGCCAGCCTCGTGTGTGTGTGTGTGTGTGTGTGTGTGTGTGTGTGTGTACATGTATATACACACATATATAATACCATATATATGATATACTCATAAATTACACACTAATTAAGGAACCTAATTATATTGAGATGTGGGCTCTCAACCTAGAATGAAAAGGCATAATATATGATACTCCTTTATTAACACAGCAACTCTTATAAAGGAAAAAAAACATTTAATTTGTTTAATGATTAAAATAACATCTAATCTATGTCTTGGTCAGCAGGCAGCAGCAGGTTTCTGTATCCATACTGGGTGTAGCTTGAGGATAGGAGACCTCAAAGCCTGCCCCACAGTGACACACCTCCTCCAACAAGGGCACACCTCTTTTGGGGGCCATTTCCTTTCAAACCATCACCACAGAATCCATTAAGGAAAAGAAATAAGAAGCACGTCTCCTTGGAGTAATTTAGCCAACAGTGAGCCCAGATTTGAATTCTCTGCTTGTCTTTCCCCCCGTGCTCTGTCATTCTCTCTGTGTTGTATGAGCCTGAATCTGCTTGCTTTAATGCTGCTTTGTGAATGTGTCCCTAACAAAGGCATCAACAGTTTTACACAAGGAATGAAGCCACTGACTCCAACTGACTTAGATAACAAACAAAGGCTATCAAGTAATAATATCTGTATGTTGTAGTCAACACTGATGGTAGATATTTATTTTATGAGGCCACTTGGATCCTATTTTCAGCAAATGATTATCATAGCATACATGTATGCCTTACTTTGGGTCTGGGAATGGAAGAGTACATAACTTAAAACACTAGCTTAGATTGTGAAGGTTGACTCCGTGATAAATCCAAGGTAGGTAAGTTTAGTTGTTTACATTGCTGTCTTTTGAGACAGGTCTCTCTGTGTAGCCCTGGCTGGCATCACACTCAGATCTACCTCCCTGTGCCTCAGGAGTGCTGGAATTAAAAGGCTTATGCACTATGCCTGGTTACATTGTTCTCTTAAAAGTAGGTTAAACAGCCGGGCGGTGGTGGCACACGCCTTTAATCCCAGCACTCGGGAGGCAGAGGCAGGCGGATCTCTATAAGTTCGAGGCCAGCCTGGTCTACAGAGCGAGATCCAGGAAAGGCGCAAAGCTACACAGAGAAACCCTGTCTCAAAAAACCTTAAAAAAAAAAAAAAAAAAAAAAAAGTAGGTTAAACAGCCGGGCGGCGGCGGCGCACGCCTTTAATCCCAGCACTCGGGAGGCAGAGGCAGGCGGATCTCTATAAGTTCGAGGCCAGCCTGGTCTACAGAGCGAGATCCAGGAAAGGCGCAAAGCTACACAGAGAAACCCTGTCTCAAAAAACCTTAAAAAAAAAAAAAAAAAAAAAAAAGTAGGTTAAACAGCCGGGCGGCGGCGGCGCACGCCTTTAATCCCAGCACTCGGGAGGCAGAGGCCGGCGGATCTCTGTGAGTTCGAGGCCAGCCTGGGCTACCAAGTGAGTTCCAGGAAAGGCACAAAGCTACACAGAGAAACCCTGTCTCGAAAAAACCAAAAAAAAAAAAAAAAAAAAAAAAAGTAGGTTAAACAAACGGGCTGAGTACATAGTAGAATAGCAATCTTAAGTCATAGTGACCTTAAGGTGTATTATTAACTTGGCTGTGAGGGCCAGTAGAATTCTAGTCCTTAATCTTTTGTGTTCCATGGACCTTTTCTTGTAGATGTCAGATTAAAAACTCCCATCAAAGGATAGTATAGGTTAGAAAGGACAATACACTGCAATTAAATAATGTGATTATGTTTATATTCAATAAGTATTATGAGGACATCAAAGAACCTTGTAAGTGGGAGTATTTTATTAGAGCTTTATGGTGTAGCGTACATGGAGGCAAGAAAAGGACATTCTGGTAGAAAAGGAGTATGTCTTGACCCCTTCATTCAAATACAAACAGATTTATTTTTAGTGATGGCGAGGAGTCACAAATGACACTCGAAAGCGTTTGGGATGAACATATGGCCTTTGAGTTCTAAGGGGTTTGTTACATTGGTTTTTCTAGCAGCTGTGTGGGAAATACCCACTTTATTTAGCCAGTATAAAATGCCTATTGTGTGTTAATTTTTTTTTAATCCAGGCAACTAAGCATATAATAAACCCTGATGATTCTGTAATGGACGCTGTGGGAGCTCAGAAGAGATCTTGCTACATCTAGAAAGCTAAGGAAAGTAAGAAAAGATTTTAGGTGAAAGATGAAAGAACTGTTTAGGCAAAACTGGTTAGGAATGGCCCAGGTTCATTCGGGAGAGGAGTGGGAGACCAGGAGGGGACCGATGAAGCAAAGCAGGCATTTGTGTCTTCCTGCGGGGTTGGACTTGCATGCCAGTGTTTCCCAGGATGCGTTTTCTTGAAAATTGGGTGTGCAAAATGTAATCGGTGTTCATTGTAAAGGATTTTTTCTTGGCCATATTCACTTGGGATGCAGGATTAATATTTAGATTCCAGTCTGAAATGTGAAGGAAGATTTTCTGATGGCTGTGCTACAGAGAGTCCCCTGAGCCTGGTGAACTCTTGGCACGGTGGGCCTTTCATTATGTCAAATACCGTTTAGAAAAGATGACTGCTCTTTTCTCTTTTGTTTTTTTGTTTTGGTTTGTTTGTTTGTTTTGAGACAAGGTTTCTCTAACAACCTTAACTGTCCTGGAGCTCACTCTGTAGCCCAGGCTGGCCTCAAACTCAGAGATTCACCTACCTCTGCCTCCCGAGTGCTAGGATTAAAGGCGTGCACCACCACTGCCCCAGTGATTATGCTCTTTCATGAATATGTATTTTTTTTATACCTTTAATTTTTTGTTACTAGTTTTATTGAAACTAGATTCCAGGTTGCCTTAGAATTCATGATCCTTCTGCTCTGCTTCTGTAATGCTGGGATTAATGTCTTGAAAAAAGTATTTAAGGTGTTGTTGTTGTTGTCAATGTGTATGGGTGTTTTGCCAGCATGTGTATGTCTGTGCACCTGGTACCTGTGGAGGCCAGAAGAGGGTGTTGGATCTCATGGAACTGGAGTTAGATGGTTGTGAGCTGCCACATTGGTACTGGGAATCAAATGGGATCCTGTGGTGAAGAGCAGTATTTTTATGATTTATGGAGTTATTTTTTATTAAGGTATATAAAACAATTGGTTTCTTTTCTTTTTTTTTCCCTCTCTTGTCTCTCTCTTCCCCCCTCTCCCTTCCCTCCTCCCTCCTGGAGATTTTTGAGACAAGATCTTGTTGTGTAGCCCAGCCTGGCCTTGAACTTACAGTCTTCTACTCTAACCTCCTAAGTACTGAAAGAGCAGGCATGTTCAAACATGCTGGATAAAACATGCAGTTTTCTGGATAAGTATTTCTTTTTTTTTTTTTTTTTTAAGATTTATTTATTTATTATGTATACAGCATATATGACTGCAGGCCAGAAGAGGGCACCAGATTCCATTACAGATGGTTGTGAGCCACCATGTGGTTGCTGGGAATTGAACTCAGGACCTCTGGAAGAGCAGTCAGTGCTCTTAACCTCTGAGCCATCTCTCCAGCCCCTCGATAAGTATTTCTAAAGGAATTTATTGTCAGTTTAGAAGAAAATCTTTGCGTTCATCTGGAGTACTGTTTTGTCTAGTCAAAAAAGACTTAATATTATGCTAGCCACTTTCACCTTTTATTGATCTGATACAGGTACTCGATGCTCTTAGCTCCTCAAAGAGGAATCAGTAGTTACATTGTTAAATGTTTCATTTTCTCAAGATCATAGATTGGACTGTACTGTTGTGGAAGATGAGTTTAGTCCAATGAATAAATAGCGTAGGAAACAGTCCACAGTTAGGTTTCTGGAGCCAGGAGGCTTCAGTTTTATCAGACTAGTTTGAGACCTGTTTATAGTTTCTTATAGGTCATAACTAGTGGACTCTCTCCATCCTGGGCTTTAAGTTAGTCTCAAGGGCCTGGAGAGATAACTCAGTGATTAAGAGCACTTCCTGTTCTTGGAGGGCACCAGTTCTGTTCTCAGCACTAGTATCAGGCCATTCAGGCAACTCCAAGCTGCATGTAACTCAGTTCCAGGGGACTCACCCTCTTCTGGCCTCTACAGGCACACACCCCAAACTCCGCCGCCTCACACACACAAACACATAAATAAAAATAATTTTTTTTTTAGTTAGGTTCAGTAAATCTCCAGTCCAATATCTAAAACATATTATTAGATTTTTTTTTTTTTTCTCTACTCCTTTTCACTTAAGTCAGAAATCTGGAGTTTGCCCTCTACCCTACCCCTAAGTGCTGGGGATTGGACCTAGGCTAGCTGGAGTTTTAACTTCCTCCTTGCATTTTCATCTCTAAAGTGTCTTCATCTCTTCTCTTTAGTTCTGTCTGACAGGTGGGCTTTTTAACTGCAAGGTTAGCTTGTTCCATGTTTCTTGAGTCTTTTCCTTCTGGTTCATCTTCAGCATTATTGTTTCCACATATTAGCTGCTCCCTAGACTCGCATGCCTTCCCCTCTAGATGGAATCGGATCGTTACTGGGAAGTGAACATGGCAGGCAGCTCTTGAGTCAGTTAGACCTTTGCACTGGAGAGTTGGTCCTTCAGAGCATAGGCTTCAAGTCAGCAAGCCCACATGAAAATCCTTCCCACTGTGAGAGACAGAGTTTTAATCTTCCTAAAACTGCGTTTGCTTCCCTGGATGGAGTATATTGTTTTTAATGATACTGTGTTGATATAACATTATTAACGATAAAAGACTTAATGAGGATTCGATGAATATTCATAAGTAGTATTGATGTTGGTTTGTTAGTGGAAATATAAAGGTGCAGTCACTTGGAAAAGCTGGGCAGTTTTTAAAAATATTAGACAGCAAATGACCCAGGAATAATTCTGCTGTGTATATATTGAAGAGAAAAAAACATGTCTGCGGAAAAGCACATGCATGTTCTTAGTCATTTGGTATTCTTAATATTCAAAAAAGTAGAAACCAAATATGTTTGTAAAATGGAATATTACTCAATAAAATTAGATACTCTATGGCATGAATGAAGCATAGAGACATTGGAATGAATGAAATAAGTCAACTACAAGAGACTGTATCATGTTCAGTTGCATTTATATGAAATACCCAGAATATACAAATCAATAAAAACAAAGTAGTGGTGTCTGGGAACTTCGGGAGGGAAATCATTACTAATAGATATGGAATTTCTTTGGAGGGGTTGATAAAAAACATTACAAAATTAGATAATTTTATAACCTTTCACAATTTTATAACATCTCACAGGTTGTTTCACAAGTCTGTGAATATACTTAAACTGTTGAACTATATACCCTATGAGGATTTATTTTGTGCTGTTAATGTGTCAGTGAAGTTATTCAAATTTTTAAAATAAAAAGAGGTAACTTTTGGTGTGCACATCTACTTTCAGTTCCTTTCAAGTTTCCCAAGGGCAAGTCCTGTGACAGTTTCATGTTTCTATCTAGTATATAATATCCTCTCTATAGTAGGTAATTAGTAAGTGTGGCAAATCTCTATGAAGCAGACTGCCTGAGCTTCATTAAGCTGGATTGGCACAGAAACTTCACAGAGTAAATGAGACCATCAGTGTACATCTTTATACTTAAGTTCTTGTGCTAGAAAACGGTAGCTTTTAGGAACGGGAGTTAACCAAGTTGTCTGTTTTGTCTTTCAGGATACACACCTGCTCAAGCTGCTTAAAACATTAGAAGGACATGCGTATGGTGTTTCTTACATTGCATGGAGTCCAGATGACAACTATCTTGTTGCTTGTGGCCCAGATGACTGCTCTGAGCTTTGGCTTTGGAATGTACAAGTGAGCGCGTTCTCTCCTGGTTTAAGTCCAGCATAATCTTAACACACATATTTGTTAAAACTTTATTCTTAGGCAGTCGGTGGTAGCACATGCCTTTAATCTCAGCACTTGGGAGGCAGAGGCAGGTGGATCTCTGAGATCGAGGCCAGCCTGGTCTACAGAGCAAGTTCCAGAACAGCCAGAGCTACACAGAGAAACTCTTATCTCAGAAAGGAAAAAAAAAAAAAGAGAGAGAACAATGTTATTTTTAGTTTATACAACAGAACCATTTAACCTAAATGACTATAACATTTCTCTTATAAGTTATAGTGCTTGCTTCAAGTGTTTAGAACCCAGATGTTAAGATTTATAAATTTAATTTATTCTGGATAGTTTATTAAAAAGATGGTCAGTATGTTTTGCCTTGTTCAGTGGAATTTATACTGTTTAGCCTGAAAAAAAATTTAGTTGTTGTGTTTTTATCATTGTGCATGAAGCTTAACCTTTCAAGTGTTAAATAAAATTTCACATCATGATGGCAAATATACTATTTCTTAAACTACATTTAGTAGTGTGAGCTAGGTTAGTGCAATTAAAGAGTGCTCTCAGAACATACTTTTATTTATATTACTGTTTCTAACTGAAAACTTGAACTTTATGATCCTCTCTTAGACAAACTTGGTATTAGGTTCACTCCATTTTACAGGTTTTTGAATCCCCATATTTAAAATTTAAACTCTCAGTAAAGGAATGATAATCTGTGGTTTGAGTATAAAAGTAAAACTTTATAGGATGGGACTTTGAATCCATTAACTGTTAATAGAAGAGTAAAAATAATATTGCACCAGGTGGCGGTGGCACATGCTTTTAATCCCAGCACTTGGGAGGCAGAGCCAGGCAGATCTCTGTGAGTTCGAGGCCAGTCTGGCCTACAGAGCAAGATCCAGGACAGGCACCAAAACTGCACGGGGGGGGGGGGGGGGGGGGGGGGGGGGGGGTGGGGGGGGGTGGGGGGGGGGTGGGGGCGGGGGCGGTTGCGGGGGACGGGACTGTGAGCAGGGTGTGATGGCGCACACCTTTGATTCCAGCACTTGGAAGGATCTCTGAGTTCAAGGCCACCCTGGTCTGCAGAGCAAGCTCCAGGACAGCTGGCAGTACATTTAAAAAATAATAATAATATTCCACAGAGATGAAATATTATGGGTGGCATGAACAGAGTGAACACTGAGATGGGCCTTCAAGTGAAATACATAGTCCTAATGCTGTGGAGTAAAATTTTCTGACTGCTCATTTACTTCCCTTTTGTTACCCCAGTGTTTTTTTTTGTTTGTTTGTTTTTTGTTTTGTTTTGTTTTTTGGGTTTTTTTTTTTTTTTTTTTTTGCTGTTTCTTTTTTTCAAGACAAGGTTTCTCTGTGTAACAGCTCTGTCTGCCTTACTAGGGACGTAACACCTAACACTTGTGTGGTCTTTACTCGAGTTAGATTGAGTTTCTGGGCAGTTAACCATATCTAGGCGTAACTGTTACTATGCACTACTTGGTAAGTTAAGGCCTTTTCCAGAAGGGTTGTCTTTTACGAAGTCCCAGGGCTATTTCTGTTTTTAGATAGGCTTCTAATCTAATGACCTCATGTACTCACTGTTGTGTGCAGAACAGAAGGAAAACATTGCTGCCTCAGAACTTCTGTGCTAATGTCTTTGTTAAAGTAAACACCCGAGATTTGGTGGCTTTTTGTGTTTGCATTTCATCTTAGCTATTCAGGTCTAGTAACCAAAACAGTAATTAAATAGCTGAGAATAGTGAAGAGTTTGGGGAAGGATTTATGTTGTACAAATCTTAATTGGTCTTATAATAAAAATCCACAGCCAGGTATCAGGGTGAAAGCTGAAAGATCAGAGAAGCAGAGCAAGCCACAGACACCACCTCTTACCTCACCAACTCCTCAGCCTGAAACATCTTATTCCTGTCTCCTCCTGCCTTATATTCCTTTCTCTGCTCAGCCATATCTCTTCCTGTCTCAACCTTCCTAGTGCTGGGATTAAAGGTGTATGCCACCACCAACTGGCTCAGTTTCTCTTTTAGACTGTTTCTCATGTAGCCCAGTGTGGCCTTGAACTCACAGAAATCCAGAAGGATCTCTGCTTCTGCCTCCCAGGCGCTAGGATTAAAGGTGTGTGCCACCACTGCCTGCCCTCTATGTTTAATCTAGTGGCTTGTTCTGTCCTCTGATCTTCAGGCAGATTTTATTTGTTCAACTATTACCACAAATTTAGATGTTGAATTGGGTTTTTGTTTGTTTGTTTTTGTTTGTTCCTCTCATGTAAGGGAGACATCTAGTTTTCTTTTTTGTGCCTCTTGTGCCTTTATTACTTGATCCCAGGTTCCTAATCATACCCTTTGTTTTCACTCTTTTAGTCTTACTTTTAAGAACCCATTTCTCACAGGAAAATTATGTCCACATACTTGTCTTTATACCAAGGGCAGCTATTACCTCTCAGGTCCTGTTTCTAATTCCTGAACAAACTTGAACAAGACTAGATTAAATGGTATGTGTAATGTTTCATAAGTTGAATAACCTAGAACATGTAACGAGGATATCTGAGCCTTAAGCACTAAACAAGCTTGATTAGTTGGAAGCACTGTAGAATGCTATGCTAGATAGTACAGAGGTTCTTTGTTCTGCTTTTAATTGAAATAGTTACGTATTAGAAAAAGTAGTCTTTTTTCCATCCTCCCTGCTATATTATGATCATTTGAATATGATATTTAGCATAATTAAAATTGCCCTTAGCGGGTTCTAAGGGCATAGTTTTACTAGCTATTAATCATGTTCTTAAGGAATTGCTAATTGCATTAACTGGTTTTATGATAAAATTGATAAAGAATTTTGGACTGAGATGGAGGCTCAGAAGGATTTAAGTTTGTAGCTTTGGGCTTTTCATTGTCTTGATTGTGAAAAATTACATTTTAGTTTAATTCTTTTAAGATGAGAAATTTATTAAAATTTATTAAAGCTTATTATATGTGAACTTTAAATTTTTCTTTGAGTGCTGTAGTCTTGGTTCTGGTGAGGCCAGTTGAAATCACCATTTCTCTGATTAGCAGTGATGCACTAGTAAAATACCCCAGGCACCTTCCATTCTTCTGGCTACCTTCTACCTACTTTCTTCTTCCTTCCTCCTCTTCTCCCTCCCTTTCCAGTCTGTCTGTCTTTACATAGACCCTTAGGAGTCTTGAACGTCTTATCCACAGTTTTATTTCCTTATAGACGGGAGAACTAAGAACAAAAATGAGCCAATCTCATGAAGACAGTTTGACCAGTGTAGCCTGGAATCCAGATGGGAAACGCTTCGTGACTGGAGGTCAGCGTGGGCAGTTCTATCAGTGTGTAAGTACTGAGTGCCTATTGGAAAGGAAATTGAGTTGTTGAACTCGTTTTAGAATTTACAGTTGCCAGGCATGATGGGGCACACTTTAAATCACAGCACTTGACCGGTAGGGGCAGGCAGATCTTTGTAAGTTCTACAGGCCAGCCAGGGCTACATGTAAGACCCACTCCCATCTCAAAAATCAATAAATAAGTAAATAAGTAAATAAAATTAAGATTCACTTGACACAATATATGAAAACTTATTTACCATCCTCTTAAGTGAATATTTAATAGAATTTTTTGTTACTTCTTTTGTATTTTTAAAACCACTGAAGTTATTCCTGAAAAGTATAAAATGAGCTGGGCATGGTGGCTATTATCCCAGCATCTAGGAGGCAGAGGCAGGTGGATCTCTGAGTTCTAGGCCAGCCAGGAGAACATAGTGAGACCCTGTCTCAAAAACAAAGGTACTAATTTATAGGACTGAAAAGTTCAGCGTTTTCTTTTGAGTGTGTTTAGGCCTTTTTAAGAAAAACAGTGCTAGCCAGGCATGGTGACCCATGCATATAATCCCTGCACTTGGGAGATTGAGATGGAAAAATTGCCAAGAGTTAAAAAGTAGCCTGGGCTGTAGTGAGTTAGATACAGCCTAGACTATAGAGTGAGCCCCTGTCTCCAGAAGCAGTGTTGTAGAGCTGAGGATGTAGCTCAGCGTGAACAAGGCCTGATGGCACACACTCTAATTCTAGCACTTGGGAGGTTAGGAATTATAGGATCATAAGTTCAAGGTCCTCCTTGGCATGTAGGTCAACTTGGGGTATAGGAGACGCAGTGTGAAATGACAGCAAACCCACAGGAATGCTGAATTTCATGAATGGACACAGTGGAAATGTTTGAGAACTGAAAGTAAGAAATGCTGGGGCTGAAGGGATGGCGCAGCAGTTGAGCATGCTGTGCTCTTACAAGGTCCCATGTTGGGTGGCTCACAACCACTTCTCACTGCTGTCAGAGGATCTGAGGCCCTCTTTTGGCTTCTGTGGGTAACTACACACATGTGCACATACCCTCACACATACCAATATAATTTCAAAAATCCTTTTAAAAAAGTGATGGGTGCTGACAGAATTTTTCAGTCATTTCAAGGATCTTATGGTCACCAGCTGCTGTGTTGATTGAGATTTGGATGTTGTTGTTTCTGAGTCAGGGTCACCATGTAGCACTGGCTACCCTAGCACTCCCTGTATAGACCAGACGAACCCCAGGCTCACAAAGATCCTCCTGCATGTGCCCTCAGAGTGCTGGGATTAAAGGGGTGTACCACCACACCTGGCAATTACAACTTATTTGATTCAACCAAGGTAAACTGTCCTGTGACATACAATGCAGTATCCTTATGCTTTGTCTAGGTTCCACATGTCACACGTACCACTGTCTCACGTGGTTCCAGTAGGTGTTTTCAGGTTCAGTTAGGTGTTTGTTTAGATAAACTGTCTGTAGTTGACCTTTGTGGAATAAAACAGATCTTAATAGGCTATCCCACAGGCTTCATTTCTTCTGGATAGGTCATTTAACATACTTCCAGGGCAGCTCACTGGCAATCCAATATCTCCCTGGGTAGCTATTGCAAGTTGCCACTTTCTAGTAAAATGAAGCTTCTAGAATTCATTATTTATTCTAGCAGGGTCTAACCTATTAATTCCTAGTTCTCTTCTTTTCGTATCACAGCTTTGCATGTCAGAGTACAGTGTTTACAGACCTGTGGTCGAACTCTCCTAAGTTAAAATACTTGTAGTTTGGCTAGGAAAAAAACAAAACTATTTTCATGAGGCATTGCCAAGCATTTACATCAGGCTTGTTTTTTTTGTTTGTTTCCCTGCTTAGGACCTGGATGGAAATCTTTTGGACTCCTGGGAGGGGGTGCGAGTGCAATGCCTATGGTGCTTGAGTGATGGGAAGACTGTGCTGGCTTCTGATACACACCAGAGGATCCGGGGCTACAACTTTGAGGACCTTACAGATAGGAACATGTAACTATTATTTTGTTTCCAGTAGAAATGATCTAATTTAGCAGGGTGCAGTGTCGCACGCCTTTAATCCCAGCACATGGGAGGCAGAGGCCAGCCAATCTGTGAGTTCAAGGCCAGCCTGGTCTACAAAAAGAGTTCCAGGACAGCCAGGGCTACACAGAGAAACTCTGTCTTGAATCCTACCCCCCTCCCCCCACAAAAAAAGGAAAAAAAAGGAAATGGTCTAATTTATACCAAAACATGTATACAGTTGGGCTTTTCCAGAAAAGCAGTTTTGTTTGTTTTTTGTTTTGATTGGTGATTTGAGTTGGTGTTCAGGGGGTATTTGTTACCCCATTCTGATAGACATATATAAGGCAAAGATGTCATTTAAGCTGTAATAGTTTATAGTCTCTCATAGTTTGAAGTTCTTGACTCTTCGTTTGCTGTTCCTGACAAATTATTTCTGATTACAGAGTACAAGAAGATCATCCTATTATGTCATTTACTATTTCAAAAAATGGCCGATTAGCTTTGTTAAATGTAGCAACTCAGGTATGTTTTTTGTTTGTTTTACAGCTTTCAGAAAAATTCAGCTTAGTGAAAAATTATTCAATCTAGCTATTAAATATCTGTGTTTAGTGCTTAAGTGTGTAGGGATCAGCTACGAGTTTATTGAAGCACTGGCGTTTTGCACAAGTAGAAATTAAGAATGCTCCAGTGGACAAAGGAGTATTCACAAATTACTGTTAAAGATTCTCTTGAGACTGGGTGTGGCAGCCCACACTTTTAATCCCAGCACTCAGGAGGTGTAAATGGGCAATCTCTCTGAATTTAAAAGCAGTTTTCCAAGCCATTGGGCTAGATCAGCAGGTCTCAACCTGTGGATCAAGACCATTTTGGGGTTGAACAATCCTTCACAGGATTGGCTTATTAGATATCCTGCCTATCAGATTTTACATTATAATTCATAACAGTCGCAAAATTACAGTTATGAAGTAGCAACAAAAGTAATTTTATGGTCGGGGGTCACCACAACATGAGGAACTGTGTTAAAGGTCACAGCATTAGGAAGGTGGGCTAGATTGTCTGCCTTTTACAAAATAAAACAAAAAACCTACTAAGCTTATTGATGTCATACATGCCTATACTCTAAAAAACTTGGGAGGGTGGGGCATAGTGCCAAACACTTTTAGTCCCAGCACTCAGGAGGCAGAGGCAGGTGGATCTCTGAATTCAGGCCAGCCTGGTCTACAGCGTAAGTTCTAAAACAGCTAGCCAGGGCTACACGGAGAAAACCTGTCTTCACAAAAAAAAAAAAAAAGAGAGAGAGAGAGAGGGGAAGAAAGAAAAAGAAAGAAAGAAAGAAAGAAAGAAAGAAAGAAAGAAAGAAAGAAAGAAAGAAAGAAAGAAAGGGGACTTGTGAGGATCTGTCAGTTCCAAGCTAGCCTGGAGTATACAGTGAGATTGTCCTTTTTTTAAAGTCATAGAGGGAAAACCCTATCCAAAAAAACAATAGCAACAAAAACTTCTTTTTCTTTTTTTTTTTTTTTTTGCCTGCAGGGAGTTCATTTATGGGACTTGCAAGACAGAGTTTTAGTAAGGAAATATCAAGGTGTCACACAAGGGTTTTATACAATTCATTCATGTTTTGGAGGCCATAATGAAGACTTCATCGCTAGTGGCAGTGAAGGTAAGATGTCTGTCACTGCTGGTTCACCTGGACAGGTTCATTTAAAGTGTCTGTCACTGCTGGTTCACCAGGACAGGTTAATTTAAAGGGCTATAATACTCTTTATCAGGGTAGCTTATTTTTCTGGAAGCATAAGATAGGAGATTAAATTTCTTAGTAGTTTATCCCGTATGTTCTTAATGTTACCTTTTGGGGAATGGCTTGAATCCTTGGTGTTTGGTTTTGGTTTTGATTGCTTGTTCATTTTCCTTTGTGTTGTTGGGGATGGATCCCAGGGCCCTCAGGCCACTAGTGTTCTGTGGTTGAGCCCTTCTTACTGTTTCAGATCAGTGCAACCTGTCCTAATCATGTGTTAGAAGTATGTTTGATGTTCGGATCAAATCAAAATTTGCTTAAGTCATTATACCTTTACAGACTTGTTTTTTCACGGGACTGATAGTTTTTAAAGGTTGGTAAAAGTCAGGCTTGCTGGTCATAGTGGCACATGCCTTTAATCCTAGCACTGGGAGGTGGAGGCAGAGACAAGTGGATTTCTGTGAGTTCGAAGCCAGCCTGGTCTACATAGTTCCAGGACAGCCAGGACTGTGTAGAAAGAACCTGTCTCCAAAACCAAAAGTTGGGATTAATTATTATGATTTAATCTGTTTTAACACAGTCATTATTTCTACTAAGACTATGGGAAAAGTTGAGTTTGATTACTTTTCTTAAAGATAGTGAGTATGTATGTTTGAGTACCACTTTTATGCCTGGTAGTTGTTAATGGTTTCAGGAAAGCTCAAATTCACACACCTGTCCCTTCTACTAAACTTGGTGTGTAGGTGACAAACATCTGTATTTAAACATGTGCCTGAACAGCAGAGAAATTAGTTTTTCATTATTCAAGTTATATAGAAAGGTTCTAAAAATGTTTTGAACTCCAGCTATATATAGAAATTTCCCAAGATGACCACAGTAATTATTCTACTATTAATTTTTAAGTACTATATTTCAGAAGCCCACTAAATACCCTAAAATATATAGGAAAACTCGGGATTTGGGATTGTGATAGCTCAGTTGGTATTGTGCTTGTCAGCACACACCCAGTCCTGGGTTCAGTCCCTCACACACAAACCATACATGGTGGCTCACACCTGTAATCACAGCCCTAGGTACAGGGAGGAGGATCAGAAGTTCAGGATCACCCTTTGATACATAGTCTGAGACTGCTTGGGCTACAGACTGTCTTTACATAGGCAATTGATTTGCCAGACTGATACAGCACATAGAACATAGTCAGCATAAACCATATCATTTTGACTTTGATGGCTGCAGATCCTAGTTACCTTAGCAGGAAATACCTCCTTGAACATGTGTACACATGAACCAGAATTCACAGAAATCTGCCCACCCCCCAAGTTCTGGAATCAAAGGTGTGTATCATCTTCCCACTTTTCAAACCTGTGCTCTTTGACTGAAATACAACTAACTAATCACCAGGTGTGGTGGTCCATGCCCTTAGTTCTACTACTTGAAACGTAGAGGCAGCACACCCACTCACAGATTTCCACATTGACCCATTATTTAACCAATAGATTGTCATCATAAAGAGCTGATTTATCCTGGGGTTCTGTTGTCAGTTTAGAAGTATCTACTAATTAGCTTATTCCCAAGCTGTAGCAGATTTGATTTTTTTATGGTCACTTATGATCATCTTCTAGAAGCTCTCCAGAAGGTACTCAATATGAGGTGGTTGTCTGCAGTAATCCCTAAGCAGAGCTACAGTTAAGAGGTCTACCTGCATTGTAGACCTTAGAGGGGCTTAACCTCTCCGTACTTCAGGTACCGTCTCTACAGTGTAGGGAAGCACAGTACCCACTTCATCAATTACACGCAGAGTACTTTGTAAGCTCCCCATAAAGGTTTTACTCTCCTTGTGGTTTTTCAGTTTGGATACCTTGTTTCTCTCATCTCTACAGAATGCAGCAGCATCTCTGTTCTGAACTAGTTTATGGTCAAATACCTCCATTGTAATTGGAGTTTTTCTGTTAAAAAAAAATGTATTATGTGTATGTCTGTGTGCACACATGAATGTGAATGCAGAGTTCAGAAGAGGGTGCCTACGGTCCTGAGCCACCTTACATAGGTGCTTGGGAACATAGGTGCTCTGGTCCTCTATAAGAGCAGTAAGCACTCTTAACTGCTGAGCCGTCTTGCCACAGATTGCTATTATTCTTTAGTCACATGTGGACAGACTATTGCAAGTTGTCTTCGTGCCTTCAGAGCTATTTACTTTGAACAGAGGAAAAAAAATTATAATGTATTATATGGCTTTTCACAAAATTAATTTATTAAACTATTTTATTTTTTTCTTCCTTCAAGTTATAATATTGAAGTATCGTGTTGTGTGGGTAGTAAATGGTAATTTAGGGTCAGTGATTTTGTTAATAACACAGCTTTCTACCATTTCTCTGAACTGCTCTACATTTAGATCACAAGGTTTACATCTGGCACAAACGAAGTGAACTGCCAATTGCGGAGCTGACAGGGCACACGCGCACAGTAAATTGTGTTAGCTGGAACCCACAGATTCCATCTATGATGGCCAGTGCCTCCGATGACGGCACTGTTAGAATATGGGGACCAGCACCTTTCATAGACCACCAGAATATTGAAGGTAAGTCCTGCACAGTCCTTGTTTTCTCCAGATGAAACATTGCTCTGAGTTAGAATACTTTTAAATAGCAATTTAAATGTGGAGTATGACTTTTTTATCTCACCGATTTCACTTTACGGAAAACCTTAGAACTCTAAGATTAGGTTTTATCTGTTGTTTTTGGAGAGGCAATGAAGGAAGTAAGCTAGAATGTGCCACCTCATTTACATCAAGTTACCAATAATACTTTAAAATTTGGGGGGTTCAGAGATGAGTGTGAGGTAAGTGCTTGCCCCATAAGCGAGAGGACTTGAGTTTGGATCCCAGAACCCATGTAATGCCGGTGTATATGGTGTGAGTCTGTAATTCTCTTTGTTCTCACGGAACATGGGAGGTGGACACAGGAGGATTCCCAGAAGCTGTCACGGAACATGAGAGGTGGACACAGGAGAATTCCCAGAAGCTGTCAGGCCAGCTAGGCAGACATGTGCAGTGGAGAACAGGAGAGATTTTTTTTTCTCTCAGTGGAAGGCAAAGACTGACACCCAGTGTTGTCCTCTGACCTCCACACATCTTGCACTTTGCAGGCATGCATTTGCATGCACATACATACAAATTTTATTAAAATGTTTTCTCAGCCGGGCGGTGGTGGCACACGCCTTTAATCCCAGCACTCGGGAGGCAGAGGCAGGCGGATCTCTGTGAGTTCGAGGCCAGCCTGGTCTCCAAAGCGAGTTCCAGGAAAGGCGCAAAGCTACACAGAGAAACCCTGTCTCGAAAAACCAAAAAAAAAAAAAAAAAAAAAAAAAAAAAGTTTTCTCATGCTATGTAAAGGTGATATTACACGAAACATTTTATATACATGAGAACTAACCGATGTATAAAATTTGAGAAACTTTCATTTTAATGAGCATCATTTTGGGGTTTTCCTAATACGTTAGCACTATATAGCATACTAACATTAACTGTGACGAGGGAAAGAGGAAGGAACTAAAATTTCCTATGCTGCCTATGTGCCAAGTAGCATGCTCAGAGTATATTTGCTCTCACATGTGTTCATGGTCTTGTAAGAGAAACATTTTTATTTTCATTTTATAGGGAAGGAACCAAAATATGGCAGACCCCCGTTAACTTGTTGAATGCTGCCATTTCGGCAAGTCTAGGTCTGGAAAGTTTTCCCACCACCTTGATACTTGAAGATGAAGAAAGTCATAAAGCTAACAGATGAGGACAAATTCTTGATTAAATATAATAGTACTAGAGAGAAGTAATAAATTTTATGTAAATATCTTTTTTTTTTCCTCAAAGAGAACAAGTAAAAATGTCTCGTTTAGAAGGAAATAACTTACTTACAGATTGTTTTGTTCAATATGTCCCACCGAAGTGGTTGGTGTTTTTGTTTTGTTTTTCTCATGTGTGTGCCTGTGTGCCCATGCTACCTGATGTGCATGCTGGGAACAGAATGACAATCCTTTGCAAGAGCTGCAAGTGCTTTTAACTGCTAAAGCCATCTCTCGTCAGCTTCCCACCTAAATGATGTCGTAAGAAACACATGGAACAATTTCAACTAAAGGTGTTCCTTGGAGGGAAGTTAGCTGTTTTTTTTTTAAAACACACGGATGAGGCCAGGCAGTGGTGGTGCAGGCCTTTAATCCCAGGACTCAAGAGGCAGAGGCAGACAGATCTCTGAGTTCGAGGCTAGCCTGGTCAACAGAGTGAATTCCAGGACTACACAGAAAAACCCTGTCTCGAAAAACAAAACAAAACAGAGCAAAACACAGAGATGAGAATTAAAAACTGTTAGAACTACTGCATCAAGTTGCATGGGATCTTGGAGGCCTTTTCTGTTGGTTTTTACTGTCTGATACTCCTGGGAAATCAACCAAGACTTTTAGTTGTCCTAAGTTTCAAGGCCCAGTTTCTAAGATACGGTCTTTGGAGATCTGCATCTGTAATTATCTGTACTTTTATACTTTATTAATCATTCAGAATGTGATTGGAAGAAGTAGGATAGGACTGGTCCTTACGTAGCAGCTTCATCCCATAAGGGGTACTGTCTTGCAGCACAATGGGCTAAGAGTTGCACTTTGTTCTTTGTGACTTTGGTTAATGTGAGTCACTTCAATGGGTATGCTGAATACTGGCTCACTTGCAAGATCAGGCCCAATTCAGCAGCGTCCATTACGCTACACCAACATAAGGCTGACCCTACAAATACAGTCATTCTCATTTCAAATAAAAGAACTACTTTTTGAGGATATCCTTTGGAGTCTTCCCACACATACAATGAAAATATTATTTTTTTTAAATAAATTGTACCTGCTTAGAATAGGAATTTGAACATGTAAGTGGATTAAAGATAACGTTCAAAAACTAGCATAAAGTTACATATGTCATTTAAACACTTAATTCAAAACTTTATACATATAAAAAGGTTTTTTATGTACATTTATGGTATGCAGGAGGGTGGTGGATACACGTGCTATGTTGAAGTCAGTGGATAGCTTGCTGGAGTTGGTCTCTTTCCCCCATGTGGGTTCTGTTGAACTCAGGTCTTCAAGCCTAGCAGCAAGTCTTTTGCCCATGGTGCCATCTTATTTGCCCAACAAATGTATCTTTATGTGTTACGGGTGTTTTGCCTGAATATGAATCTGTACCACATGTGTGGTGCCCACAGAGGCCAGAAGAGACCATCTGATTCCCTGGGACTGGAGTTAGAAGCTGTTTTAAAAACCCACCATGTGTGTTCTGGGAATCGAACCAGGGTCCTCTCTAAGGACAGCCATTGTTTTTTAACTGCTGAGCCATCACTCTAGCTCCTGGCTTAACAATTTATTTTAAAAAGAAGTTGCTGATCTTTTGTAATGAGTTGCAAGACTGATTGCCTTAGTAACTTTCTGGTTTTTGTGTGGTGGGGGTTATAAAATGGAATAGGATGAAGTATTTATACATGCTACATAAGGTGCATGAACCTTGAAAACAGTATGCTAAATGAAATATATCAGAAACAAAACATACAGACACACCATATGCTGTGATTACATTTTATATTGAATTGGTCTAAAAATAGGCCAGTCCACCAAGACCAGAGGAGTAGTTTTTTTATGAGGGTATATGTGACTGCTGAGATGGTGAAGTTGGTCTAAAACTGTGTGCTGATGTTGTACAAGCTGTCAGTATACTAAACCTAGTAAGTATTTTAAATGAGTGTGTGTTTATGGTATGTGAACTCTATCTCACTAAAGGTCATATATACACTTCTCCCAAACGGAGCTGGGTGAGGCTGTAGACCTCAAGCTTTGGCAGCTCAATGGATTAAATACATAGTTGAGTGTGCAGCTCTGCCTTGTACTACCAGAGTGTTCTTTCGTCTTTCTTATTGTAAACTGACAAAGATTTTCTTGTTCTAATTATCTATTTCAAGGTTAATTTTAAAAATAGGGAATTCTGTCAGTCATGGTTATGCATGTCTTTAATCCCAGCCCTCTGGAGGCAGAGGCAGGTAGATCTCTGAGTTCATGGCCAGCCAGAGCTACACAGTGAGACCCTGTCTCACTGCTGCCCCCACCCAAAGTAACATAAAATTAGGAAATTCTAACATAATTATTCATTTCTTTTCCTACATTATTCAAAATAATAATGAGGTTACATTATAAAAATACAACCTAAAAAGTTAAGGACTACAAAAATATCAAGAATTTGTTTATTGTTACTTATTCTGCTGTTATGTCCTAATGCAAATTTTGAAACTTTCTAACTGATATCTTTTCTTTTTTTCTCTGCACATTTTCATCTTGGCGTCATTCAGAGGAATGCAGTAGCATGGATAGTTGATGGCGAATTGGAGCAGACGACTTCTGTTTAACTTAAAATTAGTCGTATTTTAATGGCTTGGGATTTGGTGCAAACAAACATGATTGATAGCTGGACAGACATGCTCGTCATGAAAAAAGAACCATTTCTGAAGCCCGATTGGGGCCAAACCTTTACACCTTGCTTCATAGTAACCAGTTGATGAAGCACGTCGTTAGAACGTTGTTGGACACCATGTTGAATATTCCCCATCGGTTGTGAAGAACTGTACTGCATTCAGGCTTACCCATTGAACTCAGTATATATATTTTTTCCCTCCTGCCTTTTGTCTGGTGGGATACCATTCTTGTTGCTCTTCTGTGTAATGAAGTTCAAATGCTTGTTTGGAAACTTTATTTAACAGTTTAGAAGGCTTGATAGGAAGAGTTCATTAGTCTGAAGAGTATACATTGGACAGGAAAGAATTTTCCTTTTGTTTCTCCAAATCTTTCCGCCTTATTTAGCTTGAGATCTTTGCAGCTTGGTTCATGGATTCTAGCCTTGCCCGTTGCGCAGTATATACTGATCAGATGATAAACCAGTGAACTATGTCAAAAGCACTCTCAATATTACATTTGACAAAAAGTTTTGTACTTTTCACATAGCTTGTTGCCCCGTAAAAGGGTTAACAGCACAATTTTTTAAAAATAAATTAAGAAGTATTTATAGGATTAAAGTGACTTCATTTGTATACATTTGGAATCTAAACCAGCTTAAAAACAGTTTCCTCTGTGACTCAGATATGCAGTGTAACTGATGCTCTTCTGGGGTACCACCTGAGACATGGCATGGTCAGAAACAGTGCTCAGAAGGACATGGCACAGGAAAGCCAGAGAGACACTCTGAAGGTTCCCCCTTTTTATTTTATTCCCGAAGGGACATCAGTACCTGATGTTGAAGAAATTCAAGATTCAAAAGGAGAATTTTATAAATACACCAACATGAAAAATCAGCTATCAGTCTAGGTTTTCACGAAAGCTTGTTCCAAGTTCTTCTAGACTTGGTGCGATCTAGTAAAGTAGAGATCAGAAGATAGACCCACTTGGGGAATTTATAGTGTCGTTGAGACTTAGAATTCAGCAGGTTACAAACATATGTCAACTGGGATTCAAACCTCAGTCATTTCTCCTAATTGCCCTTAATGCCCAACATATAGGGACACTGGAATTTAACAAAGATTCCTTCTCAACTTCTCAGATGTTGCCATACTGAACCTCATTCAAACTGGTGCTGTGGACAGTCTTTCCCTCTCCTCCACCTTTTAGTTTAAGGGATGGTTTCCTTTATGGAAAAAGGCTCTCATTTTGAAGACTCTACATCTAATGTCTGATGTTCATGGTGTTTTTAAACCCCATAGCTGCTGGGTCTAACAGTCTCTCTTGAAATTGCCTGTTTTTCAGTAGAGGATGATCAGGGTGACCACAGCTATTGGAAAGAGAAATGGAATTACTCCCAAAGTAAGATCCTGGTGAAGAAAAAAAAAATCTTGTATCAAGTTGCCCTTGAGGCCAAGCCAAATCCATAGCATTCTCACCATGATCATACATACCCCTTCACGGCCCTAAGAGAGGAGAGATGCTTGGAGTGTAGGGCACATAAGGAGGGATAGAAGCAGGGAGGGAAAGTCGGGAAAAGGAAGAAGAAAACACATTCGGCCTTAAAGTAGAGTTCATTCTCCCAAAGTTCATAGTGAGGAAATGAGAGGTTGTAGTCAGCAATGATTTTATCAAATGAGTGTGTAAAAAGATTACATCAAGCTTCATTTTGCAGAGACCACCACTTTAGAAAATCAGAGAAATCCTGTTTTGATACTTCTAAGTTAAAATAATGTTACCGTTTATCTGGTACTTCATTTCTTTACTAAATTACTTTTCACTTTAAGCTTGAATAAAAATTTTCATTTGTAACTGTATATAATTAAGTGGCAACTCCTCTTTACCTCAGTGCAGTTCAAACCGTATTTTGATTGATATACCCTGACGCCATTAACACACACACCCAGTTTCTACATAACAGTCACTAACAAAATGAGGGCATAGAACTCCAGGGCTGTTTACAGATGTGGTTACATTGTACCATATGGTACATATGTAATGTTCCTGAGATTTGTGCCCACTGGGCAGTTGACACTCAGATTCTACCAGTATACCAAGCCACACCTAGATCTGAGTTTTCATAGTGCCTGTGAAGTACAGTTAAAAACACTTAGAAGTAAAAACGTGGACTCAGAGTGAGGCACATTTTAAAGTGGAGTTACAGCTATGCAAAGGTGTTCATAGCAGCTCGGTGAGTGGTTTCCAGGTCTGTTCTAATTGGCAGCTTCCTCTATATACTGGTACTTCACTGTGCCAATTTGCCGGAAGCATCTGTTTCATAGATTTACCATGACGTGAGTGTGTTAGAAAGGTGGGAAAGAGGGTGAAGAAACCTAGCTTTTATGATGGAAGAACCTGGTGGCAGGATTTTTCTAACCCATAGCTAGTAACTGAAAATTTCTGACAATGTGATAAACATAAAGGCTTAAGAGGGAAAATTCTGTCAAGCCAGCCACAAGATACTAACCAATGTATAAGCTGAAAAGTACCAATACTTTTTGCACATAGATCAAAATAGTGGAGAATTTTGGCTCCAAAAATCAGGTTAGTAGGCTCAATTCCTTGTGCTTAAAAATGTTGTTATTAATGCATTGATTAAGGGCTAGAGCAAGAATGAAATTAAATGTCTTTTTCCTCTGAATAACTGGTTATTAGTGGTAAAGTGTTGGATTGGGGGATCACTGAGGTTGGTGTGTGGGGGTGAGAAAAGGAGTTAGAGTGGGAGTTCGTTGGGAGATGGCAAAGCTTTGGATTTGGTTTTGTATTTTGTTAGTATTCATGCCAGCAGTATTTGCTGCTCTCGCTGGCCAGATATTCTAGTAATCCAGGTAAGTAGTTGAAAACAGGAAATTTTATTTGCAAATATCCCCATATATTGGCCCATTTTCTTGGGTGGAGAACAAGAAAGGAATTCTCTGACTATAATGAAAACAACCTGCTAGACGAACCAAGAGCAATCTCCTTAGTCTGAGAAGACAAGCAGGAATTGAGCAAGATTAGTGGTTAGGAGTGTTCTGCCTTGACTGGCATTCTATGGCATTAATAGAAAATTCTTCTTCCCACCCCTCCCCGCCTTGAAATCTTTTTTAGGACGTTGGTTCCTGCAAACAAGAACTGACCCTCTGCCTCCCAGTGGGTAAATGTGTCGCACATCTCTTGAAAGGGAACATATCCATGTCATTTACTTTACAGCAGAAGAATGGGGAGGAAAGAAGATAATTTGTCTTAATATCCTTTGTGTCCCATTTTTTTAAAATATATTTTTACCTAGTAATTTTACTTTAATGTCTCAGACTTCAGCAACTCTCCCTTTGTTTGCTGGCCAAAGCATTACCTCCATTTCCAAACCCATACCTGGTTTCACTTCAACTGCTAACTTGAAAGAGGTGAATTTGCATTTACACTTAGACACTTTCTAAAAACAGGGTGGACTTAATCTAATGTTGCAGTGTTGAGCTATTGTTACAGTAGCTGCCCTTGAACTGCAAAAACAAGCTGTAACCATCCCTATCTACTGGATCCAGATGTCCTGGATTTAATGAGGTTAGTCGTATAAGATTTTGTGTGCTTGAGAAAGGAAGAACTTGATTCATAAAATATCCTAGAAACAACTTCTAGGTTGTCATTTTTACTGAAAGTCTTGTGCACATGTAAAGTGCCCTCTCTTGAGTTTAAGACTTGGCTAATACTTGTCTATTTTTATAAGAATGAAATTAATTGTGTCCCATCTTTGACTTAGACATTTACATTATCAGGATCAATATGGTAGAATTAAATCATAACATTTTTAGGCTCGGGGGGGGGATGTTATTGGCCTCTTGATAGTAAGAGAGTGAGTGAAAGTGTGTGTGTGTGTGTGTGTGTGTGTGTGTGTGTGTGTGTTTTGAGGGGAGTAGATCACAAAAGCATGTATGTGCTTACAAACCAAGCTGTAGAGATCACAAAGAATTTGAGTGTTGCTCTGGAGATTTCTGAGCTATGGAGAGTGATACGGCCTTGTGCGATGTAGCTCACACAGCTGTTGGTGTGGAGTAATAGTTAACTATGAACTGATAGATGTTTCCAGAGGATTGTGTTCTTAAACTTTGGGGTTTGCTTTTTTAACTGCCTCTCAGATTATATTTAGTAGTTTATAAATTTCTTTGTTTTATTATTTCATTAAAGTATAAAAACTTCAGGTCTCATATTTATTTTCACTTGTTCTACTAATTATTTACAAGACACCTTTTGGTTGACATTTATTTTATAAATGTGTGGTATATTAAATGTCTTTAAATTTTTTTGTTTGGTTGAAATTACAGTAACTTTGATTTGCTTTACTTGGATTTTTAAATTTTATTTTAATTACACCTTTTCCATGTCAGTGCACAGCACTTGCCCAGTCCTTTGTATTCCCTTCTCTCAATTCAATAAACAGAATGAGTAATTAATTCTTGTTGTATTATATCTCAAATGACTAATTTGCTGAACTGGTGGCCATATCTTGACCTGGGTTTGTGAATGGAGCCTAAGGAAACAATTCTTCATGTCCTTGAAGGAGGCTCTGGTGCAGCCAGTCATGGATAAGGGTAGATTCCAGAACCTGTACTTAAATAGAAGTGTGTGAGACTCAACCTGGGGAGGTGTGGGTTGATTTCCAAACCAATTTTCAGTTTTCTCATTAGAGGGAAAAGCCATCAAGATAGTGGTTGTTGCCAAGCCTAATGACCCAAGTTCGAGTCCTAGGACCTACATGAACAGAGAACCAACTCCTGCAACAACCTTACCCCTCCCCAGAAATAAATAAGTTAAAGGAGAAAATTTGTGTGTGTGTGCACGCATGCACATCCTCACCCTCTGAAGCTAGAGAGGGTGTAGGATCCCTGGAGATGGAGCTACAGGAATGTGAAGCATCAGAAACTGATGGTGGGACTCAGCAGGTGCTTGTAACTGCTGAGCCATCTTTCCAGTCCCAGAGAATTTTTTGTTAACATCTCATATAATTACATGGTATCAGCCTGCCACCTATCCAGTGATTGGTGTTTGACCAACACAAGACCAAGCTGTATTACTCCCCAGTGATGACAGCACAACTTAGACTCGGGACCAGAGAGTTTGAGGGACTGACCACTTATTTGCTTATGTGTATCTACTTGGTTACTGAGTGGTACTGATACACTGCTAATACACTCAGTGCTTTGTGTATTCCAGCCCCTAGAATAAGCCACTTGGTAATGTAATAGATAAGTACAATAGGTTTATATGGCAGTGGTAATTCCCAGCTTATAGATGAGGGAGAGCGGGTATGAAGCTGAGAGTCAAACCAAACCTCGAAGCTAATGTTTGCAGTCATACCATAGTCTTCCCTTAGTCTGTAGGTGGCTACTTTGGAAAAATCAAAATCTGTTAAGCGTCATTAAAATTAAATGACACTTGAGATTTCAGGAGGTATCCATATAATTAAACATTTAAGTTTTCTAGAGTCTTCAGGCAAGTTACTTAGTATGTGAAAGTCGGGCCACTCATCTGTGAAAGTATCCTACCGGACATTGAACTGAAAGAAAATTAAAATGTTTTTGAAGAACAGTTTAAAATTTAACAAAAGGGAAAAAGCAGACTTCAAGGCCATCCTAGTCTTCATACCAAGTTCCAGGCTGGAGAGAGGACTCAGCGGTTAGAACACTGGCTGCGCTTCCAGAGGACCCAGGTTCAATTCTCAGCACCCACATGGCAGCTCACCACCATCTCTAACTCCAATCCCTCTTCTGACTTCTGCAGTGAAATAAATGCTTTATAGACATTGTCCATATGTGTGGAGCTTGCTTAGATTGCTATGTTAACAAACCAACTGCAGAACTTTTGAGTCTTGGGGAGATTTGAGCCCTCATGGGTTATTTAATACAAATGGTAAATAGTCTTAACTAGTTACTACTCAGGAGGGAGAAGTAGGAGGTTTGTGGATTTGAACCTGCCTGAGCTACATAGCAAGACACCCCCCCCAAAAAAAAGATAGTTTATAGAGTGTTGGCATTATATTTGTATATGCTTTAAGATTCTAAACCTTAACATACGTGATGTTGAACTTGCTTCAAAGCGTGGTAGGCAGGGAAAGGTAGGTTATCAGTACAATGTGTTGACTATTACAACTGGTAGAAAATACCGCCGGGCGGTGGTGGTGCATGCCTTTAATCCCAGCACTCAGGAGGCAGAGACAGGTAGATCTCTGTGAGTTCGAGGCCAGCCTGGAACTCTACAGACCGAGATCCAGGAAAGGTGCAAAGCTACACAGAGAAACCCTGTCTCGAAAAAAAAAAAAAAAAAAAGAAAAGAAAATACCAACTAAGAACATGGGGTTATCTATCGAGGCTGGAGATGGAGCTGGGTGACATAAGCACTTGCCTAGCATTTGTGAAGCTCAGTTCCCAGCACTGAAAAACACTCTTGCAGGGGCAATGGCTCAGCAGATAAAAGCACTTCCTTGTAAGCCTGAGTTCAATCCCCAGAACCCACATAAGAAGCCAGATATGGTGATGTAGATCTGTAATCTTAGCAAGATTGGGAAGCAGAGACAATGACCTGGAAGGTAGCAGGCCAGCTATCCTGGAGTACACTGGGCAGTGGCAGAAATGAGACACTCTGCCTCAACAAAATGGAAGGTGAGGACTGACTCCACAAAGTTGTCCACTGACATCTATATCTCCTTGCCACAGAAAAAAATTAATTTAGAAAACCTATACAGATTTGCTACAGAGGACTTGCCTTGTCCCACAGATCTCTGTTGTCAGCAATCATAGCAGCAAATGTGTTGCCTTCAATTAAATAAGCTTCAATTCTGTTCAATCTGTGGAATAAGTAGGCCCTGGTAGATCAGTTCCAGAGATGTCAAGGTCTACAAGGAAGCTTCCCACAGTTGGATCATGTTCTCTCCCTTTGAGAATGATCAGTTTGAAGCAAGCTTTGGGAATGGACACAACACCTTTGCTCAAGTGCCAGCCAGGAGTAAATAGTTTAGGGGGTAGTGGATGTAAGTTGACATCATCGATCCTGGGGAGTGAGCTGTGAGGAAGAGATGTCAGGAGAGCCATGGAATCGTAACTCAATCTTAGACCAGGGCTGGGGTGTATTTGTATAGCTGTGGTAGAACACTTACCTAACATGTGCAAGGCCCTGGGTTCATTTCCTATCACTGCAGAAAACAAAACTTAACCATGACCTTCCAACCTGACAGGTTCTTTTAGAAAACAGGAACTTAGCATATTTGAGGTTTTATGTTTTCAGTTTGGGGTATTTGAGATATGGCTCAAGCAGGCCTTGAAGCAGCGGTGCCTCGGCCTCTAGAGTGCTGAGGTTACAGGTGTCCACCTCCACCACTGGCTTTTAAACCAGCACACATTTTGACCAGGTTCAAATGTGTAGAGGAAACTGATACATAAACGGGACCCAAGATACAAAAATGGCATTTTAACGGATGTAGCAGAGCAGACTGACAACAGAGGAAGCCACAGTCAAACCTCCAAGCTTCAGCAAGTTGATTGTGATCCCTCACCTATCACACCCTCTTCCCCACCCAGCCCTATGGGAAGCAGCTGAAAAGCTGTCTTTCTAAAGAGCAACGTGAGAGGAGTACCAAGTTAGTGCTGTGGCTTACTGTGGCAGCGACAGTTGAGGCTTTTTTTTTTTTTTTTTTTTTTTTATGTACATTGGTGTGAAGGTGTCAGATCCCCTAGAATTGGAGTTACAGACAGTTCTGAGCTGCCATGTAGGTGCTGGGAATTGGACCCAGGTCCTCTGGAAGAGCAGCCAGTGCTCTTAACCACAGAGCTATCTCTCCAGCCCCCAGCTAAGGCTTTGAACGACTGAGTCATTAGCAAAAACTAGCCTTCTGCCTTTTAAGACATTTGAGAAAAGTGGCCTAAATCCAAAGGCTTCACTGAAAATTGGCACTGCCATATCTGAATGGAATGGCAGAAGTCATAAAGCCAGCACAGCTGCTTGACAAAGGTCCAGCAGAGCTGAGCCACATGGTGGCTGCCATGCCACCTTTGGTTTTCATCTCCACCTCTTGCATACTTTGGGCACTTTTAATATTTGTACATTTGAGGATATTGGATTGATGGAAAATTCCTTATGAATCATTTATGCCTTCTCCCAAGAATGCTGCTTTTAAGCTCCCCCAGGACAGTCCTGAATAAACTACTCTCCCCCTGCCCCCACTTTGAGGGAGATACCCTTATCTACTTGAAGGTCTTCCTTATGCCTTGGAGGTTGTGACACATAAAGAAGCTAGAGGTCTCTTTATGAGGCTATGAGACATTCTTGAAACATCTGTCCCTGCACTTACACAGGAACAAGATATTCAAAACAAAGTAAACTCAAAAAGGTCAAGATTTGGTAGGCTAGAGGAATTGGCCACAGTTCAGATTACAAGCCTCTTTCCGCTGTACACTCAGACAATTATGTGGCATACAACTCTGCCCTACACAGAGACATACTGATGAGCAAAATATGGAATGGAAAGATGATAAAAGTGTGAGATGTTAGGACCTTCCTCTGTTAGAAGTTAGCTCATGTAGAGCCACTATAATGTCATATGACCAAGGAACAACAGAATGTCAAGATTAGACATATAGACAAATTCTATAAAGATATAAATGTGAACATTGATTGTATTATGCCAGAATTTAAATAATAACTGCAGCAGCTTTAGCCTGGGAATTTTTCCTGGGCACTCTGACCACTAAGAGTTAATAATACACTGCTTGGGACATGGCAAAATGCCCAGGGTGGTTGAAGATTTTTGTTTTGGTGTAGTGTCCTTGAAGCAATCAAGCAACCAGCCTGAGCACAGGCTGTCATATGCCTCTAGATTCTTAAAAATTGGTTTATAGGGTTAATGAGTAGTAATGATAACTGTTTATTAATGATATCAGAACTTGAGGGAAAATGATTGGAAATGATAACTCTGTTCTGTCATAGTTTATTAATGATGACAAAAAGATGAGCAAAAGAAAGTGAAGCACATGTCCAAAACCAAAAATGATATGATCTATATTTTGGAACATCATGAATGTATCCCTGCTAACTAAATTCTGTATAAGAAACACTCTGGCTGCTAGTCAGTCAGGCTACAAGATTCTCTCGACCACCATGGCCTGGCTCATTTCCTTCTCTTGCTGACTCCTTACACCCTCTGCAGGACCCATCCACCACTGGGGATGGCTCCTGGCAGAAAATCCTCAAGAAGAGCCATTTTTTTGGAATAGCCTTGCTAACTAATTTTACATCAAAAATATTTCAATCGATTATAGTACATGACATGTTTGGTTTAAAGGACAAAACTTAGGATGTAGCTTGGTTGATACCAAGTTCTAGACCAGCCCAGGACACAGATCTTGTCTTTAAAAATAAATAAGCAGGCTAGGGATGCCCTCTTCTGGCTTATAGGGGCACTGCACACTTGTGGTACACAGATATGCAAGCAGGCCAAACACCTATACATATAAAAAAAACCTTAATGCTGAACCTAGATGGCAAACACACAATTTCAAATTCTCCCCTTCTGTGGTACTGGAGATGCAACCCACAGCCTTGCTTGTGCCAGAAAGTTACACTAACACCGAGCCACACCCTCAGCCTCTTTCTGTGTCATCATATCATCATCATCATCATTTTATTCATTGTTTTTTCAAGGCCAGGTTTCTCTGTGTAGCCCTGTCTGTCCTGGAACTCACTCTGAAGATGAGGCTGGTCTCGAACGTGGAGATCACCTGCCTCTGCTTCCAGAGTGCTGGGATTAAAGGTGCACACCACTACTGTCTGGCTACTTCTGCATTATTAAAACAAGTTTACCTAGATATTAGAGAGAGACAATTACACCTAGTATGTGATAATCCTTAAGTTCTGATAGAATGTTACTTGTAAGCAAAATTAATTTCAGCAGTCTGAAGTAAACCCAATACAACAGTTTCCCTTTTAAGCTCAGAAGATCTTACAATACTTCTAGTGTGCACTACATTATTGGGCTGGTGACATGACTTAGTGGTTAAGAGCACTGGCTGCTCTTCCAGAGAACCCAGGTTCAATTCCTAGCACCCGCATGGCAGCTCACAACTGTAACTCCAGTTCCAGGGGATCTGACACCTTCACACAGACATACAGACAAGCAAAACAATACATTTAAAATAAAAATGTCATTTAAAAAACACTTCTAAAGTTAACTACCTTGAAGAAAGATAGTGGTGGACTTTGATTCTGTTGTTCCATTACTGCTTCTCTGAGTTAAAGGACATCAGTCAGACTTCTCCATGAAAGAGCAATAGAACAACACAATCTGATCAGCTTGTTATTCAACAGCCATTTATTGTTTCTGTGTGCAAGGCACTGTATTAGGCGCCAGGAGAGAAAGGAAGACAACACAAACATGAGCACAGTGGACTCTGCTCTCCAGGAGCGCACAATCTAGGAAGAGAGACCAACTGCATACAAGTGACAGCACTTCCCATAGGAGACAGTTCAGAGGTTTAAAGTCAGACCACGTCAGAGGGAAGCCTCTGAGTTCTTGCTACATCCTCCTCTTGTGTAGCAGGCATGAAGAGGGACCTGCTAGATGTGACGAGTGGGGCTGCATCTTGGGTCTCACTCCCTCAGCTCTGGAGAGCTAACAGTCATCTGCTATTGCTAAAAGTCTACAAGCAAAGGGCGACATGACCCAGCATAGGAGCACCCAATGGCAGTCTGTACTGGCAAGGCCCTCAACATTAGAGTCTTTACAGAGGGCACAGCCGGACACTGAACTGAACTAGACTTCAGGTGTTCACACTTTGGAGACCTCTGACAATCCCCAGGCCTGTCTCCATCTTGGAGATGAAAATGCTAGAACAGATAGCTCGGAGGTCCCTGCAATGCCCTGAGCACTGTACAGCAGCACTGTCAGCCCAACCACAGCCACTGAGGGCCAGTGCTTGCTCCCGCCTTTTCAGCACTTCTAGAAGCATCCCTCTCCCTCCAAAAAGTCCAGAGGAATGACTTTCCCAATCCCTTTCCTGGCTTTGATATACACAAGCAGTATGAGAAAGAAAGGGGTTGTTGGTAACTAGTTAGTGTTTCAGAATGAAGTTTGATTGTTAAAGACTAGGCAGCTTTCTCATTCACCCGGCCTTAGCAGCTTACACCTGACAGACAGTGATAGCCCAAAGGTGCTTGGCCATATCGCTTTCCGTTTGGGTTAAGAATACTTGGAGAAGATGAAACATTTGAGCCCCAAATCCTCCACTCCCTTGGAGCCATGTTAAGTATGATAGCTGACTGTCTCAGTTCTATGACTCCTCCAACAGGTCTGTCTGAAAAGCTTGAGCGACACCGAGAGGAAAAGGAAGGTAGGGTGGGGTGTTAAGCAGGTGTCTCAGAGAGAAACGGTATGAAAAAGATGGAAACAAACTAACTCCTGTGTTACAGCTTCTTAGCCCTTTCCCAGGCAGAAATACAAGATTACTGTTGGGAATTTCTGTGAATTTCAGAGTTCAGTGAACCAAGTTTCCTTTGCAAGCCATCCCGAATCCTTTTTTCCTATGTGGACAGAGCATGCTCCCATTCTGACAGGGAATCTAGCTTCCTGGCTCTCTTGCTTCTACCAATTCTCAATAAGACATGCGATATTTAAACATCTAATCTTCTGGGAAACCACACACTGTTTTGCCACCAAGGTCCATCATGCCAAAGTGAACAGTCATGTTTTCTTAAATACCAGTGCTTAGGACACCAACATTAAAGTGCAGATAGGACCGAGGAAGAATTGCCAGATTCACGCTGCACTGCAAGACACGATAAACAGAGGCTAGGAGGTGAACTGCTCTCATCCAGAGCCAGAGTTAAAGAGTGCTTAGTTACTGCCATGTGCATGCAATGGCTTGTACTGGGTTTCCCGATCCACGGAGTGATCAGCACAAAGGGAAAGGAGGCGCAATTAATTCTGCACCAAGTGAGGACTCACGGCTGTTTCACTAACAATGACTGACTGAGTTCCTCATTCTGAGAGGCTTCTAGCAAGTCGCCTCTCCAAATCCATTAAAACATATTACTAAAGAGATGAAATACAAATGGAACAATCATGCTGCAAAAATAAAGCCTGGCAAGAGCCAAGGTGACGACTGTGTGTGTGGGGGGGAGGGGATGGGAGGGAGTATGGAATTATAGAGATACAAGCTTTAAAATGAAAGCTCTTGATAAAAATCTTGATTTTAAAATTTATTTTTCCTTTCTGTAAGCAGGAATTACATTGTACCTGGGCACATGCCTTCAAATATTGCAAAGAAATAATTATATTTTAAAATGTCATTTTCTGTTGAAAGACTTAGCTGAAAAGTCCCCAAAATTCTTAAGCCACATTAACATGAAGTTGCCACAATATAGACAAGAGGGGTAACTAATAGCTGTATTGCTCTCTGCTCCGGCTTCTCAGACTTCAAGACAGCCCAGCTCATCTAGTCAGGGCTCTTTTGGGTGTGTTCTTATTTCCTTGGCATGCAAAGCTGGCACACATTCCTACCTCTACCAAACAGCTCTACCACAGAGAACACAAAACACTTTCACGTGTTGAGGGTGAGAATCAGAAATCTACAAAAACTCAATTCATTTTTTTTTTTTTTGTAAATACTTTATGTGGTAAAAATACAGCAAAAATAGCTTTTTTTTTGTTCAAAGACCAAAATATATACTGCTATGGTCATGGTTTTAAGGGTGGTTTAAGTAGTCTCTGGCTCCTCAATTGTGCAGTGTAGTGCAGCTGGCTTCAACCCCGGCTTCTCCAGCTTCAGTCATTTATCAAAGCTAGAATCATACTGTGGAAAGAAGAAATTGGAATTACTAATGTTTCCTTAGGATTCTCCTGGAATCTGGGCCATTCAAACCTGCATCCCCAGGTTCATCAAGAAATATTCACTGCAGTCACTTAAACCTGATAGAAATACTCAGATAAAAGCCTCTAATGTGCCGGGCAGTGGTGGCGCACGCCTTTAACCCCAGCACTCGGGAGACAGAGGCAGGAGGATCTCCGTGAGTTCGAGGCCAGCCTGGGCTACAGAGTGAGTTCCAGGAAAGGCGCAAAGTTACACAGAGAAACCCTGTCTGGAAAAAAAAAAAAAGCCTCTAATGTTTCCACTAAAACAATAAACAAATGGAGACGATAGGGAGAGAGTTAAATTTAAAACCAATTTGGTAGTGTCATTAAAAAATCAGTAGGGGCTAGCGAGATGGCTCAGCAGTTAAGAACACTCATTGCTCTTCTAGAGGACCAGGTCAGGTGGTTCACAACAGTTACTTGTCACTCCAGTTCCAGGGGACCCAATGCCTCTGACCTCCAAGGGCACCTGCACTCACCTGCACATATCCACATTCATGAGCACTCACACACACTACAAATAACAATAAACTCTTTAAAAATAAAATATGGCTGGGCACACGCCTTTAATCCCAGCACTCGGGAGGCAGAGTCAGGTGGATCTCTGTGAGTTCGAGGACAGCCTGGTCTACAGAGCGAGATCCAGCACAGGCACCAAAGCTACACAGAGAAACCCTGTCTCAAAAAAACAAAACAAAACAAAAAAACAAAAAACCTGCCCCTTAAATGCTACTGCCACTTGTTTTATTTGTTTGTTTTGGGTTTTTTGTTTGCTTTTCTTTTCAATACAGCGTTTCTCTGTGTAACAGCCCTGGCTGTCCTGTACTCACTGTGTAGACCAGGCTGGCCTCGAACTCATAGAGATCCATCTTCCTCTGCCTCCCGAGTGCTGGGATTAAAAGCATGTGCCACCACTGCCCAGCTCTTATTTTCTTATTTTTGAGATAGGATCTTGCTTTAACTTTGGAAACCATGGAATTTACTAAATAGTCCTGAATGGTCTTGAATTTGTGATTCTCCTGTCTCAGCCTCTCAAGTGCTGGGATTACAGATATGCAACATTATTCTTGGCTAAAATAATGATTTTTAAAAACCAGTATCTTGAGGTTGGAGACATAGCTTAGTGCTTAAGAGCTCTTCTTGCTCTTGCAGAGAACCCAGTTTCAGTTCCCAACACCTATATGGCAGCTTGTAACTATAACTCAAGTTCTAGGGGATCTGAAGCCTTCTGGGCTCCAGAGGCACCAGGCACAATTGTGCTACTCAAGCATAAATGCAGGCTTTTAAAACACCACACACATAAAACTATCATAACTGAAAACCAAAACCAAACCATTATCCTTCCTTCCAGGAGTGGTGGTTCACACCTAGAATACCAGCATTAGGGAGACTGAAACAAGAGAATTGCTGTAAGTTCTAGGCCTGACTGGACTACATAGTGAGTTCCAGGATAGCCAGCGTTACAAACAAAAAACCTACAAATACTTTAAAATTTTTACTTAGGAGTCTTCTTGTCTGTATCTATGTCTGTGCATCATGAGCATGCCTGGTACTCAGAGAGGCGAGAAGAGGGCATCAGATCCCCTAGAACTGAAGCTAGAGATGGCTATGAGCCACTAGGAGGGTACTAGGACTTGAACCTGGGTCCTCTGGAAGACCAGTGATCTTAACCACTGAGCCATCTCTCCAACTCCCTTTTTATTTTATTTCTTCTCTTCCTTTTTTGTTTAGACAGGGTCTTATCATATTGTCCTGGCTGGCCTGAACTCACTACGTAGGCCAACTTAAGAGATCTGCCTGCCTTTGCCTTCGGAGTGCTGGAATTAAAAGCATATACCACTATGCCTGGCAGAATAAGAGTTTCTAATCATTAAGATTTTGAAATGGAACAGTGAAAACTCTCAGGTAGAGTCTAACACAGAAAACAAATAGTAATGGCAGCTTTAGAGCATGTTAATAGCCTCAACAGCTAAGGAATAACTTAGGTATTATAGGAAACTTTATACATAAAAAAAATCTACAGATACAATAAATTCACATAACTCCCTGAAGTTTTACAATGCCAATACAAAATCCTACAGTACTATATAATCTTTCATGAACCAAAAGAAGGCACGGCATCCAGTATGCTGTAAAGAGGACTCTAAACTTACCTATAGAGATACATGAAGAAACAGAGCAGGTAGAAACCAAGCTTGATCATGGCTTCTTTCATATGTGACTTTAACTGCCCCCGATTGTGTATTTCTGTTGGATCAAACACTCCCATGTTACCACTTGGCACCATGATGAACCTGATAAAAGATACACATATTGGAAGGAAATCAAACCTCAGCATGAATACTGAAGAGCAGTCATCAACCTGCAAAGGTGGATCAGTCCTTGCAGCCTCAAATTCAGACAAAACAGAGCAGAATGATGACGTCTTGGGCTACCACCTGGTTTTCCTTTGGAAGCTACTTTCCATTTAATTTTCTATACACTAAAAAAAATGTAGTAGTAATACCTAGTAAATACTGAGAACCTTTAAGACATTGTCTGTCTCTCTTTAGCTCTTTCTCATTAGATACAAGTTAAAGGAGGTTCCAAAACCAAACTAATGTTGTAAAGTTTTGTGGTTTTGTGCGTGGTGTACATGTATGTATGCACGCTTGTGTGTGTGTGTGTGTGTGTGTGTGTGTGTGTGTAGGCCAAAAGTTGACATCAGGTGTTTAATTGCTCTCCACCTTCTATATCAAGGTAGGGTTTCTTTCCTGAACCCGAACTCCCCAATTCATCTAGTTTAGAGGGCCAGCTTGCTCCAGGGACAGCCTGCCTCCACCTGAGAGTCAGGATGACAGGCAGGCCCAGGCCAGCGTGCCCACCTGGCGTTCATTAGGTGCTGGGATCTGAACTCATTCACCATGCTTGCTCTCTGACAACCAGGCCATCTCCCTCGCCCCTTTCTTGGCTTTTGAGACAGGGTCCCACTCTGTAGCTCAAGCTGGCCTCTAACTCAATACATAGTCCAGTCTAGCTTTGAACTTGAGGATCATGCTTTCCCAGCTTCTTGAGTGCTGAGGTTCCAGCTATGCATCACCACACCTGGCTCTAAGAAACGTGCTTATGTAGAATGAGAGAACCGATGGTTATGCCTAGGCTTCACCATCCAGACTGTGCCACATGTGTAACATACATGTCTCAACCCAGCACCACAAACAGCCTCCTCCTGCTTGCACGTCCAGGCTTCTTGATTTCTTCACTCTTGCCACATACAGTTTCCCAATGTCCTTTCCTTTTCTCTGAGTGTCACAGTTTTAAACTCTCCCCTAAACCCTACTGGCCCATCCATACCTGAATATCCAAATAATACCTCCCAACAGCCTCAACAAGATTACAATTCAGAATTCTGTTACCTAAGTTCCTTGGTGATCCTTAAGGCTTTCTTCTACCCTAGTTCTTGTCTCTCTCATCTTGCAAACTAGCACACTGAATTCCTGTCATTTGTTCTACTATCATTTATAAGCTGTCTCTTTTGCATTTTGATTAATGCAACCCTGTTCCAACAATATAATCTCTTCTCCATTCTCTGAATTCTCAATATCCTGGCCCTTCTCTATGCGATACTAGTGAATACTTCACTATTCAATACATACTGCTTATGAAAACAATTTCCCAAAGTTGCTTAAAAACATAAAATGTGGGGTAGAGATGTGACTCAGTGGAACAGCTTTTCTCCATCATACACAAAACCCTGAGTTCAGCTGGTTGTGGTGGGCACACCTTTAATCCCGGATGGCAAAAAAAAAAAAAGTAATAGAGTGCTTATACAAGTTACAAATAAACTTTGACATGCTAAGGGCCAGTCAGAAAAGACCATGAACTCATCTTTATACATGTCTTCCCAGAATCTGTAAATGTAGAAGTCAAGTAGATAGGACTGTGGATGGAATTCAGTTGGTAGAATGCTTGCCTAGCATGCACAAAGCACTGAGTTTGGTCCCCAGCACTGCATCAAGTGAGCACGCTAGTGCATGCCTGTTATCTCAGCACTTGGGAGGTAGAGGTGGGAGAGATTCAAGGACATCCCTGACCTACTGTGCTAGCTAGTTTATATCAACATGATTGTCTCAGTTAGGATTGCTATTGCTGGGATGAAACACCATAACCAAAAGCAATTTGGGAAGGAAAGATGTATTTGGCTTACACTTCCAAATCACAGTTCATCAATGAAGGAAGTCTGGGAAGGAACTCAAGCTGGGCAGGAACCTGGAGGGAGAAGCTGATGCAGAGGCCATGGAGAGGTGCTGCTTTCTGGCTTGCTCAGCTTGCTTTCTTGTTCTTTTCTTTTTTTTTTTTTTTTTTTTTTTTTATTATTATTATTTTTTTTCTCGCCCGGAGCTGAGGACTGAACCCAGGGCCTTGCGCTAGCACAAGCGCTCTACCACTGAGCTAAATCCCCAACCCCCAGCTTGCTTTCTTATAGAACTCAGGACCACCAGTCCAGGGGTGTACCCACCCACAGTGGGCCCTCCCCCATCAATCACTATTTAAGAAAATGGCCTCCAGGCGTTTCTGCCTACAGTCTGATCTTACAGAGACTTTTTTTTACCTTTAGAACAGGGTTTCTCTGTGTAGTCCTGGCTGTCCTAGAACTCACTCTGTAGACCAGGCTGGCTTCAGACTCACAGAGATCTGCCTGTCTCTGCCTCCAGAATGCTGGGATTAAAGGTGTGCATCACCACCACCTAGCTTGATGCTTTTTTTCAATTGAAGTTCTGTCCTCTTAGATGACTTTAGCTTGTGTCAAGTTGACATAAAACTATATAGTAGTACACTGATACAAGATAGAGTCGTTTTGGAAGAAGGAAGCTCAGTTGAGAAATGCCCCCACCAGAATGGTGTGTGGGCAAGCCTGTGGTGTATTTCCTTGACTAATAATAACTGATGTAGGAGGGTGGTCCAGGGAAAGCAAGCCAATAAACGGCACTCCTCCATGACTTCTCCATCAGTTCCTGTCTCAGCTGTGGAAAAGTTGGTCAGTCTTTTCTATAGTATAGCATATGTTTCCTGGGGTAAATTTTTTTATTTATTGTTTTCCTTTTTCAATTTCTTATTGCGTTCTCATGAACAACCTATGTATACCAACATCCTAATCTGAGCCTCATCCTGGGAACAGATTCCTTACAATCTGGTCAAGGCCAGTCCTAGGAAGACTTGGGTTTGGTTTTTGAGACAGGATCTTGTGTGTGTAGCCCAGGTTGGTCTCAAATTCGAAATCCTTCTGTTTCAGTTTCCCAAGTCATCACAAATGTGTTCTGCCATGCCTACTCTGACTCTTTACTCTTTTCCACATCCTTTTTTACTTTATTATTTAGTCTGTGTCTGTGTGTGTGTGTGTGTGTACAAGCACAAGTACAGGTGTGAGAGGATGCAGGGGAGGACACATGCTTCTGTTATGGCAAACATGAGGCTACAAGACAATTTGCAGGGCATCAGTTCTTTCCTACCATATGGGTTCCGGGGATCAAACTCAGGCTGGCAAGTCTGGCAGCCAGCACCTTTACCCACAGAGCATCTCACTAGCACTCCTTGCCTTTCTTTTTGTTTTGCTTGAGATGGTGGTCTAACTGTGTCCCTTGGCTGTCCTAGAATTCCCTATGGAGACCAATCTGGCCTCAAGCTCACAAAAATCTATCTGCCTCTGCATCCCAAGTAATAAGATTAAAGATGTATGCCACCACACATGATTCATTTTTATTCTAATAGTATTTTATAACACATTTAACAATCAGCCAATGAGTGGTTATGTCCCTCAATAAACAAAATAAAAGCTTAAAAAAATAGAGAAGCAATCTACTACCATAAGAATAATTCCAGGGCAGGAGAAATGGCTCAGTGGTTAAAAGCACTGACTCATTGGCTGGCTACTCTTACATAGGACTCAGGTTTGGTTCCCAACACCACATGGCAGGTCAAACCCATCTGTAACTACAGTTCCCTGGAATCCAATTCCTTCTTCTAGCCTCCATGGTCACCCACACAAATAATACACACATACACACACGTAAATAAATAAATATTATTCCAAAATTTTTCACTAGATAACAAACTATAACACTTGACTATAAGTGTTTCCCCTAGGTTATTTCTGAACAAATTTCCTGGGATGATTAATTTTGTTGTTGTTGTTTCTTTTTCAAGGATAGGGTTTCTCTGTGTAGATCTAGATATCCCAGAATTTGCTCTGTAGCCCAAGCTAGCCTTGAACTCAGGTATCAGCCTGTCTAGCCTCCTTCCTGAGCTGGGATTAAAGGCTTTTGCCACCACACCCCCACACCTGCCCACAGAAGGAAGATTAATCTTGATTGTCAATATAAAAGATAAAGAAAGGCCAAATTAGTAAAACATACCTCTGGGTGTGTCTGTGAAGTTTCCGGGAGCAATCAGATGATGAGAACTGTGACCTCATCAATGGATTAATCCCTTGATGTACCCACACTATAAAGGCATTACTGGGAAGTGGTGACAGGCAGCAGGTGGTCTAGAAGCATGTCACTGGGTACATGCACTTGGGGCTGTTTCCTGCCCTAGTCCCTTCCCATTCCCCCTCTCTCTCTGCTTCCAGCTGCCACGGAGTGAAGAGGCTCTCCTGGACAAGGGCTTGGGACCAAGCACCATGGACTGAGAGCTCTGACTCAGTAAGTTAAAAGAATTCTTCCTTACGTTATTTCTATAAGGCATTCTGGTCACAGCAATGAGAAAAGTGACTAATGTACTTTCTAAATAAAAACATCTAATTAGTCATTTACTTGTGTGTGTGTGTGTGTGTGTGTGTGTGTGTGTGTGTCTGTGTCTGTGTCTGTGTCTGTGTGTCTGTGTAGGAATGCAGGATGTTGGGCTTCTGGGTGCTCGGATCTAAAGTTCCACACTCTTACAGTGCAGTGAGTGCTCCTAACTGCTGAACCATCTCTCTACCCCCTTATTTCCAAAACGTTTTAAATAACAAATTTAGAGTTATTTAACCTGCACTGCAAAAACAAACAAAAACCTCAAAATAAACAAAAAATCCTAAACCCAAGTTGCCTACTTTGCAGGCACTAAAATGCAATTTTCTTTGATATATTTCCAGTATTATAGAGACAAATAAAGGCCTTATTGTCTCTAACCTTTGACTATGAGAAGAAAAGGATTTGAAACAGGTTTTCTCTTTGTAACCCTGGCTGTCCTGTAACTCCCTCTGTAGACCAGGCTGGCCTCAAACTCAGAGATCTGCCTGTCTCTGCCTCCTGAGTGCTGGGATTAAAGGCCTGTGCCACCATTGCCTGACTATATTACTCTTATACGTGTGATTTTTGTGCTTCACCACAAGACTGAGTCATGCAAACTACTATCTGTCCAATATACCAAAGTAAACAATAATTTATTCTGATTTCATAAAGTATTTTGTTGTTCTTTATTTCAATCACTGGGATATTTTTGTGGGGAGAACATGCTGTTAATTATTTTCTTTTATCTAGGGTTTCATGTAGCCTAGGATGTCTTCAAACTCACTAAATGGCCAAAGCTAGACTCAAAGCTTCTAGTCCTTCTAATTCCACCTCCCAAATGCTGGGATTACTACCAAGCGCTGGGATTATAGACATGTACCACCAGGCCCAGCTGTTAATGTTTTTTAAGAACTACTGTCACAAAACAGTAAACAAACTATACTTACCTATATATATTCCAGGTGGCAACAGGTAAGTTGAGAAGGAAGATGAACCAGTGCAATGAAACAAGCATTAACACAGTGACAATAGTGTGGCCAATCAACTCTGGTATGACCCACTGCAAGCAGAGAACAAAGCATTACATCTCTCTGATTATCTGTCGTTCTTAAGCCAAATTGATTAACTCCAAATTATCTGACACTTAAGCCAAACTGATGAATGTACAGAGAGTTTTTATTTTAGACTCGGAAACCCCAGACAGGGATACAACTTCTCACCCTAGGTATATACATCAGGTGACAGCTTAAAAAATGAAGCATTTAAATTTCAGTTCTATTTCACCCTAAGCCAAGTCTTAGACTCTTTCCTAAACAAGTCTGAATACCTAGGGAAGAAGCAGAGTACTACTTACTTTCTTTTTTTTTTTTTTTTTTTGGTTTTTCGAGACAGGGTTTCTCTGTGTAGCTTTGTGCCTTTCCTGGAACTCACTCTGTAGTCCAGGATGGCCTCGAACTCACAGAGATCCGCCTGCCTCTGCCTCCCGAGTGCTGGGGTTAAAGGCATGCGCCAACACCGCCCGGCACTACTTACTTTCTAGTCCAGTATCTATGCTACTCTGCCCAAACCTCATGCTGCTGTGGGATGGTCTGTATGTCAAGTGTGTTGCTGATTGGTCAATAAATAAATCACTGATTGGCCAGTGGCCAGGCAGGAAGTATAGGCGGGACAAGGAGGAGAATAAAGCTGAGAAGTGAAAGGCTGAGTCAGAGAGACACTGCCAGCCACCACGATGACAAACAGCATGTGAAGATGCCAGTAAGCCACGAGCCACGTGGCAAGGTATAGATTTATGGAAATGGATTAACTTAAGCTGTAAGAACAGTTAGCAAGAAGCCTGCCACGGCCATACAGTTTGTAACCAATATAATTCTCTGTGTTTACTTGGTCGGGTCTGAGCGGCTGTGGGACTGGTGGGTGAGATAGATTTGTCCTGACTGTGGGCCAGGCAGGAAAACTCTAGCTACATCCTGCTCTAAATTAGTGTGGGTCATATCCATACACATGCCTTTTCAGTTAGAATGTCCATCTTCAAATATTTCCCCATCCTCCTCACTCCAAAAAAAATTCCCCATCTCCATTATCCCCAGGAAGCAAATGCCATTCAGAAAGACAAAATTAAAATAAATGGCCAGGTGTATTGATAAGTGCCTGAAATCCTAGCACTAGGAAGGCAGGGAAATCACTACAAATTCAAGAGGGCAACCTAGTGAGATTGCCTCAAAACAACAACAAAATAAGAATAGCAATTTTTAAATAGAAGGCTGGAGAGATGGTTCAATGGTTAGTGCACTGGCTGCTCTTAGAGGGCCTGAGTTTGCTTCCCAGCACCCATAGGAGATGGCCCACAACAAATGTTTATGTGTGGCCCATACATGTAAACATAACTAAAAATAAAAGGGTATTAACTTGAATAGCAATGGATGACAGAAGATTACTAAGCAATGTCTTTAAAGTCAGAAAGAAAAATTTCCTGCCAGACTACAACCCTGCACTCAGATAAAGAATCAATGATATGGGTAAGATAGGTTTAAACACAGACATTTCAAAACTCCAATTCTTACACGTTGGCTGTACCTCAAGAACCTACTCTCCCAAAATGAAGTTGTAGCCAAGAAGGACACAAGGTTCAAAAATCAGGGAACCCACAACCGAATGAGAACTATGAAACAGCCTCGGAATAGCCAATTGGAGGACAGTAGAACATGCAGGCCTGAAAAAGAAATGCCCCCCTGGGAAAAACTGATATATTCTTTTCATCTTTTACTACCATTTAGGGGAGAGAAAGTCAAAGGGGTCTTGCTATGAAGCCAGGCTGGCTTCAAAATCATGGCAAAATTCTGGCCTCAGTGTCCTAAATACTGGAATTACAGATACTCATTACCATACCTGGCATTTTACTATGTAGAAAATAGTATGGAAGGGCTTACAGATGTGTCTGAAAACTTAGTACTAGGCAAACAGAAGACTAAGGAAATAAAGAAATGTGACAATTATTGCCCTTCCCCCCTTTTCTCTTTCTTGTTTGTTTGTTTTCAAGACAGGGTTTCTCTGTGTAGCCCTGGCTGTCCTGGAACACGCTTTGTGGACCAAGCTGCCTTGAACTCAAGAGATCTGACTGCCTCTGCCTCCTGAGTGCTGGGATTAAAGGTGTGCGCCACTACAGGGGATGGGGATGGGAGTCCAAGGGAAATATCACCGTCTACTCTGAGGCTCAGCAATGAAGACTTATTTTTTTTTACAAGAGTAGATCATAATGACACAAATACGGGAACATGAACTTACTCTGAAAAGAAAAAAAGATGGTACAACAAACCAGGTATGGCGACCAAACAACACAGATGAGGAAGCAGGTGTTTCCAGTAAGAGAATAACTAACAACCAACTCCTCTTGTTCTTGTTTTTGTTTTTTTTCCTATAGACTTAAGATATGAAGTCACATGAGTACTGTTTTTCAAGCCAGGCAAAAAATGTCCCTCAATATATTTTTACAAGAAATTTTATCCAGAAAGCTTCTTTGTCCATCTCATAAAATGAATCAGGGATACATGGTTTCCCTGCATCTAGATTAAACTCTCCAACTCAGAGAATTTATGCCAATATAAAGTTATTATACTAAATATAAAATGGCCTTAAAACAAATTAACTAACCAAGTCTATTTTTTTCCCACAAACCACACAAGAAAGATCTTCTTTCACTCAACCAAAGGCAGACTGAACGTTTTTTCCATGAGTGGGAGGTGGCAGTATGGGCACAGAAAACAACAATTGGCCTCATGTAGACAAGACGACCAGGGACATGCACAGTAAAGAAACAACAGAGCATAGTTTCACGATCTAAAATACTGTTAAACATAGCAGTTGGAGCTACATTACAATGAATACCTAAGATCCTAAAAGAAAAAAATGCGAATGTTGATTATCTGTAAGAAAACTTAATATGAGAAGAATTGGCTTCAACCAAAAATGAGTAAAGAAATGTCTTACCTTGTTTAATTTTGAGCAACATGATCTAGCGTTAATGTAATCACATTCTAAATCAGACAATGTAATGATCTGCGGGTCAAGCTAAGGAATTATACATACATAATTTTGGTGTATGTAAGGTATATGTGTGTGCATATGCACCAGAGGTTGATGCTGGCAATCTTCTATTTCTCTCCACCTTATGTTTTTGAGACAGGTTCTCTGACTAAACCTGAAATTTGCTATTTGACTACACTGGTTAGCCAACAAGCCCCTGGGACCTTTCTGTTTCCACTTTCCCCGTGCTGGGGATCAGAACGAGGTCTTTGTACAGCAGGTACTTCACTCTAAAGAGCCATCTGTCTTGAGACATACTTCCTGTTTAACAACCAATATTATTTATGTTTCAGAAAGCAATTCCAGCACTCAGGAGATGAGTAGATTAGAAGTTCAAGGCCACCCTCAGCTACATAGTGAATTTGAATATCAAGGCCAGGACGAGAAACATTTAACATTCTCAAAAAAAAAAAAAAAAAGGTAAAATTTGGTAAAAAGTAGAATGTCCTCAACCAATGAGTATTGCCTAACTCATCACTTTCCCCACAAATTCATAACCAGATAATGCCAATACCACAATTGGCACTATAGTTCAAATTCAGAACCTCTTCCCAATTGGTTTATCTTCCAAACTCTATTTTCAATCTACTCTACAGATTCATCTTCCTAGTAAACTGCTGTATTTTGAGCTTTTAAAGGGACAGAATTGCATGCATTTATCTATTATATATAACATGTTTCAAACAGTATACACATTGTAGAATGATAAAACCTAGCCAGTCATTACCTCACATGGTTACTTCTGCAGTAAAAAGCATGCTACTTTCACAGTCTTACCACTTTTCACAAATAGGATACACTGTTAACTACAGTCCCCAGATGAATGTATTTCCCCTCCTCTCTTGGTCCAGCGCCTTATAGAGGTACTCTACCACTAAACCACACCCCCAGATCAACAAAAGACCGCTGAAACTTACTTCTAACAGAAATTGTGTATCCTGGACCTAAAGCCACTATATGTCAAAAGTTAGCAGTGACTCACTATTGCCCTCCTCTTCTATCTGATCTAATTCTTCCTTCCCAACCATGTATTTCTGGTGCTCCTTAGCCATCACTCAGAAATGAACATGCCTGTCCCTGCTCCTTGCTCTAGCCAGTAATTGCATCTGTCCACTTTTCCCTGTAGGTTTCTTCACTACTCAAACTCCACTCTTCTGTAGTCTACATGAAGTCTATTCTGACCATTTTCCAACTATCCTCTGTAAAGCTATTACTGCAACTATCCTACAACACAGTAATGTGTAAGTTTTCACCAAAATGCACCCTGAATGTGTAACCAATGTTAAACATTCCCGTTAACATGTACATACATACATGATCTGGTGTAGACCAAGACTGTTTTAGATGATCAAATCTAGTTTTCCAAAGTACAAAAAATAATAATAATTATAAAAAGCATTACATTTCAGGCTGTCAAACAGCTCTGGTTCCTTATATCACAAGCTAAATAAATATTGGTCATCAGAACTTAGGGAAGAGATGTTGCCCTTTTAGTCAGTTCCTCAAGGCTAATAAAACACAGGGCTCTTTTCAATAGAAATCATCAAAGTAAAAACTGCTGCTAAATAATTGGAACAGGGCAGCCACTACTGGGTGTTTAACACAAGTTCTCATTGTGTGTATCTAGGAAACAAACATCTCCAATCCTAAAGAAAACTGAAGCAGGTAAGATACAGTGGTGAGCAAGGATTCCTAATTCCAAATTTTGTCCCTTCCTATTAAAACAAATTGTCAGTTCACAATAAAGTGGAAGATATACTTACTCCGCAGCTATCCTAAAGTTGCACAGTGCCAAACAAGATTAAATCTGATCAGAAAAGGGGTCGTGATTTCGAAGGAAAAGGGGGTAACATGCAAAGGTCCTAATACACTTTTCTAGTCGCATTTAATTACTTAAAACTGGACTGTGCATTTCACTACTGCATTACAACACTGTGCTACAACAAAGACTATGATCCCCCAAGAACTGGAAGAGCTGTAGTCACTACAGTGCTAGGCTGCTGAACACCATTTACTGGTCTGGAAAATACTGTTTGAAATCTGTAACAGAAAATACTGAATTTTAACACGGACAAGATTTTTTTTTTTTTTTTTTAACTTTAGAAACTGGGGACTAAGTCACATGCAGTTACTAAATTTACAGATCTCCCACTCCTGGGGGCAATCAAAAACACTTTGTGGATGCTTCTGAAGTAACTCCTTTTTTTAAAAAAACGCTCTAAAGAACCGCACGTGAAGGAAGCACATCGCCGGTTCTCAGAATGAGTCATCTCCTGGGTGTGGGGAGTCCCCAGAAGCACAGACACCCGCGAGGACAAAGGGGCAAGGGTGCCGCCGGGGACGAGAGAAGCCGGCAAAACCTCCCGCCCCGGACCTCGTCGCTCTCCCGGGGGCACCGGCGGGAAGGGGCAGGAGGAGAGACGGCCGGGGGAAGCTGGCTCAGGCCGGCCAGAGGCGAAGCGCGGCTCCCCCGCTCGAGACCCGGGCCCGCGCCGCCGCCCCCTCACCCCACACCTGCCGGCGCCCGCCGGGCCCACCCTCCGCCCATTGCCCTGGCCGCAGCGCGGGGGATGAGCGGCGGCCCCGGCCCGCCTCAAGCAAGGATACGAAGTAGACAGAGAGGAAGATGAGCGCGCAACAGTCGAGGAGCGAGAAGAGGAACACCACCGCCTCCATCCTCCGCCACCGCTCCGCCCGTCAAACCAGCTCCGGGCCGCGCCGCCGGGACAGGCGGCATGCCGGGAGTTGTGGTCCAGGAGGCTCTTCCCGGCGCGATGCACGATGGGAAATGCAGTTCACTTGTGCCCGGTGCGTGCAGGAGGCGGCGGGCCTCAACCTTATAGAGTGTCCACTGACCGCTAGTAACCCGCGGACACTAATAAGGAGTAACTCACCGTGTATGAAATTTCTGTCTTTTTTTTTTTTTAACTTTCTTCCATCCTTCTTTGTTTACCATTGTTGGTTTTGGGGGAATGGGCGTGTGCGTGTGCATTAGGAACTCACTCTGTAGCCCAGGCTGGCCTCTAACTTGGGTCTCCTCAGTGTTGGGATCACAGGCATGCGCCTCCACACAGGGCTGCTTTTGTGTCTGCTCTCTATTCATTTGCATTCTATAACTTTCCATCTCAAATACAAATCTAACCTTACCACTCCTGGCTTCCAGATTGAGCTCTGCCCTTCAGTTCCTGACCTGTTCCGCCAGAGTTTGCCTAGTTGCTTGCCTATTCTTGGTTACAGCAAGCTTTCTCATCTCTGAATTTTAAGATCTTTACAGAACCCGATGTTTTACTCAAGCATTCATTCACTTTGCCAATAGTTCTGACTACACCCCTACAGACCACGAACTTCACTTCAAGTGCAGGAATGAACAGAGCAAACAAGGGCTCGGGTGGGTAATAAGGCAATAAGGTGGCAACTAAATACTAAAAAAGGAACTTCAGCAGGTGACAAGCCTGTAGAAGCCAACTACAGCAGTCATTCACTCACTCATCCATATATTTAACTTGTATTTTCTGAACAGCTACTGTATTTGAGGCACTGTTCTAGGCCTTAGAGATACAAGGAACAGAGATGGAAGGTACCCACAAGACTGTATCTTGCATGGGAAGTGTGGGAGGAGACAGGAAGTAGGCCATATTGATTAACAGCACTTCTAAGCACCTGGAAGGGCATGAGGAAACACCTGAACACGGGCAGAGACCAGGCTGAGGAACTCACACAGAAGTGAAAGCAGCAGTGTTGGAAGATTAGGAAGGGAGCAAAAAAGGTCCAAGAAATTGAGTTTTAAGAAGTCAAAGGCAAGCAGGACAAGGTCACACGGGCCTTGGAGAATTTTGGAGGGGGGATTAACTTTTTGTCAGCTTTTTACATTTATTTATTTAGTGTATCTATGGATAGGTAGGTGCACATGTGGAGGCCAGAGGACAGGCAGCCTGTAAAAGTTCTCTCCTTCTACCTATAGGTTCTAGGGACTGAAGTCCCATTGTCAGGTTGGCAGCAAGCCCCTGTACTGTCTGAGCCATCTTCCCAGGCTGTTTAACTTTCATTCTGAGAAACCACCAGAGAGTTTTAAGAGAAGAAGTACTCTGATCAGATTTACATTTAAAACGATATATTTTTTTTTTTTTTTGGTTTTTTCGAGACAGGGTTTCTCTGTGTAGCTTTGCGCCTTTCCTGGAACTCACTTGGTAGTCCAGGCTGGCCTCGAACTCACAGAGATCCGCCTGGCTCTGCCTCCCGAGTGCTGGGATTAAAGGCGTGCGCCACCACCGCCCGGCTAAAACGATATTGTTATGGCTGTTTGGTGCGTTGAATGTGCGTGAAAGGGGAACAAGTTTATCAGTAAGAAGGTCACTTAAGGGAGAAGCCAGATAAGAGAATTAGAATGAAGGCAAGACAAACGGGGTTTGCCTGACAACATGGTAAACCCATAGATTCATCTAGGGTTCATAGGTTAAAGTTAGAAGTACAGTGAAGATTTCTGTACCAGATTATTATGGCACTCCTACTGTACCTTGTACGTGCCTCTATCCAGTCAACTGTCTGATATGTGCATGTCAACTACTGTATTCGAGGCACTGTTCTAGGCCTTAGAGATACAAGGAACAGAGATGGAAGGTGCCCACAAGACTGTATCTTGCATGGGAAGTGTGGGAGGAGACAGGAGGTAGGCCATATTGATTAACAGCACTTCTAAGCACCTGGAAGGGCATGAGGAAACACCTGAACATGGGCAGAGACCAGGCTGAGGAACTCACACAGAAGTGAAAGCAGCAGTGTTGGAAGATTTGCAAGGGAGCAAAAAAGCCCAAGACAGTAGAAGCTTGCTGTGTTTAAGAAGAAAAAAAAAAAAGGGAGGGAGGGTGGATGGGGCTAGAAGGATGGCTCAGTGGTTAAGAGCACTAGCTACTCTTGCAGAAGACCTGGGTTCCATTCCTAGCACCCACATGGAGGCTCACAGCTGTCTGTAACTCCAGTTCCAGAGATCCAATGTCTTCTTCTGGTCTCTGCAGGCACTGCATGAATATGGCACCCATACATTCTTGCAAGCAAAATACCCACACACTTAAAAAAAATTAAAAAGTTTTGAGAAGTCAAAGGCAGTCAAAGAAGCATGCTTAGCCAGTCATTCCCTATATTATGATAAAAGGCAGCATATTTTGTTGAGTATTCCTAGGACCTCCACTGTAAATAGCGAGTGATTAATAAAATGGTTACAAATGATTATCAGAAGAGATTTGATTTAAAACAAACCCAGGAGCTGAAGAGATGGCTCAGTGCTTCAGTGTACTTGCTGTTCTTCCAGAGGACCAAGGTTTGATTGCCAACAACAAGCGTCTGGAGCTCCAGTTACAGGAGATCTGATGACTTCCTCTGGCCTCTGAGAGCACTACATGTATAGTACACAAACATTCATGCAGGTTGTAGTCAGGCTTTCCTTTGGGTCTCCAGTTCACAAATAACAACATGGAGACTATTGTTAATTACGAAAATTTGGTCTTAGCTTAGGCTTTTTCCCAACTAGTTCTTACAACTTAAATGAATCTGTTTCTATTAATCTATGTTCTGTCATGTGGCTTGGTCACCTCCCTTCTGTACCATATGTATGACTTGTTCCTCATCTCAAAGCCATCTCCTGTGTGCCTTGCTGTGGGATAATCCTCTTGTACACTGTAAAGATTTGTCACTTGAATTGGTTTAATAAAATGCTGATTGGCCAGTAGCCAGGGCCCAATAGATGGGGTGACTAAACTAAGGATGCTGAGAAGAAGGGCAGAGTCAGGAGTTGCCAGCAAGATGCAGAGGGAGCAGGAGATGAACATGCCATGCTAATAAAGGTACTGCCACATGCCAGAGTGTAAATAGGGAATATGGGCTAATTTAAGTGTAAGAGTTAACTAGTAACAAGCCTGAGCTACTGGCCAAGCATTTATAGTTCATATTCAGCCTCTGAGTCAGTATTTGGGACCGTGCAGTCAGGGTATGGAAACATCCATCCATTTACAGTGCCTGGATTCTAACCCAGACTTCTCTTTTTCTAGAAGTCCTGCCTATTCTCTCCTACCTAGCTATTGGTCACTCAGCTCTTTATTAAACCAATCAAAATGTGCCTTAGGCAAAGGCACATCTTCACAGTGTAAACAAATATTCCGCAACATTTCTCTCTTTTTGTCTAATTAAAGGTTTTAATTCTAATATAGTAAAACTATATACAATAAGAACAATTATCAGGTAAGAATTATATTCACAATGTCCAGTCCACTTGTATTTGGAAAATTCAGAGAAAATACTCTATTATCCATCTTTATTGGATAAATAAAATTTATTATTATCTGCATACACACAAATAAATAAATGTACTTAATAATTAAAACTAGCTGGCTGCAGAGATATTCCAGTGGCAAAGACCACTCTCTTGATGAGTCCAAATTTTTGTACCTAATTTACTTCCTATCATAACTAAAGAAAACTGTTAATTATAATGTTGTGGGATATTTGTGTACACTATGAAGATGTTTCTTTCCCAGGGTGCCTTCTGATTGGTTTAATAAAGAGCTGAATAGCCAATAGCTAGGTGGGAAAGAATAGGCAGGACTTCTGGGGAGAGAGAGGAACTCAGGATGAATCTAGGCTAGTGAAAGAGACGCCAGCAAGATGCAGAACAAGTCAGATATATGGTAACTGAGCCACACGTTAAAATGTAGATTAATAAAAACATGTTAACTTAATTTATAAGAGCTAGTTGAGAAAAAGCTTAAGCTCAGGCCAAGTCTTGATAATGAATAATAAGTCTCTGTGTCATCATTTGTTAGCTGCAGGGCCAAGGAAAGTCCGATTACAGCAGGCAAAATACCACATACACAAAATAAAAATAAAAACAAACAAAATAAGACCTGTCTGGGCTGGCAAGATGACTCACTGGTAAAGGCACTTACCTACAAGCTTCAACTCATCAGAGTTCAATCCTCAGAAGCCCACATGGTAAAAGGAGAGAACCAACACCCCTGCATGTGTGCCATGGGACGACACGTGTGCACTGAGTGTGTGCACACACACAAATAAATAAATGTACTTAATAATTAAAACTAGCTGGCTGCAGAGATATTCCAGTGGCAAAGACCACTCGTTGTTCCTGCAGAGACCCACAGTTTGGGTTCCAGCACTCGAGTTAGGAGGCTCACAGCTGCCTGTAATTCCAGTTCCAGGGTATCTAACTAACACTCTTCTGGCCTCCATAAGCACCTGCACAAACACACACACACACACACACACACACACACACACACGCACGCTTACACAAATAACAAGTAAAATAAAATCTTTTTTAAAAAATTAAAAACAACCCACATAAACATTCCCCAAGATGGAACAGAAAACCCTGAAGATCCTGTATTCTTTGTTTGAAACAGGGTCTCAACTGTATAGTCCTGGCTGACCTGGAACTCAGGGCCTGCTTCTGCCTCCTGAGTTCTGGGGTTACATTCGTCATCACACTGGGCCTGTCCTGTATTCTTTACATGCTTTTCTAATCCTGAGAAAAATGTAAAAGCTCACACCATAATCAACCACAATTATTAAATTACCATTTCCCAAAGGCCTTTAATCCGGCACTCAAGATGAGAGGCAGGTGGGTTTCTGTGAATTCTAACCCAGTCAGCCTTGCCTAAAAAAAAAAAAAAGGAAAGAAAGGAAAAGCAGCTGGGTCTTTACTGAGTCGGTCGTGACGGAAAAAGGCTTCAGAAATTGGATGGGAAGAGTAACTAAACTAATGACAACAAGTAGCAACAAGGAGACAGACAGGTGAAAGGAATGGCTACAGGGTATCAAAAGGTGCCGTTTTCAACAACTCAAAGGAAACAAGGCGCCGGAGAGATGCTCAGAGGTTGAGAGCACTGGCGCTCCTCCGGAGGCCGAGTTCAATTCCCGGCACCCATGCGGTGACTCACAACCATCTATGATGAAATGTGGTGCACAGGCAGAACACACTATAAATAAACAAATCTAAAAAAAAAAAAAAACCCCAGGAGATGGAGATAAGAAATGAACAGAAACTGTGTCTAAGTAAGCTCAACAATGAATTTAGACAAAAGTTCTCTCTGCCCCTTCCCTCTGAAATAGCCTCCTTAGGTAGCTCAGGCTACTAACAAAAGTTAGGCAAACTCTTCCTTTTCCTGGTTGCTCTCTTCTTTCTGTTTTATTATTTGTGTGTTTGTTTTCCACTGGCTCTCATGTGTTCCTGGAACTCACATGGCAAGAGAGTCTAGTCCTGCTAGTTAGCCTCTGACCTCCACGTGCACACCAGAGTGCGTGAGTGTCCACACTCTTACACACATACATGAAATATTTATGTGTATGTGTGTGTGCTGCCAAGCCAGCCACGATGACACATGCTTATAATCCCAATATTCAGAAAGCTGAGGCAAGGAAGATTACTGAGAGCTCAGAGGTAACAGGACCAGGTAGCAAGACGTTGTTTCAAAACAACAACAGGAAAAGAAAAAGACAGAAAAGGAAGAAAAAGAAGAGTCAGGTGTGGTAGGGCATGCCTTTAATCTCAGCACTCAGGAGGCAGAGGTATGTGGATCTCTGTGAGTTAAAGGACAACCACGGCTACATAATAGAGAGAGCCTGTCTCAAAAAACAACACCAAAGGCACTTCAACAAAGCAAAAGGCAGCCCCCAGAATTAGAGAAAATATTTTTGGATCGAATATCTCATCAGAGATTAATATCAAAACATACAGAAATTCCTAAAATGCAATACAGCAATTACCCAGCAAACTGAATTAAGAAATGCCAATGGAAGTCGGGTGTGGTTGAGCACACTTTTGATCCCAGCACTTGGGAGGCAGAGGCAGACGGATCTCTGTGAGTTTGAGGCCAGCCTGGGCTACAAAGCAAGTTCTAGGACAGCTAGGGCTGTTATATAGAGAAACCCTGTCTCAAACAAACAAACAACAACAAAAAAAAAAAAAATAGGAAAGAGAAAGAAAGAAAAAAAAAGAAATGTCAATGGAGGAAGAACTTATGGATATTTCCCCGTTATACAAATGGCCAATAAACACATGAAGACTTTCAATATTACTAACCATTAGGGAAATGTAAATCAAATCTACAATGAAGTGATACATCTATTAGAATGGCTACTATCAAAAGAACAGAAAATGCATGTTGATAAAGATATGAAATATGTGTTATTTCAAGAATGACCTGGAACTCATGAAGTGGCATAAGCTAGCCTCAATCTTGTAGCAATCCTGTTGCCTCAGTCTCCTGAATGCTGGGATTCCAAAATGAGCTACGGTGTTCCCCCTGAATAACCAGAATTCTTACACATGTTAGTGGCAATGTAAAATTATATACCTGCCAGTGAAGGCAGAGATACAGGGAAATGCAAATAACTTTGAGAGTCCATCTCACTCCAGTCAGAAAGGCTGTTACAGATAATTAACAACAAATGCTAGCAAGGACTCGGAGAGAAAGGAACCCTTATGGACTATTTATGGGGCTATAAACTACTACAGATACTATGGAAGACAGTAGGAAGATTCCTAAAAATAGAACTGTCACGTGATCTAACTGACCCACTCCTAGGTATACAGACAAATGAATGATTGTCGTCGGTACACAGAAGAGATACCTACATACCCATATTTCATTACAACAAGATTCCCTACAGTCAAGTTATGGAGCCAACCTAAACACCCACCATGAATGGATTAAAATATTAAGTTAAATATGAAAATATTTTATACATATATAGGTTGAAATTTCATTCTTTTTAATACCAGAATATTCCATTGTATATATATATATATATATATACACAATGTATATGTATGTATATATGTAATGTAATGTATATGTATGTGTATATATATGTGTGTATATATATATATATGCACACATAATGGGATATTATTCTGGTATTAAGAAGAATGAAATTCGGAGCTAGGGATATAGTTCACTTGATGTAGCTCAGTTGGTGGTGTGATTGCCTATTATGTGTGAGGTTTCTGGGTTTGGCACCCAGAAATGAAACATATAGTCTGCTGGGTATGGTACTGCGGTGGTTTGAATAGATGTTCCTCACGGTCTTGGGCAGTTGAATACTTGTCTCTAGTTAGTGGTTGTTTGGGAGGACTAGGTGTGGCCTTGTTGGGGCAGGCTTTGAGGCTTTCTGTTTACGGCTAAAGAGTGTGCTCTCAGCTGATACCCCACAGCTGCCTGCCTGCTCTCCTCCGCTCCGCCATCCTGGACAGTTATCCCCCGGAACCGTGAGCCCCACATCAACCCTTCTATAAGTTGTCGTGTGTTTTACAACAGAAAAGTAACTGACATCCCATTCTGTATTCTCAGAACTTCTCCCTCATAAATCCAACTCTTTTAACAACCACTTAAACCTTATTGTAAATTACTCTTTGAACAATTTACCTTAAAAACAAACACCAGGTACAACTCGGAGGCTCCTACACATACCCACTGCAAAAACTCCTATGCACAAGTCTCCCTTGAAAAGGCCAAGAAACCCATACTCACACGAGTTTTATTTAGTTCTTCCCCTAGGTATCGCTCTATTAACCACTGTGCTTAAGACTGATAAAAGTACCTTTTAATAAACTCCAGTTCTGCTTCACATTGGTTCTTCCTGAAATTCTTTTCTGCAACAAAGTCACGAATCTTGGAAAGACGTCTCTAAGGGGAAAACTCCTCAGGCTGCAGACTGAGTTCCACACTGACCCCGTCTCAAAGCAACACACACATACACACACAGACGAACATGTGGCGGTTCCCAGCCTGGAATGTGACAAGCCCAAACTTTGTTGTTTTGAGACATCATCTTGCTACTTGGTCCTGCTGCCTTTGAACTCCCACCAATCTTCCTTGCCTCAGCTTCCCGAATATTGAAGTGACAAGCATGTGCCGCTATGCCTGGCTTAACACCAAGTTTACTACTTGCTTGTGAGAGTCTGCGCAGCCGCAAAGGTTGGAGTCCTTGTCCGTTTGCTCATTTGGGAACCAATAAAGTTGAATGTCTTCAAAACGGGCCTAGTCGCTTAGGCCCTGCTGGACAATCCTGAAAAAGAACCGGATTAGAAACTCGCGCTCACTTCCAGGTCTTCTCCTTCTTCCTAGCGGTGCAGTCCTCCCTACTCCCAGAGCTTTCGTGCCGAGGAGCCAGTGGGAGGGCACTTCCGGTGCCGCGGGACCACGCGTGCTCTGTGCTTCCGGTCCGGCGGGGAAGGCGGCTGCCGCAGGCTTTCCCGGTAACGTGAAGTGCCCACGGCTGGCCCCGGCAGCATGAAGCCCAGGCCTGCGGTGTTCGTAGACGGGAGGCTGAAGCAGCGGGTCATTCAGGTGCGTGTGTATCTCGGGACCCTGCGTCTCCATTTCCGCGCGGCTGTCTGGCGCCTCAGGCCGCGGCTGGGTTCCGGCATGGTCTTGTGGGTGTTTCCGTGGTGGAGGCCGACACCGGCCTGCCCTCCCCATCGAGGGCAGGATTCTGACCTCTTCTTAAATCAGGACACGGGTTTTCTTCCAGTGCCCTCGGTGCCCAGAATTCAAACGTTAATCCCAGAGCTTCCGGGTACCTTAGGGGAACAGTAAAAAGAGGGAGCCCGGGTGCTTTGCCGATGTGTTCTTATTTTCATAGCTAGGGAGCCCTGTGTGGTGGATGCCTTCAGTGATGCAGTCAGCAGCGCGAGTTAAAGGGAGCGAGAGATTTTGTTTTTGTTTGGTTTTATTGAGACAGCGTCGTCCTCTGTAGCCCTGCCTGGCCTGGAATTCGCTATGTAGATTGACCAGGCTAACCTTGAACTCCCAGACGTCCTCCTGCCTCTGCTTCTGCAATACTATGTTAAAGGCTCTGTCACCACGCCCCGAAAGGCATTTGTATTTCTTTTCCTTTTTTTTTTTTTTTTTTTTTCCTTTCTCGAAACAGGGTTTCTCTATGTAGCCCCCGGCTGTCCTGGAACTTGCTCTGTAGTCCAGGCTGGCCTCAAACTCAGAGATCTGCCTGCCTCTGCACCGCCACCACTAGACTATCTTGAGTTCTTTATATCCAACTTCTGGTTGTTACCTCTGCTCACTGGCAACTGTCTCCAGCCCCAGCCTTCAGCGGATAGTTTTGTGAGTGACAGGTGTTAAACATTTGCTGCTGTATTCGTGTGTGTTTCTGAACATAGAGTGTATAGTAAGCCCTCACTACCTTAATGATATTGTAGTGGCTAAGGATGTTAATTAAATCTTCCAAGCTGGTAGGTGGTGGCACAGGCCTTTAATCTCAGCACGCAGGAGGCAGAGGCAGATAGATCTCTGAGTTCTGAGTTTGAGGCCAGCTTGGTCTACAAACAGATTGAGTTCCAGGACAGGCAGAGCTGCACAGAGAAACCCTGTATTGGAAAAAAAAAAAAAAAAAGAAAGAAAGAAAGAAAGAAAGAAAATCCAATTACAGATTGTGGCAATTTTTAAAAAAATTGTATTTGTGATATGCTTTTGTATTTTGTGGTATACTTTATTCCTGAAGTATTTACATAAAAGTATGTGTTGGAATAACTCAAACTCTTAATTTACTGATTGAAATCTCTTAAGTTAATGTATGTCATGTTTTCTCTTTTAGTACCTCGCCAGTAATAGATGTGGCAAATATGTAGACACTGGAATCTTAGCATCTGACTTGCAGAGAATGTACAGGTAAAGAAGTATACCTCTAAATCCTTGCTTTTTTTTTTAAGCCCCCTCCCCCTTTCCATTTTAAATATTCCATCTTGCTTAATTTTTCACTTGATATCAATGGCTGCTGGTATTATCCTACCAATTCATAAACTTGAATCCCAAATCAGTTTTACAAACATCTGTAATCATCTACTATATTCAGTGTTATTAATTCCTTTCACCAGAGGAAATGGCTCTTTTTTCTTTTGTTATCTCTTCGATTGGCCAGGAGATAGAGATATTGCTTTATTTCTTCCCCCCCCCCTTTTTTTTTTTTTTTTTTTTTTGGTTTTTCAAGACAGGGTTTCTCTGTATAGCTTTGGAGCCTGTCCTGGAGCTTGCTCTGTAGCCCAGGCTGGCCTCAAACTCACAGAGATCTGCCTGCCTCTGCCGCCCGGCTATTTCTTCCATTTTTGTTTCATCAGATAATTAAAACCATGAAGCATGTTCTTACTCAGCTTTCAGGCTCTGTCAAGGATGTGAGTCAGGCCTGGTGTCCATGTCCATAATCCCACCACCTGAAAAGCTGAGGAAGGAAGATTCAGGTTGAATAAAGAAACAGCAGTGGAAATTCTCAATTTGTAAGCTAATTGTATTCCTAAAAAGTTCAGTTCCTTTAAAACTATTCAACATGGGTTTACATATACAGCAGATGGGTCCCAGCTTAGGTAACTAAACTCAGGATTTTTCACAATCATGAATGAATGGCTGAACAACTGAGAGTCTTGAAGGAGTGGAGGATTTTTTTAGATGGAATTGTATCCTCACTCACTGAATCTCTTAATGCTCTTCGGTCTTTGTGACCATATAAAATGCCCCTCACATGTTCATAGTACCTGCTAGGAATGCCACTACCACCATCATTGAAAACCACTCTTCAAATCTATGCTAACCACAGTCATTGAAGGGATGTCTTTAGAGAACATGCTTATTTAACCTGACCTGACCACCTCCCTTTTTTATAGCTGTTAATGCCCTTATTTTATGTTGGTGGTACTTTCTTTTCTGTTTTGTTTTGTTTTGTTTTTTGAGACAGCGTCTAAATGTATAGCCCTGTCTGGCTTGGAACTCACTTTGTAGACCAGGCTGGTCTCCACTTTATAGTGATCTGCCCGCCTCTGCCTCTGGCTTTTATCTTGTTGAGAGCAGGTCTCATGCAGCCCAAGTTGGCCTCCAAACTTGTAGCCCAGGGTGACTTTGAATGGTCTTGCCTGCAGCTCAGGCGCTGGGAGTGCAGGTGTGTGCCATCATATCTGATTTTATTTGTTGCTTGAGATTGAACTCACTAGGCAAGCATTTTACTAGCCGCCCTACATCCCTAACTCTCAACTGCTTTCCAGTATAAGCTTCATGTTTTCAGTGTATCTTACAGGCTTCTTAACAGCTGAATTATTGCTACTTTAAAAGTAAAGTCCTGTTAATAGTGGACAAGATTAATTCTGGTGAGAAGGTTTGTTGAGGAAGTCCGTGTGCTGGCTTTGCTTTGTTTTGTTGATAGGCTTTCATATAGCCCAGAATGGCCTCAAATTTGCTATGTAATTAAGACTGGCACCGAGTGGCTGCTAGGAACAGAACTTGGGTCCTCTGCAAGAGCCACATCTCCAGCCCCACCCTTTCAAGATTTGTTTACTTTTTACTGTATGTATGTATATGCACAGTGTACATTTGTGGGTGCAGAGAGAGCATCAGATACCCTGAAAAGGAAAGTACGGGCAGCAGTGAGCTGCCATGAGGGTGCTGGAGACCAAATCTGGTTCCTCTGCAAGAACAGCATGTGCCCTTAACTGTGGAGCCATTTCTCAGCCCCCAAATGCTATATTTTTTATGCTCTGTATATTCTTAGATCTTTTAAAAAATAGGTTAGATTTGTCATTGTTTTAAGTCTTACTTTGATAGTTGTGTAATTGGAGTAAATCTTACTTTGATGGTTGTGTAATTGGAGTTTTAGGGTAAAAGCCTGGCCCCAGCAGGCTGGGCTCTCCTAGTCCATCAGATAAAGATGAGGAATGAGAGAAGTAAAGAAAGGAGATTTAATTAGTACACTGGGAAGAGGAACAGATAAAAGGTTCCGGTGACCTGTTTGTCTTCAGGATACTGAATGGAACTTCAAATTTAAACAGGGTGAATCGAGACAGTAGAGCAGGAGATATAAGTAATTAAACAATTCTGATCAAGGTGTCACTAGTGGATCATTATCCCAGTTCTTGCTCCACAAGGGTCTGAAATTAGCACTGTCATCCTTTGGGGGAATTAATCTGGTTCCTATAAAATGATTACTCTTCAGGGTGTAGTCTGGACCATCATAAGTAATTCTTTTTTTTTTTTTTTTTTTCCTCGAGACAGAGTTTCTCTGTGTAGTTTTGGTGCCTGTCCTGGAACTTGCTCTGTAGACCAGGCTGGCCTCGAATTCACAGAGATCGCCTGGCTCTGCCTCCTGAGTGCTGGGATTAAAGGCATGCACCACCACTGCCCGGCGGGAAGTAATTATTCTTATTTGGGGTATGATTTGTGCTACCAGGTTTTGCCATGCCTGGAATCAAAGATGGTTACAGATTTAGGGCAACATTTTGTGTTTTCAGCCTTGTAGGGGGATGAAAAGATTAGGTAGACACTCCTGAGTGATTACTGTCCTGATACAGGAGCCTGGTGCAAGTGAAAAGGCGGGCAGAGATGCCAGCTTTTATCCTATTCTTAGTTAATAATTGTGGGTCCAAGGATGGAGTCCTGTGCTTTCCAGCAATAACACCTTTGCTTTTTTCTTTTAATTAAAACATTACCAGTGGGGCTGAGCAGTGGAGGCGCACGCCTTTAATCCCAGCACTTGGAAGGCAGAGGCATGTGGATCTCTGTGAGTTCGAGGCCAGCCTGGTCTTCAGAGTGAGTTCCAGGACAGCCAGAGCTGCACAGAAAAATCTATCAGTGTGTTCTCTCTGTGTGTATACATGCACGTGTGCATGTGTACAAATTCCATGCCATATCATGCATGTGGAGGACAGAGGACAACTTTGTGAAGTTGTCTCCGTCTACCTTTCTTGGGTTCCAGAGATCATATCCAGGTGGTTAGGCTTATCTGGCAGAGAGCTCTGCCTGCTAAGCGGTCTCACTTAGTTATAGTTGTGTCTGTGGTTTTTAGTTAGTCATTTTCTAATTTCTCTTTTATTTTTAAGACAAGGTCTTGTTCTGATGTATTACAGGCTATCTTCAAACTCATAGTCCTCCTGCCTCAACCTCCAGAGTGTAGGGATTGCAAGTGTGTTCTGTCAGGTCTGGCTTTATCTTTTTAATGACGTGTAGTTGTCTTGACTGAGTCTTAACTGAGCACCATTTAGAAAAGAGTTAATCTTGGGCTGGTCATGTAGTTCAGTTGGGGGAGTGATTGTCCAGGATGAACAAAGCCCTGGGTCCTGTTCACAACACCACAGCTTTAAAAACGAGGCTGATGGTGAATGCCTGTAGTCCCAGCACTCAGGATGTGAAGGCAGAAGTTTAAGTTCATAGCAAATTGAGGCTAGCCTTGGCTGTATAAACTTACCCCTTTGAGAGAGGTAAGCTTTAGTGACTGAATGTTGACCCTCACATAGGTGGTTCTTGCTAGTTGTAGATTACTCTTACCTTTATTGTTGTCTTGAATGTTGTGTTCTGTTTTCCTCCATTTTAATAGGCTTGCTTAATAAAAGTCTCACACTTCATGGTCTCCATTTATTTATTTATTTATATTTATTTTTATTTTTTTTTTAAAGATTTATTTCTTGTGTATACAATGTTCTGCCTGCATGTATCCCTGCAGGCCAGAAGAGGGCACCAGATCTCATTACAGGTGGTTGTGAGCCACCATGCGGTTGCTGGGAATTGAACTCAGGACCTCTAGAAGAGCAGTCAGTGCTCTTAACCTCTGAGCCATCTCTCCAGCCCCCATGGTCTCCATTTAAATGAACTGAGTACCTGATTTTTGTTGTTTTGTTTTTCCTGTGTGTGTGAACATGTTCTTGTGTGCACATACATCTCGGCAGTCCAGAAGTCATTCCTTGCCTTCTGCCTGGTTTGAGGCAAGGGCTCTTGTTTTTTTGTTCATTTGTCTTAATGTCACCGACACCACCACCCACCCCACCCCCAAATCTTGTCCTGTCTCATCCCATGTCCTCCTCCCTGGCTGTCCTGGAACTCGCTCTGTAGACCAGGCTGGCCTCGAACTCAGCAAGCTGCCTGCCTCTGCCTCCTGAGTGCTGGGATTAAAGGCCTGTGCCACCACACCTGGCCTTATTTTTGTCTTTTATGTATATTTATCTTAAGTGTACGTGTGTATACTTGTGTGTACCTGAGTATGTGACTGTGTACCACATATGTGACATCAGGCACCAGGTGTGTGATATCAGATCCCCTGGAACTGGAGTTACAGTTGTTAGCTGCCGTGTGGTGCTGGAAATTGAAGTTCGGTCCTCTGGAAGAGTAGACAGTGCTCTTAACTGCTGAGCCATCTGTCTAGCCCCAAGGTCTCTTATTTTTATACTCCAAGCTAGCTGGCCTGCCAGTTTCTGGAAATTCTGTCTCTACTTTGTCTTCCTGTACCTACCTTTCTGTGAGTCTTGGACACAAGCACTTTATCCACTGAGCCATCTCCCTAGCCTGTGCCCCTTATTGGAAAGATTTTAAATTGTATTTAATGTGTGTGTGTGAGAGAGAGAGAGAGAGCGCGAGCGAGCGAGCGAGAGCGATCGTGAGCGCACATGTGCTATGCACACCTGTATAGTTGAGACAGCTTTGCAGGAGTTAGTTGGTTCTCTCCTTTCACCATGTGGGTCTTGGGATCAAATGTATAGTCAGGTTTGGTAACATCCATCTTTATCTGCCATCTAACCACCTCCAAGTACCTTTTTAAAAAATATTTATTTATTTATTTTGTTGTTGTTTTTCTTGGAGACAGTTCTCACTATGTAGCTGTGACTGGCCTGTAACTTACTATGTAGACCAGGCTGTCCTTAAACTCACCAAACTCCGTTTGCCTCTGCCTTCTGAGTTCTGGGATTACAACATTCACCAACATATCCAGTGTGAATAATTTATATTGGTTAAAGGCATAATTTATAAAGGTTAAAGTCGCAGCTCTCAGACAGAGGCAAGTGGATCTCTGTGAGTTCTAGGACAGAGCCAGGACTGCATAATGGGACCTTATCTCCCAAAAAACAAAAGAATGTAACTGGAAATCACAGACACTGTTCATCAAACTTTTGTGCTCTATCTTTAGCATACAGTCTTATAAATGTTTGATTAATAATGAGGAAATGTTAGATATGGGATAGTTTAAAAATTAGCTGACCCATTTCCTTCTAAAGTCATGTCAGGATCAGCTGGACATAGTGGCCTGCACCTATAATCCCAGTACTTTGTTGGAATTCTGAGTTTGAGTCTAGATTGTACTGCTTAGCAACATTGTCTCAAACACCAAAAACAAAACAAAAAAGTCAGTGTAGCTGGGCTGGCAGAGAAGCATTTAATCCCAGTACTCAGGAAGCAGGTGGATCTCCTAGCAAATTCCAGGCTAGCCAGGGTTACAACCTTGTCTTGAGTTTGAGACAAGGGGCCCCATTTTGTTCCCAGAGTGGCACATGACAGTTTACCAATTTTCCTCTCTCCCTCTCAAGCAAAAAATGAAAACCAAAACAAGTTTGCAAGTTTAGTAGAAAACATTTGTGAAAACTGTGTGCTAAAAAATTTTTTTTTCCCAGTGTAGATTATGGCCGAAGAAAAAGAAATGCTTTTAGGATTCAGGTAGAAAAAGGTGAGTCTTTCACTGTTGGAGCAGAATTATCAACATTTATGGAAATACTAGTTTTAGCTCATGACATTTTATTGTTTACTTGTTTCAGTATTTAACGTAATTAGTAGTGAGAAAGAACTGAAGAATCTTAAGGAATTAGAAGATGAGCATCTGGCAAAAAGAGCAAGAAGGGACGAAGATGATGAGTGAGTATTGCAAAGCACGTCCCAAAGTCCCACAGGCACACTTGGGGACCTTCCAGTGGCTCCTTTCAGGCAACGGTGCAGCCACACCTGAACATCTTTGCACCTTACACCCTTTCCCTCCAGCCGTATTGACCTATCTCTACTCCTAAAGATGCTTTGACTGGTTTTCAGTAGCTTGGGTATTCATTTCTTTTTCACAAATCCCACTCAACCGTCAAACATCAGTGAAGATGTCAGTCTTGGGCCTTCTTAGATCCCTTGGGAGTGTTTTCTTCACATCTGGTTACAGAGATTTGCTGTGATCTTTATATCGTGTGGCATGGAAATTGTTTACTGTTTTGTATTACCAACACAGTTGTCTCATCATCGTTATTCTTTGCTTTAATATAACGCAAGGTATATTAAAAGATGGCAGTAAATTTTAATGTTTAAATATGTTATGGCTGGAGCACTCATGTTAAAAATGAAAACATTTGGGTTGGGGATTTAGCTCAGTGGAAGAACACTTGCCTAGCAAGCACAAGGCCCTGGGTTCGGTCCTCAGCTCCGGGAAAAAAAAAAAAAAAAGAAAACATTTTTAGCTGGATTGGTGGCTCAGTTCTGCCAGAGGAACCAGGTGTGATTCCCAGCACTCACATGGTTGCTCACAGCTGTCTGTAACTGCAGTTCCAGGAGTACACACATGTAGGCAAAACACCTGTACACATTAAAACAAAACAATGAAACATTCCTTATTATTTGGTAGATAAGGAAGCTAATATTCAGCGACATTAAGCACAGGGTTTTAACTGGTTAAATGGATTTTTACTTTTAATTTAGTTTAGTTTCGAGACAGGGTCTCTCTGTGTACTCCTGGCTATCCTCGAACTCTCTAGGTAGATTAGGCTAGCCTCAACTCACAGAGACCAGCCTTCCTCTCCGCTTCTCAAGTGCTGGGAATAAAGGCATACACAACTACACCTGGCTGTTTAAAATGGATTTTTAAATCCCAGTTTCTTTGATCATAATACTCTTTTTCCTATGATTTATTTTTATTATTTATTTGTTTTGTTCTTTAATTAAAAAAATTTAATATAATGTATTTTGATTGTGTTCCCCTCCCAGTTTCTCCTAGATTCTCCCCACCTTCCTACCCACTCAACTTCGTGTTCCTTTTCTCTCTCCCTCTCAAGCAGAAAATGAAAACCCAAACAAACAAAAACTAGTAAGAAAAAAAATGCTAAAACAAAAAGGCCACAAAGAAACCTTGGAGTTCGTTTTGTGTTAGCCAACTAACTCCTCCCAAACATGGGGCTTTCCTTGGAGAGTGGTTAATCTATGCAGTGATACTCCCTTTCCTAGTACCTTTCAGTTAGAATTAACTTCTTGTGCCCTCTTCCCTTTTCAGTGGTGGGATTTTGTCCACTTTGAACCTGTGCAGGCCTTGCACACTCTGCCATAGTGTTGTGTGAGTTCACGTGTGCATCAGTCCTGCTGTGTCCTGAAGACTGTGTTACTTGAAGTCATCCACCACCGATGGCTCTTGCAGCCTTTCCGCCTCCTCTTCTGCATAGATCCCTAAGCCTTGAGGGGGGGGGTTGGTGAAGACATTCCATTTAAAGCTGAGTGCTCCAAAGTCTCTCACACTGGGCATGATCCAATGGTGGGTCTCTGTATTAATTCTCATCTACTATACAAAGAAGCTTCTCCGATGGTGGTTGAGTGGTACACTGGCCTGAGGTTTGTTTTGTTTTGTTTTAAATTATTTTTGTAAGTGAGTGTGCCTGTGTTAGTGGATCCCATATGTATGTGGGTGCCTGTGGAGGCCAGAAGAGGGCATCATATCCCTTGTGAGCTGGAGGTAGAAACCAAATTTGGCCTTCTGTAAGTGCAGCAAGTGTTCTTAACCACTGAGCCATCTCTAAGGCTCTCACTTGGACTCTTTTTTTTTTTTTCTGTTGTTTTTTGTTGTTGTTGTTGTTGTTGTTTTTATTTTTTGTTTTTCAAGACAGGGTTTCTCTGTATAACCTTAGCTGTCCGGGAACTCACTGTAAGACCAGGCTGGCCTCAAACTCACAGAGACCCACCTGCCTCTGCCTCCCAAGTGCTGGGATTAAAGATTTGTGCCACCACCGCCCCCTAGCCAGCCCTTGAACTCATCATGATTTGCCTTAATATATTGACTTATTTGACACAGTAAGAGAAAAGGCTCCAAAACTTTTTTACTTTCTCTCTCTCTCTCTCTTTCTCTCTCTCATCCTTAGGTACACTGAAAGCTATTCTGATGATGATTCAAACATGGAAGATTACCCAGATCCACAGGTAAGCCAAACATTGAGTGAGCCCACTTTGATTTCTTTCTCTCTCTCTCTTTTTTTTTTAAGATTCATTTATTTTTGTTTTATGTATTTGACTGTTTTACCTGCATGTATGTATGTGCACCATATGCATGCCTGGTGCCTGAGAGAAGAGGGCATTGGATACCCTGGAACTGGAGTTAGGAGCTACTACTACGTGGGACCTGGGAACTGAAGCTGGGTGTTCTGCAAGAGCAGCCAGTGTTCTCAACTGCTGAGCCATCACTCCAGCCCCATTTTTTTTCCTTACTCATTGTAATCCTTTCTTAGAAAAAAGTTAAAAATAGAATGAAGGACCTTGTCCATCATTGTCAGTACATAATTGAATGCTCCCTATACACATCATCAATAGTTTAATCATCTTTCCTGTACTTATATAATTAGTTATATAAAGGAGAAAGAGGGAAAACAATAGTCAAAACTGAAGGCAGATTTATAGATATGAGGTAGATCACTGACTCTACTCTGAGGAAAAAAGATAAATAATAAGAAAATGAGTAAATCACTGAATCTACTGTAAAAAGAAAAAGGGGAAGATATAAAAATGACAAAAGGTAGACTACTGAATCTATTATGAAAAGAAAAAAGATAGAATATGGATATGATAAGATAAAAAGGTCAATTTTTAAATCTACTTTTAAAAAGGAACTACTTGTTTTAAATAGGATAAGTAGTGAAATTTTTTGTCTGAGTATATCTGATGTTACTGGACTGGACATTGTTAATATATATAATGGAGTTTTTATCTGAATCTGTCAAATGTTAATGGACTAGACATCGTTAATGTAATTCTTGACTGTATATATTATATATACTTACTGGATAGTTTTTCTTGTATTAGTTATAAGCTTTTTTTTTTTTTTTTTGGTTTTTCGAGACAGGGTTAAGCTTTTTTTTTTAATTTTAGACAAAAAAAAGGGGAAATGTGGTGGTATTGTGTTCCCCAAAATATTGTGCACTCTAATAAACTTATCTGGGGTCAGAGACAGAACAGCCACAATATTAAACATAGAGGTTAGGCAGTGGTAGCACACGCCTTTAATCCTAGCATTCCAGAGGCAGAGATCAACCTGGATCTCTGTGTGTTCAAGGATACAGCCAAGCATGGTGACTCACGCCTTTAATCCCAGAAAGCGAGCCTTTAATCCCAGGGAGTGATGACAGAAAGCAGAAAGGTATATAAGGCGTGAAGTCCGGAAACTAGAAGCAATTTGGCTGGTTAAGTTTTTAGGCTGAGACCCATTCTGGATGAGGACTCAGAGGCTTCCAGTCTGAGGAAACAGGATCAGCTGAGGAACTAGTGAGGTGAGGTAGCTATGGCTTGTTCTGTCTCTCTGATCTTCCAGCATTCACCCCAATACCTGGCTTCAGGTTTGATTCTATTAATAAGACCCTTCTATGATTCCTGCTATACAGATTGGAATATTAAGGGAAGTAATAATAAAAAAGAAACTCACCAGGTCTGTGTCACCTTTAATCTCAGCACTTGGGAGGCATAGATGGGCAGTTCTCTGAGTCCAGGCCAACTAGGGCTACATAAATAACATACTTTCTGCCAGGGAGGCAGCATTACTGAGGCCTTAATAAAAAGATATAGCAAAAATGCACCAAATTACTAGTTGCTTCTTAGTTTTTCTCTTCTTGGTAAATAAAGCTTTGAATTTATTAACAAAGTGATTACAGTACTCCATTATGTTTGGTCCAGTGTTGAGTTGATCATTCACTGATTACCAGTCCATTTTCATACCTCTTGATTTTATTTAATCACAAATTATGAATTGGCCTGGTTCTCTGTTCCCTTACAGTGGTTATAGTAGTTTTGGATAGTAAAAGCTTATTTGGAAATTAACTAACTAATAACCTGTGTATTCTGACTGTAAATGTTGTGAGAGAAGTTGTTTAAAGTAAAACACACAAAGCTTTTTAGTTTAGGTACTGAAGCTTTAACTTCATGAGTAACTTAGTCTGAAATCATGTTTTTGCCAGTCAGGAAATCACATGAACAGTTCCCTGCTGTCTTTGTATCGGAAAGGAAACCCTGATTCTGTTTCCAACACTCCAAAGTTGGAACAGAGAGAAGCCACCACTTCAGTGCCATTACTGACTTCTAAAACGGGCTCCATGCCATTGAAGACCCCTGCCAGAGAATCTGAGGGAGGATGGTTTATTGACAAAACCCCAGGTGGAAAGAAAGAAAGTCTTCCTTCAGACCTATCAGATGACCAAAGCAACTATAAAAAGCCAGATTCTGAGGTACAGGTATTTTTACAGTGATAATTTAGTTCCATGTGTTAGAGTATATTGCAATCTTTTCATTGAATGTAGTATAGCTGAAGTTTTCCTGTGTCCACCCGACTCCTACAGCCGCTCAGACCCAAGTAAACACACAGAGACTTATATTATTTATAAGCTGTATGGCCGTGGCAGGCTTCTTGCTATCTAGTTCTTATATCTTAAATTAACCCATTTCTATTAATCAAGCAAATACTTATATTTTTGTTTTTAAAAAAAATCACAAATACTATGAAATATATAGAAAACGTCATCACTTTTTACTGCTTCTGTCATTATTATCCTAGTCCAGGACCTTTATTGCTCTAACTATCAAATAGGTTTCCAAGTGGAATCTGTGTCTTGTTACTCTATTTTACACATATAGATATTTTTCACATTGCTGGGTCACTGCCATTTTTGTCAGACTTTTAATTGCATTGAGAAACGCTGAGAAACAGTTGTAAGGAGAAGGACCTATCTGGCTGAATTAGCATTGCTTCTAGGCCTGAGGTGAGGTGTAACAGCATGGTGAAGGAGCATGGTAAAGCAGAGCTACTCACCTCATTGAACCAGGAAGTAGTGATGGGAAGGGACAACGGTTCCAGAATTTGTGTCAGTGACATCCACCACTCTCCAGTGACCCTTTAACTCCAGTTTGGTTCCACCTCCTAATAACTGTTCAGCAGTGAACTCATAAATGGATCAGTCTATTGATAAGCTCATGATTTTATGATAAGGACTTACTGACTGAGCCCTATTTGTTTGATTTTGGATTTTGAAATAGAGTCTCTTGTAGCCTAGTCCAACCTTGAAATTTCTGTGTATCTAAGAATGCCCTTAACTTCTGATCCTTCTATTTTCACCCCCAAAGTGTTGAGGGTATAGGTTTTCCTTTTATGTTATTAATGGGCCTTTCCCCAAATACCTTTAAGCTGTAACTATGGAGAGCACTATTATAATTGGTAAGAACCTGATGTTTATCTGCATCTTTTGGAAGAGATTAAATTTAACTGGTCAACTGGTAGAGCCTGGAAAGAAAGTTATCAAGTGTTAAGATTTAAGCTGTGCTTTTTTTAGGTTTCTGAAAGAAGACAGCAAGCATCCTTGAGCAGAGATTGGCAATAGATAGCAATGCTACAGCATTGTAATTTGAAGTACAGCATATTTAAATTTGTATTTTCTCCCCAGAATTTAAAAGATTCTTCTCTTCTGGAAAGTGATAAGAAAAGAAAAGGTAGGCCAAAGAGCAAAGGAAACAAAAGAAAGACAGAGGATCTTCAAGAAGTAGATGGAGAAATAGAAGCTAGTCTGCAAAAGAAAGGTGAGCTGTGGATAGCAGGAGATGGCAGTGGTGTGTTTGCTTTGAGAGAGGGGCTCACTATTTTGAGTTGTTTTGTTTGAGAACTATTTTGTGTCGAAATACCTAGTTGAGAACATTTTTTTTTTTAATCTAATGGAGCTTTAGTTATATGTTTGTATGGAATCTCTAATCTTTTCACCTTTTTTGTTTTTTACCAGCCAAAGCAAGGCGTATAGAGTTGCAGATTTCCAGTGTGAAGTTTGAAGATGTTGGAGGCAATGATGCAACATTAAAAGTTAGTGGCAATTGAGAAATGGCATTGCATGAGATGGGTCTATTGTTAAACATTTACACAAATTCAGCCTGTTTTTTGTGTTTTTTTTTTTTTGTTGTTGTTGTTGTTGTTAGAGATAGGATTTCTCTGTGTAGCTTTGGTGCCTTTCCTAGAACTCACTCTGTAGCCCAGGCTGCCCTTGGTCTCACAGATATCCACCTGCCTCTGCCTCCTGAGTGCTGTGCTGGGATTAAAGGTGTGTATCACCACCGCCCGGCTAACTGTTTTTAATTTAAATTAAAAGATGATTTTATGTATCTAGGTGTTCTGCTGGCTTGCATGTATGTTTGTGCACCACTTGCGTGCCTGGTGCCCTCAGGCTAGAAGGGAGTGCCAGATTCCCTGGAACTGGTGTTACAGACAGTTGTGAGCCACCGTGTAGGTCCTAGGAAACACAGCCAGGTTCTCTACAAGAGCAGCCAGTGCTCTTAGCCACTGGACCATCTTTCCAGCCTTCCATCTTTAGTTTTTAGTGTGAAGTGAGTACAGAAAAGACGACCAGGAAGGTGAGATGGGCAGACCTGATCCTTGAGGGTGAAGAGAGAATGAAGCTTCCTGTCTTTTCACATTTTTAGCTCTAGTGTAGGTAAAGTGCATGCTTCGTAAGTTAACACCGTTCTGACCGTGCTGATGGGAATGGCTACAGGTCTTAGTGTCTCCTCTGTGACAGTCACTGTGTTAGTTACTTTTCATGGTGTTTTATGAGATAGATATTTTTACAGCTTAGGAAATAGAAGCATGGAGATATCATTGAAGTTATTTACGCAGTATACCAAAGCTGGGACTCAAACTCAAGTTGAATTCTAAAGCCTGTTTTCTATCTAGTATATTTTGGTGTTCCCAAAATAGGACATTTCATTCTACTTTGACTTTTTGTCTTGGGCCGAGGAAGATATCTTTTATGCTTATTCCTTGACAGGAAGTATGCAAGATGCTCATCCACATGCGTCACCCAGAGGTATACCACCACCTTGGTGTAGTGCCCCCTCGTGGAGTTCTCTTGCATGGGCCGCCAGGCTGTGGGAAGACATTACTTGCGCATGCAATTGCTGGGGTAAGGCTCATTGCTGCTGGATTTTGATTTTTTTGTTGCTGTTTGTTTTTCTCTGTGGTCAATTCCAGTTAGACCTGGTATCTTTATAGGAAGCAAATTGATCAGTAAGAAATTTCTCTTCCTGCTCCTCTCCCTCTCTTTCTTCCTCCCACATCATTTTCCTCATTGTCTTTTTGTTGTTTGTTTGCTTTGTTTTTCAAGACAGAGTTCCTCTGTGTAGCCCTAGCTGTCCTGGAACTTACTCCATGGACCCGGCTGACTTAGAACTCACAGAGATCTGCCTATATATGCCTCCTGAGTGCTGGGATTAAAGGTGTGAGCCATTACTGCCTGGCCATTGCTGTTTTGAGACTAGGTTTCTCACTGAACCTGGATCACACTTGATTTGTCTAGACTGGCTGGCCAGGACACTCCGGGCATCACTTTTCACCCTGCCTGTCCTGGGTTTACAGATGTGGAGCCCCTCTGCCTGGCTTTTACGTCAGTGGCATGGTTCTAGACTCAGGTTCTCATGTTGTAAGCACTTACAGACTGAGCCCTCCCCAGCCCCAACTTTCTTTTATTGACCTTTTTCATGATGCTATTTATGCTGGGTTTTTTTAATGAATACAATTATTTTGTCTGACAAAAATTTGGTGGGAAGTAAAATGGCATAACTGCAAAAACTCTTTCTAAACACTTAGTTTACATTTTACTTACTTCTCTTTCCCTTTATCCTAGTAGTTCTTAAAAGCAGCAAAATATGAAAAAATAGTATTTTTTTTTTCTTGGAGTTAAATAATTTAAAATTTCAATTGTTAAAATGCCCTTCTAAAGTAGTTTCAAAAGATCGCTTAGGCATGGTAATGTGCACCTGAAATTTCAGTATTTGTAGGACTAAGGCAGGATTGCAAGTTTAAAGATTTATTTATTTATTGTGTATACGGAAGAGGGTGCTAGATCTTATTACAGATGGTTGTGAGCCACCATGTGGGTGCTGGGAATTGAACTCAGGACCTCTAGTAGAGCAGTCGGTGCTCTTAACCTCTGAGCCGTCTCTTCAGCCTAGGATTGCAAGTTTAAAACTAGCCTAGGCTTTAAATTTTGTAAAGTTCTTCGTTGTATGAACTACATCCACCCCTGTACCCACAAAAAGACATTTATTTTGCAGAATAAAAAGCTAACAATCCTGATTGTGTCCTATCAGATTTTTCAGAAACTTATTTCATGGTAAAATGCAAAGTAATCCAAGGAACTTCAACTAGCAGAATAACATACTATTCTAATCATTAATAGAGCAAGCTCTCGCTTTTTAAAGGAAGCTTGATTTGTCTTTCCAAAAATAAACTTATTTCATGGTCACTGTATAGCAGACCTTGGAACATAGTGTTTGTGTTTATGCGTTTGGGTAAATCCCAAGATTTCTTTTAAAGACAGGGTCTCACACTGTTAGTTCAGGCAGCCTTGAACTCAAACCTTTGCTCTCCCAAGTGCTGAGTGGCTACTGCAATTGATGGTTAAATCCATAAACTTTTTAGTTTTTTGAGACAGGGTTTCTCTGTATAGCCTGGCTATCCTGGAACTCACTCTGTAGCCCAGGCTGGCCTCGAACTCACAGAAATCCACCTGCTTCTGCCTCCCGAGTGCTGGAATTAAAGGCATGCACCACCACCACCTGGATGACTTTTTTGTTTATTTTTCTAGGTTTATTTATTGTATTATATTTGTGAGTGTTTTGCCTGCATGTATGTCTATATACCATGTGCATGTCTGGGGTCCATGGAAGTCAGAAGGGCTATGGGATCCCCTGGAGCTGGAGTTACAGACAGTTAGTTGTAAGCGGCCATATGGGTGGTCTTAACTGCTGAGCCCATCTCTCTAAGTTAAGCTAGCTCAAAGGGTAAAGGTACTTTCCCCATGCTTGATGGCCCTGTGCTGAAACCAGAAACAACAAGGTGGAAGGAGATCCACCATGCTTGATGGCCCTGTGCTGAAACCAGAAACAACATGGTGGAAGGAGAGAACCAGCTTTTCCAAGTGGTCCTCTGACCTCCACATGTGCACAATGGCACATATATGCCTGCACACACACACACACACATACTTGCATGGATGCACAATAAACAATAAATATATTTTTAAAACTTAAAAACAACCTAATTTTGACAGGGCAGATTGGCTAAGAAAGATGTAGGAAAGTTAAATTGTATTTAATCTCTGGTCATTCTTTTCGTATCTGTACGCAGGAACTTGATTTGCCAATCCTGAAAGTGGCTGCACCAGAGATCGTGTCGGGAGTTTCTGGAGAGTCTGAGCAAAAGCTCAGAGATTTATTTGATCAAGCTGTGGTGAGTCAACTCTTTCCTGTGCCTGCTCATCACATGCTGCATGCTCTCTTAGAGTTGGCTTTTCTGATGCTAGTATTGTTTATCCCACTCACTGACCTTCCTTTTGTTAAAAACGTCTAGTGGTAAAAAAAATTTTAAGTGGATTTAATGATATAGACTCTTGGTAAGTAATCTGTTTCATATGAAATCAAACATAAAGGTAATACGTTTTGGCCAGTCGTACCTAGGAATTGAGTGTTTAAAACATCTTGTCCTTATGATATTTCATTCACTTTGTTTCTCCAGCTTATGTTTGACTAAACAACTTGCAAACAATATGAGAATTATCATACTTAGGCTTATACAAGCACTGTAAAACTCAAGGATAAATGCTTTTTATACGATTTGAGGTATGAAAAGGAAATTCACTTACCAGAGAGAAATTATAGCTAACTACAATTTCTGTTGTTAAAATTTAGAAGAGGATATTTGGATCCTATTGAAGTTATAGCTTCAGAATAGTATGGGGGTTTAAATGTCTGTATTCTCATTAAGTAAGTTGAAGACCAATTCCGTGTCATCACATAGCATGTTGGGGAAGAGACCTGTCCACTCTACCCTGTTCCAAATCCTAACCTATAAATATACCCAGTTTTCATGGAGTTTCTGAGTGTTTAAATCAGAAGATTCTTTTCTTTTCAGATGATGTGTTCCCATGTTGTCTAGCCTGGCCTTGAATTCCTGGCCAAGCAACCTTCCTACCTCAGCCTCCCAAATGCTGTGATTGTAGGTATACACCATCATGCCCAGTTGAAAGATTTCTTATAAAACCTTTAACGTTGTGTCTAGTATATAGTAAGAGTCCTGTAAATTATGGCATGCATATTTGAGTAGACATGCATCACCACTCTGACTAAAACTAAAAAGTGATGAAAAGTTTCTTATGTCATGTTTCTTTCCCCACCTAACCCTTTCAGACAGGATCTGCAGTAACCCAGTCTGGCCTCTGACTTCTTGTGTAACTGTGGATGATTTTGAACTTACTTTCTTCCTGCTTCCACCCAAGTGTTGAAATGACAGTTGTGTGTCAGCACACTGGGTTTAATTTTACCTCTTTATTTGCATCTAAAACATATAATGGCTCATAAACATCACTATTGTAACTACTAGAAGCTGATGTGAAATTAGGAGAGAAATGTATTTTAACAGCAATAATAAGTAATTATACATTTGTAATAATAATGTAAGTTATAAGAATAATTAATTTTTTAGAATCTCACTGTATAGCCTGTGGGGCATTTACCCACCAACCCCACAGTTCCCCAGAATTTTCTTGAGTGCGAGCAGCAGGAAATATTAGACAGAAGGATTTATTGCAGAGAATCTTGCGGAGATAAACAGAAAATAAAGGATAGCCTCAAGAGGGCCTGGGACCTTTTCCAACGGGGCCCCAACTGTCTCTGCTCCAGGGTATTTATAGAGACGCCAAGGGGTGGAGCAAATGACCTCCTCCCCCAGCACAGCCAAGTGCAGACCATCTCAGACACCTGCACTCAGGCCCGTGGTCTAATCATCCTCTATGCGGACCTGCTGGGTAAAGCCCCGAGGAACCCAAAAACGGGCTCCCACAATAGCCCTAGCTAGCCTAGAACATACTATGAAGATCAGGCTAGCCCGAAATTTAACAGAGCCTGCCTTGGCCTTGCTGTGTTGTGTCACCATGCCCAGCAAGAAACATGTTTTCAGATGGGAAGAAGTAGAGGCGAGCTGCTGGGATTGGTATGTAGACTGCAGTGGAATGGCATGGCTGGTACCAGGAAGGTCCGGAGAAAGGGTGAGAATGACGGTGTGTGCATCCTTCTAAAATGTGCACAGATGGTACACATAGTTGTATGTCTCCATTTCTTCTCTGTTGCTGCGATAAGACGCCACGACTAAGGCAGCTATAGAAGAAATGGCTTATTTGGGGGTTACAGTTTCAGAGTTAGAGTTTGTGACCACCGTGGCAGGAAGCATGGCAGCAGGTAGATAGGCATGGTGCTGGCACAGGAGCTGAGAGCTCCATCCTCACCTGCAAGCAGGAGGCAGACAAAGCTAAGGGAGGATGACCAGTTCACCGTTCACCACCCGTGACACACCTCTTCCAGCAAGGCCACACCTCCTAATCCTTCCCAAACAGTTCACCAGCTGGGAACCAAGTATTCAAATATGAGCCCAATTATGTGTGGGTTGGGGTTGTGAGGGGGCATTCTCATTCAGACCGCCATGGAAAATTTTGTATATATGGTAAAGACAATGGCAAATATGGATACAAAGATAAATAGCATATTTAGATCATTAGTTCTGTGCTGAGTCTCTGTAATCTAGTACTGAGCAAGTATAAGTCTGATTCAGGTGTTGAATAGCACGTGGTCTTATACTTTCTTTCCCTGCCACTTCTTCCATAATCCAAGTGAATAACATAATCTTTGTCAAGCAAGGTAGTTCTCTTCTAAAATTAATCCCTTCCTTAGGCTAAGTTCTGATTATCATCATTTATTCTTTCCCATTTAGTTTTCCAGGTCACTGACAAAAAATCATGGGTTTACTTTCTGAGACCTTTGCTCCATACTTTTACTTTTGTAACTGATCTAGCAGTCAGTCATAGGTGCTTTTGCAAACACTGTCCTGAGGAAGATTGGGGAAGACAGCCAGGAGGGACAGGCCAAGTTTCTGTCACTTTGGTGTCATTTTCAGCTGACGTTGTGTGACTTTCAGCACAATAAATGTCTCTGTTTTGACTATGGAGTGACTAAGTGTAATTGAGGTTGTAAGCCTAGGTTTTTATTTTTCACTTAATCCTTATTACTCCTGTGTTGTGTGTGTGTGTGTGTGTGTGTGTGTGTGTGTGTGTGTGTGTGTGTGTGTGCGCGTGCGTGTGTTTTATAAAACTTACTATGTTAGCTTCTTTGTTGTCACTGTTGTTGAGTTAGAATCTCAGTCTGTATTCCAGGCTTCCCTCAAACTCATAGCATTCCTCCTGCCTTCATCAGTGCTGGGATTACCAGCATGAAACACTGTTTTGCACATTTTATCCATTTTAAAGTGTACCACTCAGTGGCATTAGGTACTTCACTTTTTACTTTAAGGTTTTGTGCTGCATTTATTTATGGTGGTGGGGTGGTACGCACATGTGCCAAGGCGCATGTATAAGTCGGAGGACAGCTTGTGGGAATCAGTTCTCTCCTTTGATCCCTGGGATCAAACTCTGGTCACCCTTAGTGGCAAGCAGTCTTCCTTACCCACTGAGACAGCCCTATACTTACATGTGTAACAGTCATCACCACCCACCTCTAGAACTTTTTCATCTTCTCAGTTGAAATTCTGTAGCTGATATATTTTTCTTTTTGGGTTTTTATGAAATTAGGTTTCTCTGTGTAACAGCTCTGGCCGTCCTTGAATACTTGTAGACCAGGCTGGCCTCAAACTCACAGAAATCTGCCTGCCTCTGCCTCCTGAGTGCTGGAATTAAAGGCGTGCACCACCACTGCCCACCTCTAGTTTATTTTTATATATAAAAAAATAAAGATCTGGGGACTAGAAAGATAGTTCAGTGGTTAGTTAAGAGCACTTATTGCTCTTGTAGAGACCAGCATTTGGTACCTAGCACCCACATGGTGGTTCATAACTATCTATAACTCCAGTTCTAGGGCATCCTACACCATCTTCTTGCCTCTGCTACACCAGGCGCCCACGTGGTACATACATATGCATACAGACTAAACACTTTAAAAAAAATTTTAAATAACATGAATTTTAAAAGCCTGAGACAACAACAACAAAAACCAAAGAGTTGATCACGTGTTAACCGAAATATTGAAACTTTATTATCTTTCCTTATTCAGTGTAGTCATTGGGGCTGGGTGTATAGCTCAGTGGTGGAGTGTTTGTCTTATATGTGTGTAGCATGGGTTTGATGCCTAACATCTCAGAACACTCTCTCTCTCTCTCTCTCTCTCTCTCTCTCTCTCTCTCTCTCTCTCTCTCACACACACACACACACACACACACACACACACACGCACGCACAAACACACACACGCCTCTGATAGTTTCAGTATAAGATAAATGGAAAAGTTGTGGAGGTGAATGATGATGATTATACAAGAGTGTAAACATATGTAATGCCACTGAATTATACTTAAAAGTGGTTAAAATGGTAAATTTTATAGAAATTTAAAAAAAGCTTGTGGTGCTTCTTAAGACCTTCTTACAGCTGATTGAAAAATTTGGACTTTGTTTCTATGTGTAGCCCTGGCTATCCTAGAACTTGATTTGTAGACCAGGCTGGCTTCAACTCACAGAGATCTTCCTGCCTCTGCCTTTGAGTGTTGGCCAAATTTTGACATTTTTATGTTAGAGAAAAACTCATACCATTTAAGCAAACTTGGATTTTCTAGTTTGAAACTCAGTTTTATTTTGGTTTTGTAAAACGAGATCTCATCTAGCCAGTCCAGCTTGGAACTAGAAATGTTGCCTAGGATGTCCTAAGTGTTGATCGTTCTAAGAGCCAGAATTATTAGCATGTGCTACTATGCTTAGCTTAAAGCTTTTAAATGCACTTCTTATATTCTGTAGCATACAAATATGTCTAACTTACAGAAGAATTGCAGAAGATACTTCAGAAACCATGATGCATTCTATTCTTTAAGACATAGCAACCAGAAGCATTTGTGTGAGCTGCTGCCTTCTTCATGGTTATTCTTTGAGGACTGGTCTTGAGCTTTAAATTCCTGAAGAATATGTGAACATTAGGTACCAATATAGAGAATTTATCTTATAGTCATATCTTTGTGGTGTTTTTATTTCTAGTCAAACGCACCCTGTATTGTTTTCATTGATGAAATTGATGCTATTACCCCCAAAAGAGAAGTTGCTTCAAAAGATATGGAACGAAGAATTGTAGCCCAGCTTCTAACCTGCATGGATGGTCAGTTTAAAATAATGAATTTGTTTTAAGATAGTATATTTCTGAAAATAATGCAAGTCATACATGCGTGTATGAACCATTTAAATAGTGAATCTCATAAAACAATCTTTTTTGTAAAAGATTTTCCAGTCATTTCAAATTGTATTGAACTGTGTATGTATGCATATATGTGGGTGCACATGTATGTGCCAGGAGTGTATACATGTGTGTGTGAGAAGGGAGTCCAGAGGGCAATCTCAGATATCATTATTTAGGAGCCATCATTAGTTTAATTGGCTTGGTGCTTGCCAAAAAGGCCAGGCTGGCTGGCCAGTGAGCCCCAGGGGTCTGCCTGTTTCTACCTCCCCAGTACTGGGATTACAAGTGTGCCACGTTATATGCATTTTTTTTTAAAGTGGGTTCTGGGAATTGAACCCAAGGACCTCATGCTTGCAAACCAAGCACTTTTCTACCTGAGCTGTCTCCCCACCTCTGTAGTAATTAAATACGCATTTACTAATATATTGTTTTGCTTTTGCAGTCTACCATTTCAGGGTTGCATAGTACCTACTGTTGTTACTTAAGAGTATCTTTGGGAGAGAAATGTTAAAATTTTAATGCATTTATATTTATGTCTTAAAAAAATATTTTTACTTTTGGCCCGGGGTGGTGGCAGGAGCCTTTAATCCCAGCACTTAGGAACAGAGATAGGTGGATCTGTGAGTTTGAGGCCAGCCCGGTCTACAGAGTGAATTCCAGGACAGCTTGAGCTACAAAGTGAATCCCTGTCTCTATCCACCCTTCCATAAAAAAGTATTTTAAGTATGTGTATATGTGGGACGGTTTGTATGTGTGAGTGCATTGCCTGTGGAGGCCTTAAGATCCCTCTCAGTTACAGGTCATTTTGAGCCCCTAGGCCTGGGTGGTTGAAACCAAACTAGGGTCCTCTGGAAGAATAGTATGAGCTCTTGACTGCTGAGCCGTCTCTCCAACCCTATGTTTATCTCTTTTAACTGTTAGTAATATTCTTCAAGTTTACTATGCAGATTAGAGCATTTTTACCAGTGTTTCCATATAGAGTTTGAGGACAACCTGGCCTGTATAGTGAATTATAGTCCAGCTAGGGATATGTCACAAAAACAAACAAAAACAAGAAAAGAAATAGCACATGTTTTGGTATCATATTCCTGTAATCTGTTATCCAAGCACATAGAAAACTGGGACAGGATAATTGCCATGAGTTGTAGGCTAGGCTGGGTTACATAGTGAATTTCAGGCCCAGCTTGGTCTACAGAGTGAGAGCCCCCTGTCTCAAAACAAAACAGAAGAAAAATGTACAAAAGGAAAGTTAATTTGAAATATCACATAACATAATATGTTTCTTAAGGTGCCAAATTATAAACTACTTGTATTTTAACTCTTGTGCAGTTCCAGGGATTGAACCTGGGTCCTGGTGTGTGCTCTGAAAGCTCTCCACCATTTAATTACCCCGCAGTACCCTGTGCTGTTTTAGTTTCATCTTAATTTTGTTGCCATGTTTTTGAGGCCTCTATTCTAAGAAAAGCTTTTCATAGGTTCTTGCTAATCAAATAATAGGTCCATTATTTACAATGTGCTTAGCATTTGAAACATGTTATTTCCTGTAAGGCCATATAATCTAGACTCTCTTCTGTTTAATTCTGGTTCAGCTGACAGAATATTTACAAAAGATAAAACTGATAGAATACTTGGGAAAGATAAAATTTAAGCCCTGCATTCTGTTCATTCCTAAAAATCTATCTCTAAAGTAAGCCAGCGCTACGTGGGATGTTCTGTACCCCTCTCTGGTTCTCCCTCATCCTTGTGAGCCAACATTGCTGTCTTCCTCACCCCCACTGCTGGACCACTCGCGTGGTCTGGCTGTGCACTGCATATGCCCCTGTGTGCTTTCACTCATGCTGGGCTCTAGAACGCCAGTAACTTTATCTTTGCTTGTAGGAACCACCTTGCCCGTCAGGCTTTCCTGAAGTGTTTGTTTCTGTGAAGCCTCCATCATCCCCCTGCCTTGCTCTATTACAGTGTTCGATTTATTCTGATTGTTATTAAACTTCCTGAAACTTGTCTTCACTGCATTTCCTTAATTATACACTTCATATTCCTCAGTAGACTGTGAATTGCTGGTAAGAAAGGCAGTCACGCTTCCACTGTATTAGACAATAAATATTTTAAAGTATTTATATATCAAAGTACACAGATTCTCTCTAACCTTTAAATGACTTGTGTAAACATTGTTGTCCTCAAATGTCAGATGATTTGTCTCTCCTTTTATGTCTGCTTCTCACTAGATCTGAACAGCATGGCAGCTACAGCTCAAGTCCTAGTTGTTGGAGCTACTAACCGACCAGACTCGTTGGATCCTGCCTTGAGACGTGCAGGAAGGTTTGACCGAGAAGTATGCCTGGGTATCCCTGATGAGGCTGCCAGAGAAAGGTATATTCTTACAGAATGGTGGTGTTTGTTTGCCACTGTGCTAGCTGAGCAACAGGTTTTGAGAAGAATAGTAAGAACTACTATATAGTGTTCTTTCGCTTTAGTGCACTCTACCTCTCGTCTTGCCCTCGTCCCCCATCTTCCACCTCCCTAGTTTGGGAGTTGAACTAAGAGCTCCAAATGTGTTGGCAGGCATCCCACCAATGAGCTGTATTTCCAGACTCTCTTTCCCTTTTCTCTCTCTAAAACTGATTTGGAAAGGGGGGAAGCAATGTTTAACAAAACAACTCACTCATCAATAGGACATTTGTTTTAGGTTGTTCATTAGTGATAATCATTGTGTTTATTAATTGCTATTTGTCTGATATTCTTAATGGAGTATGTGGGGTTTTTTTTGTTTGTTTGTTTTTGTTGTTGTTGGTTTTTTTTGTTGTTTGTTTTTTTCGAGACAGGGTTTCTTTGTGTAGTTTTGGTGCCTGTCCTGGATCTCGCTCTGTAGACCAGGCTGGCCTCGAACTCACAGAGATCGGCCTGGCTCTGCCTCCAGAGTGCTGGGATTAAAGGCGTGCGCCACCACCGCCCAGTTTTAATGGAGTATGTGTTTTAGTTGGCTCACCAGCCAAGGGGCAGTGTCTGTACCTCTGGAGTAGTGCGGTGCCGTCTGGCCCATGTCCTAGTTAACTTGGAGTACCATTTCACTAGTCTGCCCAAGGCTGTGGGTCTCATTACAAAGATGCTAATGAGTGCTACCTAGTGACTGGTGTGGAAAGAGCAAAGAGCTTACACCAAGAACCAAAAAAGAATGGTAGCCAGATGACTTAAGAAGTAACCTTAAGGTGGTGGAGTGAAATCTAGTGAATTAGTGTTGTAAACTATCACATGTATAATGGTTTTTGTGGCAGTTGTGATACTACAATAATTACTAGCTACTTTTAGGAAAAGTAATAAATAATGAAAGGAAATCATTGCCTTAGAGGGACGGGAAAGAGGAACAGGTGGAAAATGTGGTCAGAAAGCACTTTGTGTAGAAGGCTCAGCCGTAGGTCTCTGCCGTCCTTTCCTTCTTCCCAGGGTTTGATGTCACGTCCTTTTTCTAAAAAGTAATTACTATTCACCAGGCAGTGGTGGTGCATGCCTGTAATCCCAGCACTCAGGAGGCAGAGGCAGCCTGGTCTATCTACAGAGTGAGTTCCAGGACAGGCTCCAAAGCTATACAGAGAAACCCTGTCTCGAAAAAGCCAAAAAAAAAAAAAAAAATTATTAAACAGTTTCTACAATGTTGACTTCATAATTTGTATAGATAATAATTCTGTTCATATGTATTCTTCAAACAGCTTATTATCAGTTTTTTTACTAATACTTTTATATCTCCAGCAAAATATTCATTATTTCATCTTTATTTATGAAGTGTAGAGCAGCTGAGCAAAGTGGTCCATGCCTGTAATCTCAGAGCTATGAGTCAATGCAGAAAGTAATTCCAGCTTTGCTTCATAGTGTCCTCATGTCAAGCTTTAGTTTTGTACGAAAATAATAATTAAAAAGGTCACTTACTTTATGTGTAAAATATTAACAGTGCTTTAGCGTTAAGACTTGTGGAGATTGAATTAATGTAACTTAGCACAATGTCTTGACACAGAAAAAACTGAGCACTGAGGGTTGCACTCAGAATCTTGCACCGTGCTACATGAGTGCTTTCTTTCTCACTGAACTTTGCCGCAGCCCTAGAAAAGAAGTTTTAGGGTAACTTGATAGTTTCCTTTTCCTTAAAAATCCTTCAAGATTTTATTTAATGTATATAAATATTTTGTTTGTATGTATGTCTGTGCACCACATGCATGCCTGATGCCCATGGAGATCAGAAAAGTGCATCAGATCTCCTGACCCTCAAACTCAGATTCACCTGCCTCTGCCTCCCAAGTGCTGGGATTTTAGGCGTGCGCCAACAACTACCCCATCAGCGCTCTTCCATGTTTATAATTGGTATTTATATAACTTATTTGTTTTCTACATTTTCTTATTTTTTTTTCCTTCTGCATGTGTATATGTGTGTTTGTTTTGGTCTGTGTTATATTTATGTACCTGAGGAACTGGGAAGTAAATGCAAAATAACAGTTCTTGGTGTGTAGTTAGTCTGATCAAGCCGTAGGATTATTGTCTTTTCTTCCCTTTCTCTCTTTCCCTCTTCCATCCCTCCTTCTCTTCACTTTTTTCATAGATTAAATATTTGTGTTGGATCTTTTGGGATTTTTTTCAGAAAAGGATCTGCAGACAGCACTGTGGTGCTCTAAGTCTGTGTACTGGCCCTCTGATGGGACAAGCTGAGGAGGCGGGAGAGTAATGTGCACTGTAGACACTGACAGTCTGTTTTCCTAACATACTGACATTCGTAGCCCACAAACTTTGAACTTTGCACTTTCCTGGAATTCTGGTTGAAAGGGTGGGGTCCATGCCCACATGTTCTTACTATACTTATGCAGATTTTCAGGTGATTTTGGTTTTGACTTTGGTGCTGTATTTCTGGCCTACTACTTGACAGCTACAATTCTAAGTCTTCGGTGTTCCAGCAAGCAAATTGCCTTGCTTCTCATTATTACACCTCTTTGGGAAGAAGAGTTATTTGTATTTTGTTTCCTCTACTGGGTTGTTTACTACTTTCTGTTCATCGTCTTTCTTCATAATTTGTGTCAGGATTACAGACAATCACACACTTATTAATTTATACTGTATAAATCAGTGCTTCAATAAATAAGTAGGTAAGAATATACAAATAATTGGGAGGAGGCAAGCAGATACCTGTGAGTTCAAGCCTAGCCTGAGCTAGTTCTAGGCTAGCCAGGGTTACAATCTTATACAAGTATGAGCACTTCTCTGCATATAATCCATCCTAAAGGCTACAGGCTTAGGAAATAGTAGTACCTTGAAGGGCTTTTAAAAATAAAGTCTAACTCCATTTAGATGTCATTTTTAAAAAATTGAAAAATCGGCCGGGCGGTGGTGGCGCACGCCTTTAATCCCAGCACTCGGGAGGCAGAGCCAGGTGGATCTCTGTGAGTTCAAGGCCAACCTGGACTACCAAGTGAGTTCCAGGAAAGGCGCAAAGCTACACAGAGAAACCCTGTCTCGAAAAACCAAAAAAAAAAAAAAAATTGAAAAATCAAAATTAGAAGCTGCTTGTGGGGGGCTAGAGAGATGGCTCAGCAGTTAAGAGCACTGGCTGCTCTTCCAGAGAACCCGGATTTAGTTCCCAGTACCTACATGGCAGCTCACAACTGTCTGTAACTCCAAGATCTGACACCCTTACACAGACACACATGCAGGCAAAACACCAATGCACATAAAATAAAAATAATAAATTGTACTATAAATTATAAAAAAGAAAAAGAAAGAAAAGAAGAAGCTGGGTGTGGTGTCATGTACCTGCACTGCAGGTTCTTCTACTGAGGAAACTGAGGCAGGAAGATCACTTGAGCTGAGGACTCAGAATTAGCGAAGACAACATGAGAAGAACCCCCATCTCTTAAAATAAATGACATTGACACATATTATATTGTCTGTTGGCCCTAACAGAATTTTTTACATGTACAGTATAGGGGCTGAACAACAGGAAATGATGTTAGCTGATCATGGTGGCACATATCTGTAATCCTAGTACTTGGGAGGTAGAAGTAGGAGGATCAAGAGTTCAAGGCCATCCTCCACTATATACAAAGTTTGAGACCACCTTGAGTTGCATGAGACCCTGTCTCAAAATCCAAACCCCTGCATTGTTGGATGTTTAAATACCAAGATAAATATCATTATGAAAACTTCAATTTGTATAATGAGGACCTGCAAAAGATGACTTTTAGAGCTTGACGTGAAGAAACATGGCTATATTTCCAGTTTTGAGGCAGTCTGTGAGTTTAAGTTTAGCCTGTTGTACATATATAAGTTATAGGCCAACAAAAGCTACACACTAAAACCCTGTTTTAAGGGGAAAAAACAAACTTTTGATGCTAAATAGAAGTATGATTTGAGTGTGGAGGTTTCTTTTTCTGATAAGTACATGTTTTGTTTGCTCTGAAAGTATCCCCATAAGCTATTTCCTCTACAATATTGGGAAACACTTAAAAGTGGATTTAAAAGAAAACAACAACAATAACAACAACAAAAAACTGCTTATATTCTTCATAATGCATAGATAGTATAGTTCCCAATAAGCAGATATTTGGCATAAGCTTTTCTGGATAAAGTTGGGCATGTAGTAATGACTAAGCATTTATTGACTGAATGATTTGTTTCATCTTATAAAGCATTTATTATGATATCAATAGGGATTAATATAGTATGATCTTTCAAATAAATACAGTTAGGAATTGGCTTTTACTGTTAGACTATGAGTCTAAATGTTTTAAAATGTCATTTCTACAGAATACTTCGAACTTTGTGCCGAAAACTGAGACTTCCGGAAACTTTTAATTTTTGTCACTTAGCACACCTAACTCCGGGCTTTGTTGGTGCTGATCTGATGGCACTTTGCCGAGAGGCAGCCATGTGTGCAGTCAATAGGGTCTTGATGAAGCAGCAGGAGCAGCAGAAGAGTCCTGAGATGGAAGCTTTGCCCCCTGAAGGAGCCCAGGAGGAGAGGCTGGGGGCCGAGCCCACTTCTGGAACCCAGGTGCTCTCCAGTGCTCTTGCTCTCTCTCTTTATTTTATTATTTTTTTTTTTCAAGATAGGGTTCCTCTGTAACAGCTGTAGCCGTCCTAGAACTCGCTCTGTAGACCAGGCTGGCCTCAAACTCACAAAGATCCACTACTGCCCAGCATAAGGAAGGTTTTCTGATCTGTAAAAATATATTCACAGATACGCTAGAAATACTTAAATTTCCCAATTTCCAGTTAGATAACTGTATTTTCATACACAGACTAGCAAATGCTGTAAACTTTCTATCAGTTCAAGATGCATTTTATGGGCTCTACCACATGATTCTACTAAGTAGAGCTGTATTTTATTTCATTTTTATTGTAGATTTTATTGTTTAATGTGTATGAGTGTTTGCCTACATGTGTATATGTGCAGGCATGTGTGCTTATCGCCCATGGAAGTCAGAAGAGAGCTGCTGATCCCCTGGGACTGGGGTCAGATGGTTGTGAGCCTCTTGTTGGTGCTGGGAATTGATCCCAGGTCCTCCATGAGAGTAGTGTTCTTAACTTCTGAACCAGCTCTCCAGCCCTAGAGCTATGTTTTAAAACTTATTTTGTTCAATTTAACTTTAATATGAATTTAGGTTAAACTTGGGGCTTACTTTAATCTGAGATTGACTTCTTTATTATTAGTAAGTATTTATTAGGAATGCTTCTAAGTGCTAGATACAACAATGAAAAATCAAGTTCTACGTTTAAAGACCTAGTAGAGTGAGACTATAGGGAGAAATAAAAGGGCACTGTAAATATCAGAATTCATTGAATAATAATACATTCACAAGGTGTGGTGGGGGTTTGTTTGTTTGTTTGTTTGTTTGGGTTTTTTTAATTTATGTGTACAAGTGTTTGCCTGCATGTATATCTGTGCACTATATTCATGCCTGATATCTGAGGAGACCAGAAGAGGACATTGGATCCCTTGGAACTGGAGTTACAGACAGTTGTGAGTTGCCATGTGGGTGCTGGGAATTGAACTTGGGTCCTGGAATAGTAGCCAGTGTTTAACCATCTCTCCAGCTCCAGTGTGGTGGTTTTAATGGCAGCAGTTTGCTGCATAATCTTCCCTACCTTGATAAACTGACTGAGTCAAGCATAAGTTCTTTTATTTTAGTCTTAGTTACTAGTCTTACCTTTCCTAGCACAAAGAACACAGTAAATATACCAGTATCATAGATAGATATGTATAGATGGTGGTGATAGAATGAATAAAGAGCTAAAACAGGGGCTAGAGAGATGGCTCACTGGTAAAGAGCTCTTCCAGAGGATCTGGGTTCAAATCCCAGAACCCATATGGCAACTCTCCATAACGTCAGTCCCTGAAGATCCAACACCCTCTTCTGGCCTCTGCGGGCACTAGACATAGCACATGGTATACACACTTACATGTAGGCAGAACACCTATCCACATGAATTAATCAATTAAAGAAATTTTGCCAGGCAGTAGTGGTGCACATGTTTAATCCCAGCACTCAGGGAGGCAGAAGCAGGGACCTCTGTGAGTTCAAGGCCAGCCTGGTCTACAGATCAAGTCCCAGGACAGCCAGGGCTACACAGAGAACCCTGTCTTGGGGTTGGAGATGAGGATGGGGGTTTGTTTCTATCCCTTAATGTTCTTCACAAAGCAAGAATTCTGCCTTTGAAGTTTAAGATTCATTGGCCTAGGAAAGTTGCCTACTGTGTATTTGATTGGTAAGGCATTAGAGAACCTTATAATGAATTTATATTGTTGCCAGAGTAACTTTTCTTAAGTCAGCTGTTTTATGAATATATAGAAATGAATTGATGAAATGGATACTGGCCAACTGCCTCTGTTTGCATTATCTACCCCTAGTTTAAGATTTAGAAATGTATTTAATATAAAATTAATCTCTCTTCTCTCTCCCTCTCTTTCTCTGTTGGCCTCCAAACATATATTAGCTGAGGATGACTTTGAGTGGCATGGGCCACTAATATTGTCCTAGAAATTATATTTATATATCTTGATTATAATTGATTTATCTTTATTTAATCAAATATAGGCTCTACTTAGAATGAATTAATATATCTTATGTAAAGGAGAAATTATTACAATACATAGACGTTCATTAAATTCACTATAATTTAGGGAATCTTGGAATAATTATTTAAATTATATGTAACTTTGTGGTTGACACTTTTTTCCTTTAACTGTTGTCTTAAAGGATGAATTGCAAAGGCTGTTGAGGTTGCTAAGAGACCAAGATCCCCTCTCACAAGAACAGATGCAAGGACTATGCATTGAATTAAATGATTTCATTGTTGCTCTAGCGGAAGTCCAGCCTTCTGCCAAAAGGGAAGGCTTTGTAACTGTCCCTAATGTGACATGGGCCGATATTGGTGCCCTGGAAGATATTAGAGAAGAGCTCATAATGGCAATATTGGTAGGTATATCAGCTATCAATGTCATTGGCATTGGTCATGAGTTAAGGTCTAGGAAAAAACCTGCATGCATGTCTACCAGATTATATTATTTTAAAAAAATTACTTAATTTTTTATTTTATGTGTATGAGTGTTTTGCCTGTATGTATATGTGGGTACGTGTTCATGCCTAGTACTGGCAGAGGTCAGAAAGTATCAGATCCTCTGGAACTAGATTTATAGATTGTTGAGAACCACCTCTTGTGGGTGCTGGGAAATGAACCCAGGTTCTCTGCAAGAGCAATAAGTGCTCTTAACCACAGAGCCATCTCTGTTGCCCTCGAATACATCTTTTAAAGTACAGTTTTACAGAGATACAATTCAAATATTATAATAGGAAATCTAGCCTCTGTTGTCATCTTTTTTAAGTCTAAATGTTCCACCAATGAGATGCTGTTCTCTTGAGACATTTCATACTCATTTTGGTTATGTTTGGTTACTATATAGTGAGTTCAAAGCAACAATTCAGGTTTCATTCAAGACCAATTTGTGTGAAAACCACCTTCTTGCCTCTTGATTCAGGAGAATCAAGGCAGTTTTGACACCCTTGAAACTTTGGATTGATTTTAGTTTACTTTTACTTTTCTGCTTTCTGACCACTTTCATTGAATTATGATCCATTTAAGAGGTGTGTACTCCCAAAAGTGAAAGTAACCAGGATTGCAGAGAACAGGCATGTGTGGCATTTGACCGTGTGCAGGTCTGCTTGTCTCGGGATTGCCTGGAGAAAGCTGTACCTGGACTTTAGAAATTTGGTTGATTTTCTAAAACTTGATTTTAATATATTGAAATAGTTTATCTTGGCATTGAGGGCAAGAGCTCAGTGGGTAAAGCCTTTGCAACGCAAAGGTAAGGACCTATGTTTAGATCCCCAGAAGCCATAGTAAACCAGATGCCATAGTGTGTGTTTGTAACCACAACACTCCAAGAGGGAACTGGAAGTAGGACTAGGACAGGCCTGCTAGGTATACACACCAGAAAACGAGACCCTGACTCAAAGAAGGTGAAAGACAAGGAGCACACCAGAGTTCGTCCTCCGATCTATGTGCATTGGCACACATAATATAAAACATAATGAAATGTTATGTTTTTTACCTAATATGTTTTCATAGTTTACATGTATGTATAAATTCCTTAAGAATAGTGACTTTGGCTTGATGTGGTAGTACACTCCTGTAATCATGTTCTTAGGAGACAGAGACAGGCGGATCTTTGAGTTTGAGACCAACCTGGTCTGCATATCGAGATCCAGGCTAACCAGGAGTACATAGTGTGACCCTGCTTCAAAAAAGAAAAAAAGAGAGCCTTTCCCATTTGTCACCATGTACCTGATGTCTCAAACAAGGGTCAGCCAGGCATTGCCGTGTTCAGGCCTCATGGTCAGGGTTGAGTATAAAAGATGAGAAATATTTGAACATTCAGTGTAAAGTGGACACCGGTGATGGATCACTGTTGGCATTGTTTCTTGTAGGCACCAGTACGTAACCCAGACCAGTTCAGAACTCTTGGTTTGGTGACTCCAGCTGGCATCCTCCTAGCTGGTCCTCCTGGATGTGGGAAAACTCTGCTAGCAAAGGTGCGGTCCAAGTTCAGCTGCATGCATTGCATTCCTGCCTTCAGTAGGGTAGTAAAGGTTAAGTCTATCGTGAAATAAATCCTTTGTACTTTCTGTTAGAAGTCTGTTTTAGCAAAACTAGTCGTTTTGTTTTGTTTTTTAATAAAACTTTCTAGGTTGTTTGTTCTTCTTTAGAACAAAATGGTTTTAATTTGTTGTGCCACCCTCCTTCCTGGGAAAGAAGAGAGAAAAGGGTCCTGTCCCCTGAGGACAGAAAGCCTATGTGTCTCTCACAGTTAGGGAACATTTCATGAATTCAACAGTCACCTTTGCTCAGAGGCCATTCTAATCTTCATACTGTTCAATACTACTATATAACTTCAGGTTGTAGCTGAGCTTATTTCTTGCTTTTGTTTAATTATTATAACTTGAGCATTTTCACTATGTTCTTTACAATATTAAAAAAAAAACTTTCTTCAATAGAAAATATAAATTACCAAAAGAGAAAAAAACGTTTATAATCCTACTGCTTTCTGCTACCACTGTTTCATTTTGTAGTCGGTCCCAGGTATTTTCTTTTATATATATCAAGATACAATATGTGCAAGATAATTTGTTTATGAGCTTTTGTTAGTGTAATCAAATTCCTAAACAACTTAAAGGTGAGGGGACATATTTTGGCTCACGATTTCTGAGACCTTAGTCCAGTATCTGGTGGCTCCATGTTTCTTACATTCTCAAGCATTCCACTACCTCAGTAATGAGATGGAATTTTTTTTCCCTGTGTAGCCTTGGCTATCCTTTAATTTTCTCTGTAGACCAGGTTCTCTTGAAACTCATGAGAGCTGCCTGCCTCTGCCTCCCAAGTACTGGGATTAAAGGTGTGTGCCACCACCACCCAGTAAAATCAAATTATTAATGTATCAATTAATCTATCATTTTGGTCAAATCTTTTAGGATCCAATTACTTCCCCAAACCCTGTCAGCAGAAAGCCAAGCCTTTAACATACAAACTTTTTGGAGATGTTTCATATCTAAACCATAGCAATAATACATGTATCTTCCTAAAATGTAAAATTTTATTTAAGAAAATGTTTATGTTAATTAAAGAGAGTAGTGTCTTGCTCTGTGTCCTATCTAGGCTGGCCTGGAACTCGTTATGTAGTGCAAGCTGACCTCAGACTCTTAGAGATCCTCCTCCTCCCTTTGCCTCCCGAGTGTTGGCATTGTAAATGTGTATTACTATACCTAGCTTCAAATAAACAGTCTTTAAACTTTCTTGCTTAGTATTATTTCCTGAATACAGTGTTTTTAGATTTTTTTTTTAATATCATCTGCACTGTATGTGTGCCTGGGGCCCAGAGAGATCAAAAGAAAGCATCAGAACCCCTGGAACTGGAGTTACAGAGGGTTACACCCACTGCCGTGTGGGTGCTGGGAATCCCAAGTCCTCGGGGAAAGCAGCCAGTGCTTTTAACCACTGAGCCATCTATCCAGCCCCTGAATACAATGTTTTCAATACTCTGGACTGAAGAGATGGCCAGCTAGCGGGTTAAGGCTCTTGCCATCAAACCTGAAGGCCTGAGTTCAATCCCAGGACACCCGCATGTGGAAGGAAAGAAGTGACTCCTCCAGATTGTCCTCTGACTCCACAGGAGTACAGTGAAGCATGTGCACACCACATATACATCTACAGACATAAGTAAATGTCATAAGAAATTGAAAAGGTGTTTAAGGCCTGGGTTATATTTTGCCATAGAGATGTTTTGTACTTTATGGTAATATGGATAAGTTGCACATGCCAATAATCCCAGTCCTTGGGAGCTAGAGGCAGGAGGATCAGGAATTTGTTATCCTCTGCTACACAATGAGTTCGAGGCCAACATAGAGACCTTGACCCAAAAATCCCATTACATTGTATAATCTTGTGTTGTTCACTGGTAATTTTATTAGAATGTAGTCCTAAATCATTTTTCAGTGAATAGAATGCATGTTTTAAAAATATATCAAGGTGGCTTTCTAAAGTTCATCTTACAACTTAAATTTTTAATGGATATTTAAAATAGGACCTCAGTCTAGTGATCTGGAACTCATTGTATAGATCAGACTGGCCCTCAACTCCTAAAGGTGTTGCCTGCCTCTGCCTCCCAATTATTGGGATTAAAGGTGTATACATGCCACCACATCTGGCTTAATATTTCAATATTTGACAATCCAATAAATACAAAAGGGTTTTTTCCTATTTATCTTATTTGTATTTTTTTGTTTCTTCTGGGTAGGCTGTGGCAAATGAGTCTGGACTAAATTTTATATCTGTCAAAGGCCCTGAATTATTAAATATGGTAAGTTTTGTGGCACCTGCCCTTATTTTAATTAAGATAAACCATGATGAGTCTGATTATAGGACCAAGAGTTCCAAGGATCCCCCTGTATCCACCTCTCCCATGTTAGGGTTATAAGTTCTAGCCACCAGGTTGTTTTTTCACGTGGGTCCCTCAGACCCTCACTCACAAACTCTTTATCTCCCCAACCCAAACCTGCTCTTGCTTAGTGTTAGTTATGGAGATTTTGTCTCTTCTCTTGTAATGATGTCTGGGCCTTGTGCATGCTGGGCATATGCTGTACTACTTGAGCACTCTCAGCCCTTTCAGAAAAATTTTATGTCCAGCTAAAAAGTAAAACCTTTTCCTTACATATAAATTCTTATTACTCAGTCTTAATATATTGCTACTTATGGATTGCTATAGTTCCTTGACTGAACTTAATGTTTTTATTTAAATTTAGGTTAAATTTAACATGGAATAAGGCATTATGAATCTATGATGTGCTTCGTGCATTCACCCTGACTCCACTGTTGCTACATAATTTTTTTCTATTTTAGCAAGAATATTTGTTTGTTTGTTTATATACGAGAATAGGCATCAGTTTTTAAATACAGATTTTATATTCTACTTAGTCTTGATTTTGTAAATAAAAACAGCATATTTAATTAAATATGTAATTGGCTGTTTTTTTTGTTTGTTTGTTTGTTTTGTTTTTCCGTGTGTAGCTCTGGTTTTCCTGGAACTCACGTTGTAGACCAGACTGGCCTTTAACTCACAAAGATCCGCCTATCTCTGCCTCCCCACTGAGATTAAAGGCGTTCACCCCCACTGCCTGGAGGCTGGCTGTTTTTTGTTTTGGGTTTTTTGGGGTTTTTTTTGGTTTTTGGGGTTTTTTTTTTTGTTTTTTTGAGACAGGGTTTCTCCATGTAGTTTTGGTTCCTTTCCTGGATCTTGCTCTGCAGACCAGGCTGGCCTAGAACTCACAGAGATCCACCTGGCTCTGCCTCCCGAGTGCTGGGATTAAAGGCGTGCGCCACCACCGCCCGGCTTTGCTGTGTTGTCCACGCTGGTTTGAAACTGGTGATCTCCATGTCTGTCTTCACCCTCCCAAATACTGAGATTATAGGGGTGTGCCACCATATCCAGGACAGCTGCCTTTTTTTATATGTCAAAATGATTTAATACTAGCAATTGCACATGGTTTAATCTAATACTTTTTAGAACTCTGACATCTAGGACTTCAATTTTTTTTAATACTTTTTAAATTAAACTGTAATTACAGCATCTGACCTCTTCCCTTTCCTCTGTCCAGCCACTCCCTTGTGCCTCTCCCCCTGCTTGCTCTCTCTCAAATTCATGGCCTCTTTTTCTTTAATTGATTACTATTCCTAAGTATAAAAATGCACAGGATCTGTACAACATAAAGCTACTGTCATTTGGTACTCAGCCCCAAGGTTGAACTGTCTTCATTTTATCTGCTTTCTGATCTGTTCAGTACGTTGGGGAGAGCGAACGTGCTGTGCGGCAGGTTTTTCAACGAGCCAAGAACTCAGCACCCTGTGTGATATTTTTTGATGAAGTGGATGCTTTATGTCCTCGAAGATCAGACCGAGAAGTAAGTATCAGAGATTTTTTATATAAGTATAGCTATGTTATCTTGATTTTATTTTTTCCTGTTGTATACTATTCCACAGTCTACCTGTAGCAGAATTTACTTGATAGTGTCTTGTTTTAGATATTTATATTTCTTCTAGGTGTTTCTTTTACAAACAGAACTTTCTCAAACATTTGTATCTGCTGTCTTTGGGCATATATACAAGTAATGTGGGATAGAATTTGGGAAGTATGAATCATGGCTGAAGATGTATGTACATTAGACTTAGTGAAATATAGTAAGTACAAGGTCATATTTCAAAGAATCTGTCAGGCATGTAATAACCAAGAACAGTGTGTTTATTAACCATTTCCCACACCTTTTGTCAATTACATTAACAAAACATATTTTGTGGACATGTTCTTGATTTCCTAGAAGGTTGACCATTTTCAGTAAATTTGTATTTTGTCATCTCTAACTTACTTGGTAATATCAAATACACTTTGGCCTTTTTACTCCTTGATTAGAGCTTCTTATATGTAGTGAAATTAGTCCCTTTTCTGGGTTTGCATGCTTACATCAGTTCTCCAGTCTTATTACTTACCTTTATTTTGTTACAGAGTATTGTAATTTTAGCTTTTTATTACAAGGTCTACATCCTGTCTGGATTCTGTAGTTTTTCTCTTGGTTAAGGAGGATCTTTTTTTTTTTTTTTGGTTTTTCAAGACAGGGTTTCTCTGTGTAGCTTTGGAGCCTTTCCTGGAACTCACTCTGTAGCCCAGGTTGGCCTCGAACTCACAGAGATCCACCTGCCTCTGCCTCCCGAGTGCTGGGATTAAAGGCGTGCGCCACCACCGCCCGGCAAGGAGGATCATTTTTAAATTTTATTTTTGTATGTATGTGTTGTGTGTGTGTGATGTATGCTACTTGTGTGCTGTTGTGCATGCCTATGTATGTGTGTTCACAGCGGCCAGAGGAGGATGTCAGGTGTCCTGCTCCTTCACTCTTTGACTCACTCCTTTAGAGACAGGGTCTCCTACTGCGCTTGAGCTCCATTGGTGGTTAGCAAGGCCTGTGAACTCTGTCTGTGTCCCCTTCCTGTGCTGCCACACTCAGCTCTGATGTGGGTGCTGGGTCCTAACTCACGCTCTCACGTTTGTGTGGCCTCACAATTTCCTTTTGAACCTAGGAGTTCTTTTTTTTTTTCCTTTTTTTTTTCTTTTCAATTCAGGGTTTCTTTGTGTGGCCCTGGCTGTCCTGGAATCCACTATGTATCAAGTCTGTCTCTGTACCGCCAGCTCCCAAATAACAGCCTGGAGACTTCTTATTAATTATGAAAGCTCAGCCTTAGCTTAGGCTTGTCCCACTAGCTCTTAGAACTTAAACTATCCCATTTGTTTTAGTCTGTGTCCTGTCACCCATTACCTCATCTCTCCATACTGCTCATGTTGCTTCCTCCACATCTGGCTGGTAACCCTGCCCTTTTTTCTTCTCTGAGTCCCAGAAGTCCCGCCTAACCTCTTCCTGCCTACCTATTCGCTGTTCAGCTCTTTATTAAACTAATCACGATGACACATCTTGACACAGTGTAAAGGAATATTCCGCAACAGCTGTGTAGATCAGGCTGAACTCGAACTCACAGAGATCCATCTTCCTCTGCTTCTTGGGTATTAGGATTAACGTCGTGCACTACCACATGGCTAAAATCTAGTGATTCTTGATATTATTGAGTCTAGATTATGAGTCTATTAATGTCTTAATTATTTAGTACTGTGTACCAGAGAATAAGTCTCCACAAATGCACCCATTTCAAAGAATCTGTGTGTGTTTAAGCACATTGCTGTGTCTATACATAAATTTATGTTGAAGAAAGGCAATTAATAATGAAACATCCATAGCACCACGTTCTCATTTCCTTCATTGTCTGTGTATTCTATTGCCATATTTCCATATCTCTGTAACCCTGTACTTATTTCCTGAATCATTCTCTTGGGTGTTGCCCTGAATAGCCATACTTTGTACCATTCATTTCAAGAAAAACATAAAAAAAAATCTTAATGTACTCAATGTTCCTGTATGTATTGCATTGAAAGATGTGGGACACTTGACATAGGCAGAAATCTAGAGCTCAGAAGCTGAGTTTAGATTTGCCCAGATGGAGGTTTATGGTAACTACTAAATAGTTCAGAATCGTACAATTCAGTGTGAGTTTCATCTCTCTCCTTATGTAGAGCTAAGACCTGAGGCAAATAACCTCTTCCGAGCTTCAGGTTTTTTCATCCTAACTGAATAATAACAGCTTTGCTGGGGAACCCACTGACGATTGTGTTTTGCACAGAATCTATATATTGTGACGCTTTAAGAAATAGTCATTGGTGCCCATCTGCCTGCCTGCCTGCCTTTCTTCCTTCTTTCCTTCCTCACTTCCTCCTCCAGTCCATACCTTGTTCCTTTCTCTCTCTCTCTATTTTATATTTCTATATACAGCCTCTTGGTTGCTCAGTTTGACCCTCCACTCCTAGACTTAGGTGATCTCTTGCCTTAGCCTCTGAGTACCTGGGACTTCTGGGTTCATGCTACTGCTCAGTCACTGTAATCTTTCTTCAACAGAGTTCTCATTCAGGTTAGTAAATCTATTCTGTGCAGAGGAAACATGGAGGAAGGAGGCTGCTTTCTTTACGTTGAAGGTGATGGAACTAGATGTTTATTTATTTATTTATTTATGTATTTATGTATGTATGTATGTATTTATTTATTTATTTATTTATTTATTTTGTAGACAGGTGCTAGTGTCCGTGTGGTGAATCAACTGCTTACAGAGATGGATGGGTTGGAAACACGTCAGCAAGTTTTTATTTTGGCTGCCACTAATAGGCCAGGTAAGAAAGAAGAACATTACACAAATGAATTCATAAAGTGAAATATAACCTGAAACAGCTCTTGTGTGTAGCTCAAATTCTAATTGGTCTTAATAAAAACCCAGAGGCAGATATCAGGGTGAAAGCTGAAAGATCAGAGAAGCAGAGCATCCAGCCACTAGAGAGTTCCTGCTTCCACCCCACCTTATCACTTCCTCTCTCCGCCCAGCTATATCACTTCCTGTTTCCTTCTCCCAAGTGCTAGGATTAAAGATATCTGCCACTAATGCTTGGCCTCTAGTGATCTGATCTCCAGGCAAGCTTTATTTGTTAGAGCACAAACAAAATATCGCCACACTTGTGTATGCTGTAGTAAAAACACTGGGGCTGGAGAGATGGCTCAACAGTTCAGAACACTCACCCACAAAACAGCACAGAGCTGTGTGTAACTCCGGTCCCAGGGGATCCACTGCAAGCATGTAATGCAGACATATTTGCAGACAAAACATTGTACACATAAAATAATAATAATAAGTCTTTTTAAATTAAAAAAAATATTTTCTGGGGGCTGGAGAGATGGCTCAGTGGTTAAGAGCATTGGCTGTTCTTTCAAAGGATGAGGGTTCAATTCCCAGCACCCACATGGCAGCTCACAACTGTCTGTGGCTCCAGTTCCAGGGAATCTAGCATCCTCACACATGCAGGCAAAACACCAATGCACATAAAAATAAATAAATTTAAAAAATTATTTTCTGATTCTCCTGAAATTGTTTTTTCTCTGTTGACTTTTGTGCTGGTTGTTTTTGTTGTCAACTTGACACAACCTAGAGTCACCTGGGAAGAAAAAGGAACTTGACTTGAATGATTAGTTGCTCAGATAAGATTAGTCTTTGGCAGTTTCTGTAAAAGATTATCTTGAGTTTTGGCATGCGAGGCAACCTCCCTGGGCAGGGAGATAAAGAAAACTAGGGCTGGAGAGATGACTCAGAGGTTAAAGGCACTTTTGATGCTCTTACAGAGGACATGGATTCAGTTCCCAGCACCTACATCTGCTCACAACCATCTATAACTCCAATTCATGGGATCCTATGCTCTCTCTTGGTCTCTGGGTACCAGAGATACACGGTGCACATGTATACATGCAGGGAAAACCTTCATAAAACATATAAAATAAAGCCGGGCAGTGGTGGCACACGCCTTTAATCCCAGCACTCAGGAGGCAGAGCCAGGCGGATCTCTGAGTTTGAGGCCAGCCTGGTCTACAGAGTGAGTTCCAGGACAGGCTCCAAAGCTACACAGATAAACCCTGTCTCAAATAACAAAATAAATAAAAATAAAAAATAAATAAAAGCATATAAAATAAAAATAAATAAATCTTTAGAAAAAGAGAAAGCTGATAGAATATGAACTAGTGAGCAAGCCATTAGCAGCATTAAGTGTAAGCCAAATAAATATTTTTTCCCCTAAGTTGCTTTTGGTCATTTTTTATTCTTAGTGCTTATCACAGCGATAGAAACAAACTAGAACAATCCTAATGAAGTGGTCTTTTTATCAGTGAATCCTTGTACCACACTCCTCACTGTTTCTGGTTTGTTAATTTGATTTTTGGAGACAGGATATTGCTACGCAGGTTGGCCTTGAGCCATCTGTCTTCCTACCTTAGCTTCTTGAGTGCGGAGAGTACAAGCGTGGACCACCATGCCTGGCATAATGCACACTTTTGACCCTAAAAGTGGTCTGAGTATGTGTGCTGTGGTTTTCCTCAAGTTCATAGGAAACAAGGAACAGACTCTTCGACATACCCAAAAATTTAAGATAAATTTTTTAAAGATTTTATGCTGGAGGCATGCCCCATTATTGACCTATACCTATGATTTAAAAATTGTTTTCAAGCTTAAGCATTCTATGTTAGATTTGAAAAAAGATTAAAAACTTCCAAAGTGCTAAAGTTAGCTTTTCTTTTTTACTCTAATTTCTGTTCATATTTTTAACCCTTTGCCTTCCCTGCAGTCCAGACTTTCATAGTCTGCTGTGATGTTTGATAACTGTCTGCTAGCCAGGAGATTTTGTCAAATTCTCAGGAGCTAGAGTTACAGGCACTTGTGAGCCTCCTGCCATGGATATTAGGATCCGAACTCAGCTGCTCTAGAAGAGCATCAACTGCTATTAACCGTTGAGTCATCTCTACGGTTAGTAGCACTTAGGACTTCATTATGGACAATGTATTAGTGTTCTGTGGCTTTGAAGAGACATCATGACGCCATGACCATGGCAAGTCTTATAAAAGAAAGGCTGGCTTACAGTTTCAGAGTTTTAATACATTGTCATCACAGGCAGACATAGTGTTGAAGAGGTAGCTGCGAGTTCTATATCTGGATCCACAGGAAGAGAGAGACTCTGGGCTTGGAATGGGCTTTGAAACCTCAGAGCCCACCCCAGTGACACACTTCCTTCAATAAGGCCACACCCATTTCAACAACTCCCTAAGTATTCAAGTGTGTGAGCCTATGGAGCCATTCTTATTCAAACCACCACTGGGACGTACTGAATTAGCTCATTGGCCACATGATTGAATTTGGGCTTTTCCCCAGAATTCAGGGTGTGGTTCAAAATTTGAACACTGATTCCATTCCTGGGCTGTGCTATGACTCATCTTCATCCTAATGATATCTAGGGACTCATCATAAGTCACCTCATTAGTGCATCAAAGACACTCTTGTCACTCAGAAAATTCTAAACATTTTGTGCTGGGAGCAGGAGCAGAGACTATATATATTCTTTTTGATGGTTTTGCCTTATTTTGTTTTGTTTGAGACAGAATCTTTTTATGTAGTCCATGCTGGCCTTAAATTCAAAATTTTCCTGCCTCGACCTCCCAGGTGCCAAGATTACATTTACATTTCCAACATATATAGTATACCGCAGGGTTGTGTGTGTGTGTATGCATATATGGTATACTACATACTATACTATATATTACTGCATCTTAGTGACTGTCAGATGAAAGTACCTACTTGGCAGGATTGTCTTACAATCTGAGTGTTGTTGATAATGTTAGCAGGTCGTGAGCAATTACAATACTACAATACTAGTATTGGGAATTATTTACGGTTGCTATTGCTGTGAAGGGACACCATGGCCATGAAAACTTTTATAAAGGGAAAACATATAATTGGGTCTTGCTTAGTTTCAGAGGTTTAGTCCATTACCATCATGGTGGGAAGCATGGCAGTGTGTGCTGGAGGAGCTGAGAGTTCTACATCTTGATCCACAGATAGCAGAAGGAGAAGTGTGTGCTGTACTTGGTGTGACTTGAGCATATATGAGACCTCAAAGACTGCCCCAACAGTGACACACTTTCTCTAACAAGGCCACACCTACTCCAACAAGGCCACAATTCCTAATAGTGCCACTCTGTATGGCACATGAGTCTATGAGGGCCATACCTATTCAAACTATCACAGGAATAATGATTGATCATAAGATTATAGTCTTTCAACACAAAACCTAGATTTAAATATGATCATACACTACCTTTCTTGAGCATATACATTTTTTTCCTAGCAGATTTCAAAAAGATTGTCTTCCAGCCTTCTGTAGCAGCATATTCTATCATTAATGGGCTATATAACACTGTTCATATTTGTGTACTGTAAGCAATTTTGTCTTTTATTTAATTTCAGTAGATTAGAGAATAATAACCCCTCAGTGTCATTAAATTTTCTTTAAATCATATTCTGAGTATTTATATACATTGTATCTTTCCTAATAGGTTTCTTGTGTCATCTTAAAAGTTCCTTACTCTCCAGTTCTTTATTCTTAGTTGTAAAACATAGTATTCTGTTTAACATTTCTGTACTGATTTGGCCTATGTTGAGTGGCGGATGAATCTTAGTTTACTTGTGTTTGCCCTCTCATGCATTTGTGTTTATCCTCTGCTCTGTTATATCTCATCCCCTCCTTTTTCCCTTATAGCAAACCCTGCTGTGTCAGTTTACTGCATATATTTACAGATAGATTGTCCGAGTCTTTTTCACTTGTATTCATGACCGTTTGGCCGTTCTGTTTCATTGTCTAATGTGACTATTTTGATGTCTATAATTATTTTCTGCCTAGTTTTTTTTGTTTTTTTTTTTTTTTTTTTTTTTTTTTCCAGTCCTGGGAGTTAAACCCAGGTTCTTGTGCATAACAAACAAGTACTCTATCAATCACTGGGCTACAAAAAAAAAAAAAACCCACTTTTTCTGTTTGCTTGTTTTTGTTTTTTCAAGACAAGGTTTCTCTGTGAAACAGCCCTGGCTGTCCTGGAACTCACTTTATAGACCAGGCTGGCCTCAAACTCACAGAGATCCACGTGCTTCTGCCTTCCAGATGCTAGGATTAAAGGCATGTGCCACAATTCCCCCACTAAACCCCCACATTTTTTGTGCTTCTTATGTATGTTGAGTTTTTGCCTACATTTATGCATGTACACTGTGAAATTTAAATGACAGCAGATTTATATCAAAAGATAATAAAAGCTAGAGAGAAGTGTTATAATACTTTTCAAGAGCTGAAAAAACTCATCTCAGAACATGTATTTGTTTCCACCAAACATGTATTTCAGAATACATTCTTAGGTAAAGAACTAAGAAAATCTGCCATAAGCCAAGACTCCAGAAGAATAGCAAAAGAAGGGCTGGGGATGTAATTCACTTAGTAGTAGAGCACTTTTTAGCATACACAAGGCTCTCAGCTTGCCCTGTACTGGGGGAAAAATGAACATCAGCAAAGAATAGTAGAAAGAATGAAATGTAAGTGGATGCAATAGAGTTTTCCGTGTGTGTGTGTGTGTGTGTGTGTGTGTGTGTGTGTGTGTTTAAATTTGCCTACATAAACACTGGTTTTAACCATTGGTACTTCTTATGCTCATTGTCTTGGTGTAAAGACTGTTGAAAAAGATTTGGCTTACAAATGGGTTCTTGGTGGAGAAGTCAGAAAATTTATAGTTAACCTCAGTGTTGTAGCAGTATGAAGCTCAGCACTTTGTTGTAGCTACTAAGAGCCTCCAGGAACACAAAGGAACATAAGACAGTTGGATGTGTTTTGATAAGTAGTAGCTTTTGATTTGTGTGGGAGGGGTATGTGTACATGAAATCTGTATGCAAGTGTGCATGCATGTATGTGGAGCAGAACATAGGGTATCTTCCTCAGTCTTCACCTTGTTTCTTGAGACAGGATTTCTCACTAAACCAGGAACTCACTATGGCTAGATTGGCTGACCGGGATCCTCTTATCTCTGCCTTCCAGTGCTGATGTTATAGGCAGTTGCTGCCATACTTTGCGTTTTATGTGAGTTCTGGGGATTTGAACTTAGGTCCTAATTCTTGCATTGTAAACACTTTACCAACTAAGACACTGTCCCAGCCCCAGAACATTTGACTTTAATAATACCCAGTTGAGCACGTTTTAGCGCTTTTTCCAAAAGAACTCTTGTCTTTTACTAATCACATTAAAAAAAAAAAAACAAAACTGTTCTATTTTACTTGTTTCTGTTTTTCTCTCTTCTCTAGATATCATTGACCCTGCCATTCTGCGGCCAGGCCGGCTGGACAAAACACTCTTTGTAGGTTTGCCACCCCCAGCAGACCGTGTTGCCATATTGAAGACTATCACAAAAGTGAGTAAAAGAAATGACCTTTTTGTTATGTTTGTAGTGTTTAAAAATGTTTGTATTTTGTTTATGTATATGTGTATCTGCATGAATTTATGCACACTAGATGTAAGCAGTTGCCCAATAAGGTCAGAAGGCATCAGATCCTCGGGACTGGAGTGACTGCAGTTCTGTGCCTCCTCATGTGGGTCTTCTGCAGGAGGAGTAAGTGCTCTTAACCACTGAGCCACCTCTCCAGCCCTGCCCATATTGCTTTTAAAGTTACACCAGGTAGTAATTAGGTTAGCTGAGTACTCTCTTTCTATGGCTTAAATGTTTTATCAGGCCTCCATCTCCCAAAGTAGTCTGGTTTTGACCACTGAACATATTGTCCATTCTCATTTTTCCTACTCAAAATGAAGGTAAACTAAATGAAGGATTGGAATTAGTGTTAACCAGTGTTATCAGATATCACAGTAATCATGTTCCCCGTGTCTTTAAATCTTTGATCATCAGATCTTGTCTGAATGGAGTAAGAAGTTTTGGAGGCAGTAAAGCAAGTAAATACAGGTCCATCAGGAACATTCAGAGACACATTGAGATTTGAAGTCTTCATAATGATGTCTGTTTTCTGAGTTAGCATTGTTAGTTTTGTTCTTATTGAGACAAGGTCTCACTACATAGCCTGGACTGACCTGGAATTTGCGACATAGATCAGGCTGGCCTTGAACTGACTGAGATCTGCCTGCCTGCCTCCTGAATGCTAGGATTCAAGGCATGCACTGCCATGCCTGGCCTTCATAATTAACTCTTTTTTAGCCCTGGCTATCCTGGAACTCACTCTGTAGACCAGGCTGGCCTCAAACTCAGCAATCCTCTTCCCTCTACTTCCAGAGTGCTAGGTTTCAAGTAAAAGTCTCTAATGGCATACGGAATATATATGGGAGGTTCTATGTGCTGTGTGACAGTTGAGGTTAGGTTGGAAGATTCTTTTGAATATTAAAGCCTCTCATAGCAGCTCCTGCCCACTAGGGTGGCTCCCAGCCCCCAACTCAATCTCTTCTAGTAATGTTTGAAGATGTTTACCATGGTGATGTTGACAAGGATGATTGTCCCACTTTGGTGACACTTTAATGTTCTAGTCCTTCTACATTATAAATCACTATGGTATAATCACCAGCACTACATAAACAACTTTCCCCTCTGTCCTCCCAATATATCACAGAATTATAGGACTCTTCTGTAGATGAGATACTAATTTGATTTTTCAACATTTTAAAAACAGTGAGAGTCACTGTGGAGGAAGAGTCAGGCAGATCCCTCTGAGTTTGAATCCAACCCAGTCTACAAAGTGAGTTCTAGGACATCCAGGGACACACAGAGAAACCCTGTCTCTATCTTAGTTAGGGTTTTTATTGCTGTGAAGAGACACCAGGACTATGGCAACTCATAAATCAAAACATTTAGTTGAGGTGACTCGTTTACAGTTTCAGAGGTTCAGTCCATTATCATCATGGCAGGGAGCATGGCTGCATGCAGGCAGATGTGGTGCTGGAGCTGAGAGTCCTTACATCTTGACTCAGAGACAACAGGAAGTTGACTGACTATCACACTGAGTGAAGCTTGAGAAAAGAGACCTCAAAGCCCACCCCTACAGTGACATACTTCCTCCACACAAGGCCACACCTCCTAATAGTGCCACTCCCTTTTGGGGCCTTTTTTTTTTTTTCAAACCACAACATTCCACTCCCTGGGTTTCTATTGCTGTGTCAAAATACCATGACCAACAAGCAAGTTGGGAAGGAAAGGATTTATTAGGCTTACACTTCAGCATTGCTCTTAATTCTCCAGATGTCCCTTTATTGAACTCTGTAGCACTCTACATTGATTTTGGAGTTGGTTCTATTCCCTTAGTCATTGGCCTTTCTTCTTCACTAAGAACCAGTGGCATGGAGGTATATGAGTCTTTAATTCCTCAAACAAAACTCACATCTCTCTCTTATTCAGAATGGCACCAAACCTCCACTGGATGAAGATGTAAATTTGGAAGCAATTGGCAATGACCTTCGTTGTAATTGTTATACGTGAGTATTAAGTCTCTTGTCTATTAACCCTCTGGAGTATAGTTTGTTTCTTCATCAGCCAAAAAAAAAAAAAGCCCATTTCTCAGGTTGTTGGAAATTGTAGAAGCTAATGAGGTTTCCTGTGTAGCATTTTATGTAGTGCCTGGCTGGTTCTTGCTGCTTCCTTCTCAGAGGACAGCTTGCCTGAATTCCTCTGAGACTGTTCCATAGACTGTTTCTGTTGGCACTCAAGCTTCCCTGACCACATTGTTACCCTTCACTGTTAGTTCTACTTTGAGAATATGTAAAGCATGTGTTTCTCACTGGATACCATATTCCTTAGGTACATCTGTACCACAGAGGTTAATCTGCAAGGCTGTATGCTCTGCATACATGTGCACATTGAGCCTGCAGCAGCAGCATGACTCCTGATACTTCTGCCTTCGGCTTTTGTTTATTCTTGTTGTGGTTTAGCTGAGACCCTCCAGCCGCTCTGTAATTTTAAAGCTCTGTTGTTTGTCCCTAACACCTTTGCTACTTGGTATTTGCCTCTAGAGCAAGGCCAAATAATACTGGACTTACTTAGGACTATGCTGGCCCAGCCTGTGTTTATTACTTGGAATATTTATTACTTGGAATAATTATACAAATGAAACCTTGGTGTCTGTGTCTGTCCACTGAGCTTTGTATGTGTGTTTCTACTAACTGGATGGTGTGTGTGTATGTGTGTGTTTGTATACGTGTTCATCCAGGTATGTGCAGGTGCTTGTGGGGATCAGAGGACAAACTACTTAGGTGCTTAGGTATTGTTCCTCAGAAGCCACCATGTGTTCTGAGACACAAAACAGTTTGTTGCTGTTTTAAATTGTGGAGCCCATGCCTATTGGCCTGGGCTGACTTATCAGTAAACTCCAGGGATCTGCCTGTCTGTCTTTGACTGGGCTTCCTCCTCCTCCTCCTCCTCCTCCTCCTCCTCCTCCTCCTCCTCCTCCTCTCCCCCTCCTCCCCCTCCTCCTCCTCCTCTTCCTCCTCTCCCCCCCCCTCTTCTTTTTTTTTTTTTTTTTTTTAATATGGTTTCCAGGAATTGAACTCAGGTCATTGTACCCTAGCCTCTGGATGGATGTTTTATATTAACATTAGTATCTGTGGCTAAGAGGAAGGACAGTTTTATTTTTCATTGTATCACACCTTCCCTAAATCCCTTTCTTCCAAAGATAAAAAATTCTCTAAGTGAAAGTTAAAAGCTCTTTCCTGCTGATCCTAGTCAGTTTGTCCCACCATCATTCATTGTCCTTTTTCCTCATTGTCAAGTATATTATAATTGAACATCTTTTAGAATACCTAAGAATACACAAGAACACTTCTTTTATTACAGGGGTGCAGACCTCTCTGCTTTGGTCCGAGAAGCTTCCCTCTGTGCCCTGAGACAAGAAATAACAGGACAGAAGAGTGCAGTTGGAATAGGTATGAGGCTCTCTGGGATCTCTTTCCAGTCTAGTTTATCATTCTGGATATTTAAAAGCCCTGCTGCGCCGGGCGGTGGTGGCGCACGCCTTTAATCCCAGCACTCGGGAGGCAGAGCCAGGTGGATCTCTGTGAGTTTGAGGCCAGCCTGGTCTACAGAGCGAGATCCAGGAAGGGCACAAAGCTACACAGAGAAACCCTGTCTCGAAAAACCAAAAAAAAAAAATAAAAATAAAAAAATAAAAGCCCTGCTGCCCTTTAAAATGATGCTTTTCTAGCATTTTTTAAAAACAGTATGTAATAACAATGACCGTTTTGATGAGACCTTTAGAAGTATTGTGGAATATTATGTAAACTCTTGATGACATAATAGTCATTATTTAGTATCTCTCTAATAAGCAGCATTGTATCTTGTCAATTTGGAAAATCTTAATTCTTTTGCTAAGGTAAAACCCACTTGCCTATTAAAATTCAACCTAAATTTGAAAGATTAAGGAATACCTAATTTTCCAAATACCAAGATTTTCCTTTGAAATATAAAATCAGATGGCAACTTTTATCTCTCAGTGATGGAGAATTTTCTTAGCATGTGCAAGGCTCAGGAGTCTTTCCCCAGCATCACAAAAGCCAGATAGCCCAAAGACAAAATCCATGTATTCCTTTATGGATGATATGGTGCCTTTTCAACATGCTTGTTATTTACTTCACATTTCAGTACTATTTTTGATGTTACTATTTGGGTATGTGTGGCCAGAAAAGATTCATTTATGACCTGTATTCCAGCCATGCGCAGTACAGAAGTAGCCTTTACTTTGCCTAGGTGTCTCTGAGGTGCTTGGCACTGTGCAGATGTACACTCATTGGAACTTCAAGTGTGTACTGGTCTCCTTTTAATTATGTGTATATGTGTGTCTATGGGGGGGTGGGTGAGGGAGAAATGTGCACATGAATGCAGGTGCCTTCAGAGACCACACGGGCATTAAGATCCCCTGGGGCTGGAGTTGCAGGTGGTTGTGAGCCCCCTGACATGGGTACTGGGAACTGAATTCAGGTCCTCTGCAAGAGCGGTATCCACTCTTAACACTGAGTCGTCTCTCCTGCCCACCTCCACGATCTTAAAGCTAAATATTGTTATGGCAACATATGCTTAACATAGATTTATTGGCACACACGCATATATTTATTAGAAAAGGTATTTTGGGGGGTGTTTTTGATTTTTGTTTTGTTTGCTAGATAATGTTTAGATTCAGTTGTCGAAACTTTTTTTTTATAAGCGGTATTCTGTTCCTTTTGGAAGTTAATGATAATTAACTTAGAAACATTTTATAAACAAACTTAGAACATTTTATAAACAAAAATCAGAGCCACATTTGGTTGTGTACCTGTAATCTTCATACTTAAGAAACCAAAGCAGAAGGGTCTTCAGTTCATGGGTCACATGATGAGGCTCTGTCATGTCTTCCTTGCTCCCATCCTCCACGCCACCAAATCCAAAATCACGTTATGCTACTCTGTAGGCTGAATCTGATCACTTTCTTTTTTTCTTTTTCTTTTTTTTTTTTTTCTTTTTTTGGTTTTTTTTCGAGACAGGGTTTCTCTGTGTAGCTTTGCACCTTTCCTGGAACTTGCTTTGGTGACCAGGCTGGCCTCGAACTCACAGAGATCCACCTGGCTCTGCCTCCCAAGTGCTGGGATTAAAGGCGTGCGCCACCACCGCCTGGCAATCTGATCACTTTCTTAGGGTATGTTTGGTGACTAAAAATTAACAGGCCTTTTCTCATGTATTGGAGTTGCCACTCATTTCTCTGGTTGTTGTTTGTGTGCACATGTAACAAATTCTGCCTTCTCTGCTTTGCTGTGGCTTTCATTTTTAGCTCTCTGTCCTTTAGAGACTTTCCCCTAATACCTTACCCAAACCATAGCTAACTCTGCTGTCTAACATCTCAGTGACATGCTCATCAACATGTATTACCTTATTTTAGGTAAATCTATTATCCTAATATCTGTTTACTGTTTTGAGTATAAATTGTCATCACTTAAGTTATCATGTTAACATTGTAAACCAAGTTATATTTTAACCTTTAGCTATTTTATCACCTAACCTTATAAAAATCACAACCCCGTCTAATCCAGTTTTGTGAGTATACATGTACAGATGTACTCTTAGTATTTTTGTCTTTGAGCATGTTTAGCCTTTGTTATTCAGTAGTGTGACTTTGTATTCAAGAACATACCCTTGGATAATAATACAAGTTCCTGGTTATTTCTAGTTCTATTGACCATCTCTTCTTATAATCTCTTATTAATTTTACCTGAGACCACACTGGTCATTTCTGACAGTATGAGCAGCACGCACAGCTTGACTTCAACTATTTTTCTTCCATCCCAGCATTTCTGAGAGACGGTGACTCCCAGCAGCAATCCTGTTTCCTCAAACCAACGGAGAGGTTCTCACTGAGGCAGGGCTGGAGAGGGGCATAGTAAATGCACTTGAATAGGTTCCATCTGATCACCTGTCTCAGTTTTCCTGTCTTTCAAGTTAATGGACTATACTGAGGTGTGTATTGATGCATTTCCTCCACAGGTGAGCTCAAGGTCAGCCATAAGCATTTTGAAGACGCTTTCAGGAAAGTAAAACCATCTATATCAGTAAAGGTGAGAAACATTCTTCAGTGTTTAGAGAAAAGATGGGAAATTACATCAGTGGATAAGAATTCAGAAATTTTATTAGTTTATTTTATTTATTTTTTTATTTAGGGATAGTCTCTTTGTGTATCCTAAGCTAGCCTCAAACTCATGAGCCTCCTGCTTCAGCCTTCCAAGTGGCAGGATTATAGACATGTGCCACAAGACTCCTCTTCACTGGCACATATAATAGGAGACCAAAACCTTAATGTTTGTATGATGAAATGGTATAGCTACTTGAAAGACCACAAAACATCTCCCAAACTTATTCTTAAATAAAAAGCATAGGAATGTGTCTCCATACGCTATTTTGTTAAAGGATGAAATAATTAGTTATAGTTGTGCCTGTATTTCCAGAATGAAAATGTATATGGAAACATTATCGGAAGGAGAGGTTACAGTATAGGAGAGAGATTCTTTTTCCTCTCAAAGTTTTATATGGTTTGTTTTTCACACTTATTTTGTGTTGGGGCATCTGCCCATGCACTCATGCCAACCTGCTGAAGTCAGTCCTCTCCTACCACGTGGGGCCTGGGATTATACTCAGGTCACCAGGCTTGGCAGCAGCTGCCTTCATCCACCAAGCCATCTTCCTGGCCTAAGTAATATATATATATATATATTGGTTTTTTCGAGACAGAGTTTCTCTGTGTAGTTTTGCACCATTCCTGGAACTCACTCTGTAGACCAGGCTGGCCTCGAACTCACAGAGATCCGCCTGGCTCTGCCTCCCGAGTGCTGGGATTAAAGGCGTGCACCACCACCACTACCACCACCATAATTTAATGCAATTAGCTTGGTTTGTTTACTCCAGGTTTTTGATGTTGTTTGTTTATGTTTGGGGGATGTGTGTTGTTTTAATTTTTTTGTTAATTTGAGACAGTCCAGGCTGATCTCAAACTTCCTGTCTAGCTGAGGATAGCTTTGAATTTCTGATCCTCCTGTCTCTACTTCCCAGTGATGAGATTATAGACATATACCACCACACTTGGCTTTATGTGGTGCTAGATGTTGAAACAGGGCTGTGTGTATACCAGGCAACCAGTCTGCCAAACGAGCTACATTCTCAGTCTGTCTCTGGATTTTGAGACAGGGTTTCACTGTAGCCTAGGCTGCCTTGAGTTCATGATGATCCTCTGCTCGAGACTCCTGAGTATTGAGATTGTAGGCATGAGCCATCATTACACCTAGCACAATTGGCTTTTGAAATCGATTTTTCTTTTATTTTTTACATTTACTTTGGGGGGTGAGGGTGGCATATCTGTACCACAGCATGCAAGCAAAAATCAGAGGATAACTTGAGAGTTCTTGTTTCCTCTCAGTGGAGTCTAAGGATTGAACTCGGGTTGTTACATCTGGCAGTAAGTGCTTTCATCTTCAGAACCACCTTGCTGGCCCTAGGATGGATTCTAAATAGCTGGAAACAAAGCAGAACACATTGTAAGTTTTTCTTTGGGATAAATAGGCCGAGGTGACATTGCCATCCACCACTGGAAAGGTCAGTGTGGCAACAGTGAGCTTCCACTACAGACTTGCTGGATTGACAGCATTTTGAAAGATTAGCCACAGCAAGGGAGGTGAGGATGAGATGCTAGAAGTCTCGTTTATTGTACTGGAAACTGCAGCCGTCATGTTGGGAGCCATTCTGGCAGTTTCTTGGAATGTTAAGACACTTTAGAAGCCTTTACTTTTGGTTCCTGTTTCCATCCGGATTCAGGGTGGTTTACAGACGCAAACAAACATCTCTTGACTTGGTTTGCAAACTTCCCTGGACAGTGATGGAAACTGTGGCGTATCCTAGAAAGGAGCGTGTACAGACTCCAGATGCAGGAGCAAGGCAGAATCTCTGGGTCCAGCAGCTAGGGCTGCTGTAACCAAGGGCCCTAGACGGGCATCTTAAACAACAGAGATTGTGTTTTCTCACTGGTCTGGACCAGACATCTAAGATCAAGATGTCTTGTCAGAGTTCTGAGGTTTCTGTCCCCACAGGTGTCCCCTTGGTCCTGTCTTCACAGTCCTTCCGTTTGTGCATTCTGTGTCCAAACTTCCTCTTGTACAGTAACCCCAGTCCTTTGGGACCGAGGCCCACCATCACTGCTTTATTTTAACCTAACACCTCTGTAGAAACCCTGTCTCCAGGGACAGCCACACTCAGAGGTCCTGGGGGTCAGGGCTTCAATATAGGAGCTTGCCGGTTACACCTCCCATCCCATAACTGATTGATCAGCACTATGTGGTATTTTCTATCCTCACAGGATCAAAAGATGTATGAAGCTCTGCAGAGGTCCCTCAGTCAGTGACATTTGCAGTACCTGTCATGGAGGTGTCTAGTGCATGGAACTCACCAAGAATCACACTTGCTCTGAAGGGTCTACTTTCAGCCTGAAGCAGATGACCTCACTGTAAGCATTTTATTTTCAAATTATTGAGGCCCAACTGGAGAAGATGATGTTTCCCATCTGGCCAGCCTTGTTGGGAAAACTCCCTACCTCCTCTCTAAGAAAAAGAAAGAAAAAAGGACTGATAAAGTAAAGCCTTATTCAAATAAAATTTTATTTTTTACTATCTTGATCATCCATAGAAGTTAAAAAAAACTGTTTTCCTGAGAAGTGGTCACTTTACATCCCATCACCCCAGATACACATTCATATAGGTTTTATGTAAACCAGGTATTTTTCTACATAACCAACCATCAAAAACACTGACACATTGCTACTATTTAATTATCAAGTTCCAGCTGTCTTTCTCAGCTGCTCTGTTGTCCTTTATAGTAAAAGGATCTGATCTAAATTAGCTATTCCAGTGTTTTGTCTTCTAGTTCCCTTATAATTTCCAAAAGTTTTCATTGTTGTAGGGTTTTTGTTTTTGTTTGGAGACAGTTTCTATGTATTCCTGACTTGCCTGGAACTTACTATTTAGCGTAGTCTGGCCTCAAACTCCCAGAGATCCACTTGGCTCCGCCTCCCAAGTGCTGTGATTAAAGGTGAGTGCCCCCATATCCAGCTCTTTTGAAGTTCATAGGTCAGTGATTGGATTGACTTAATTTGCATCTTTTTGAATATACAATGGTAAAGCTGTTCCCTGCATTCTCTCAGGTGGTAATGCAATTTCAGTGTTACTTAAGACTGTTACTATGGTCACAGTGGTTCTGACAGGCTTCTTACGCTACAGAGTTATTCCTCCATTTCCTTTTTAATTTACACCCACATGTAGGAAGATATTTTTACCTCTTATACCCATATTCCACTCTAACCGGATTCAGAGTATAATGTTTTCAGTTTATTATTCATTATCATGGTTTGATGTTCACATTGTCTCAGATTGTGTCTTTAGTAAATTTCTAAGCCATTGATATGTGAATGATTTTATGTCTTGTTTGTTTCATCAAACCACTTAAGTGTTACTGTGTCTTATATAAACAGGTCTGGTTACTTCATATTCTTCTGAAGTATTTATTCTATCTCATTCTACAAAGTCTTTGAGATTACTTTTAAGAATGATATTGATGGGCCTGGAGAAATGACTTAGTAATTAAGAGTATATACTGCTCTTTCAGAGAACCAAGTTTGGTTCCCAGCTCCCACACAGGCAGCTCAAAACTGCCTGTACTCCCAGCTCTAGGGGACCCTGCACCTCTGGCTTCCACAGACACTTGTACTCGCATGCATGCACACATACCCCTCACACACACATGCACACTTTTTTAAAAATAAAACACATTTTATAAAAAGAATGAAATTGATAATGGGTTGACAAGATGGCCCAGCAGGTAAAGGTACTTGCTACTAAGCCCTACAACCTGATTTTGATCCTGGGGACCCACGTGGTGGAAAGAGCGAGCTAACTCCTAAAAGTTGTACTCTGACCTCTGTGAGTGTGTGTCTCTTTCACACACACTTATAAATAATAAATTGCAAAAATATGACTGAAATAAAATCACATTTACAAAGGTCAAGAAGACTCCTTTTTCCTGAGGACTTCAGAGAAATTTATAGTTACTAAAGAAAATGACACTCTGTTCAGTGAAAGATATAAAAGAGAACAGTATTGGATCCCAGGAGATCAACAGAAGCTAAAAACAAAACAAAAAAAAAAAAAAAAAACAACAACCCAACCAGCATCAGTAGAGCTAGATGATTGGGGATGATCGGAAAACACCAACCACCTGGCGTATCAGAGGTCTTCCTGCCAACTGAGTGTAGGGTCGAAGTACACTTAATCTCTGGTGGCCCAGACATAAAATACAGTCTGTAAGAGGTGACTGACGGCTGTGGGACAAGCTGAACGGAAGGCAGTTACTGGGCAGAAAGCAGATCCCAACATTCTGCAAAGGGCATCTTTGAACATGCTCTGTATACTAGTGCATGACACTCTTACGTGATGTTCTCAACTCAGGATCTGTTTAGGATTATTTTTTTATATCCTACACTTCTATAGAAATGAAGATTGACATTTTGCTAATACTAACAGCCTAATAGTCTGGCTAACTAACTTTTTTCTGGTGAAAAGATCCATCCTACTGTTTAGAAACATCTGGAATTGCATCTACTCTCCTCGTCAAAGATTTAGCCATCTTAAATACATTTTGTAGCCAGATGTGGTGGCACATGCCTTTTAATCCCAGTACTTGGGAGGTAAATGGATGGATCTCTCAGTTCCAGACCAGCAAAGGCTGTGTCATGAGACTGTCATTTAAAAAAGTACATTTTGTGTTAGACACTGCAGACATGATGAAGGAGCAAGCTCACTTTCATCCTGATGTGGTGTGGACCAGATACTGCTAATTGTCTCTTGAGAGCCATTCTCATTTCTTTTCCCTTCCGTAAGAAGAGCCTGGAAACCTAGCCAACTCCCTGGGCTAGTGAAGTCACGGGTCTTAGAGAAAGCACACTGCCGCCACATGGACTAGTGTAATCCTAACTACGTTCCAAAACTTACACTCACAGATGAGGGCAGCTCTCACCCCACATCCAAGAAGCGTCTCTGCAGTAGATAGAAACCAGTACAGAAAACCACAACTGGCCATAGTGCAAAGATCAACTTACTGTGGGGTTCCCAGTCCCAACACATACATCTGCAACACAACTCCTGGTCCCAGGGGTCAGGGAATATCAAAGAAGAGGGAGTGGAAAGATTGTTAAAGCCAGAAGATCGGGAAGTGTGCTGTGAGATTCTGTCTCCTAGACATGACAGGCTCCACCTATGATACATCAACAATGTGTCTGCCTAACCAGACCTGAACAATGACAATACAAATAGACATTCTAGTGCAAGAGGGTGAAATCTCAGGGGGCCCCATCCCTTAACAAAAAACGATAGGCAACTAATGACTGCTGAGAGAGAGAATTAGGGGTGAGCCTCTCTAATTGGTAATCCAGTAAAAAGTGACCTGTCCTGAAACATTAAACTGACTTAACAGGTTGTATGTGTGTGTGTGTGTGTCCGTGCGTGTAAAACAATAAAGAAAAAGCAAGCAATTCAAGAGGGAGTTGGGGGAATGGGAAGTGTTTGAGGGAGGAAAGGGAAGGGGGAAGTGATGTAATTATCACAAGGTTACCCTGACCTAAACCTGACAATGGTGTCATTGTAGTTTTTGCCTTTATAAATGCTGCATCCCTGAGCTTTGGGTCAAAAGTTCTTTGTGATAAGAGCCTGCTCTCTATCTTAAATAAAGAACTCTTAGTTGGTCTTATATACATAGTGGTCTATAACTTTCTTGTTTGGACTATAACAGATCAACTGTGCTGCTAGAAGCCCACAGCACCAGCACACCAGTTGGGGTATAATCCTTCAGAGCCAATTTTTACTGTTTTCAAGTGGATTCATCTCAGGTCTCCTAACCACTGCAGAATCTCACACATTAAGAATTTCCTAAAGAGTTTGATCATGCAGGGATCAGAAGTGAGGTAGTGGGAATCCCAAGACCAAAGTCTTAACCTCCCTAGAATTTGAGTTATGGATTACTAGGTGAAAAAGCAGGACAATCTAGAGTGGTAACTAGACCTGTAATCCAACCCTTGTGAGACAGCCTGGAGGATGCACCTGTTCAGTATTAACTTGGACTACATAGTTACTTTCAGGCCTCCCGGGGCTACATAGTGAGACCTTGCCTCAAAACAAGAAAAAATAACCCAAAAAATGTAAAGCAGAGTGAAAAAGTCAAGGTTTGGTGTGTGTGTGTGTGTGTGTGTGTGTGTGTGTGTGTGTGTGTGTGTGTGTGTGTGTGTGTGTGTGGTTGGTTTTGGTGGTGGTGGTGTCAGTTTTGTTTTGTTCTTCATAGAAGTGGCCTTTGAGCTGAAAGAACTTAGCATATGGAAGGGTTTGGTTACACTGAACCAATCCCAGTGTCTACACAAGGGGAGCTAAAGAAGCCCTGGATTCCCTGGAATCAAGACAATTTGGGTTTTGTGTGATATGATCCTCTGCTATGAGTGACTAACCTTCAAACCCAGAAACTGTCATTTTGATGATTTGCCCACACAAGGCACAACTTGTGGTTAAGAATCTATGACCTTGCCGGGCGGTGGTGGCGCACGCCTTTAATCCCAGCACTTGGGAGGCAGAGCCAGGCGGATCTCTGTGAGTTCGAGGCCAGCCTGGGCTACCAAGTGAGTCCCAGGAAAGGCGCAAAGCTACACAGAGAAACCCTGTCTCGAAAAACCAAAAAAACAAAAAAAAGAATCTATGACCTTTTCAGCCATGTAGGCTAAGCAGATTAGTTATGGTTTAGACCAGCCTGACATGGTTTTCACAGCATCTTTAGTTGGGGCTAGGCATTGCACCATGTGCTTTTAGTTCATTGAAGTTTCACAACTTTAAAAGTAGCTTTTCTGAATTAAGACGACTGAAGACACCCACCGACTGAGTGCAAGCATCTCAAGGGAATAAACCTGTAGTAGTAACTTTCTCATCGAGACTGCCAGCCCGCAAATAATGACACAGAGACGTACTAATTGTGAATGCTTGGCCTTAGCCTTGGCGTGTTCCTAACTAGTTCTTATAACCTAAATTAACCCATATTTTTTAATCCACATTCTTCCACATGGCTCGATACCTCATCTCCGTATCTGCCCATCCTGCTGCTTCAGGGTCTGGCTGGCAACTCTGCCTTTCTTCCCAGAGTTCTCTTTCTGCCCAGAAGTCCTGCCTATACTCTCCTGTCTAGCTATTGACCATTTACGTTTTGATTACACCAGTCACAGCAATACATCTTTTCACACAAATATCCCACAACATAAGCCTGTCACCTGAGGTAAGTGACAGACACTGAAGTAGCTGCAAAGAAGAAAAGCTTTGGGAAGCAGAACAGCAGGAGAAGTTCATTTTTAAGTCTCAGCTCCTGATGAGAGAAGTGAGGACTGCTGTGAAGGGGGGGAGGGGGGGCTCAGAAAATAAGAGTACT